ATTCTGACTAGCTGCTGCTTGATGAATTGATGCATGCCAAAAGTCAACTCTTCAGCATCACTTCCAAAACAGTTAAGACCTTTTCTAAACGCATGGTGCACTATATAGAAATAACAAGGTTCAAAGCAAAGCAAACTTGGGTTGCCATTTGCCTTCAAACTGTTAATGACTTTCCTGTAAATGGATTTGTTGATATATGGGTCAACAAATGAGAGACTTACCAAATTTTTCATTTTGTAGGTGTACTTCAGAATCTATAATTCAAGGAAAGCTTCACTTACCATATCAGCTGTTATAAACTTTCAGAAATTCTACACACACCTCTCTTAATATTGCTGCAAAATCTGATCAGTATGTCCATTTGTCTGTATTGCTGTGCTATGAGAACATACCTTATATATCCTCACAATTAATTCAGTGAGGTATGGTCTAATGGCTTCTGAAATGATGTGTGATTCTTCTTTTCTGGACAAAGAAAACTACTATGCAATTTCACATCTTCTGAAACAATCTGTCAAGGACACACATGACAGGGCCAAAAAACCCTTCTTTGTAGAAGCCGAATATAGGCTGCTTCCCTAACCAAACAAGCCTCTTTTTTCCCCAGTTTGGTTCTCAAAATACCCAAGTCTTGAAATTTCCCATAGAATTTAGAACAAAATTAAATGATGGTGTTGAATTAAGGTCTTTTACTGCCTTATTAGTATTTCCAGTGCTTTTTGCTTTTCTATTTTGAAGAACTTGTTAAAAGTTTGTGTTAAATTTAAGACCCCCTTTCCCAAAGTATGTCAAAATCACGCATATTTTCCAATTCCCCAAGATAAAGGCTGAGGCCCCTTTCCCAAAAATGGTGTTTTGGCCCTGCATGATCTAAATGAAAGATCAGAAGCACCACAACAGCTCAGATTTTGTGACTTGATGTTTCAAATGTTGTCTCTGTTCACTATTGCCAGAGTTGACAGTAGCTGGTTTATTAGATAAATCTCTTCCATGGTTTACCATATATTTCTTGCTGAGCATTTTTTGGGTAGTGATTTTACCAAAACAAGTTTCTGAAATCTGATTGTATTTGGCAGATTTACTATGCTATTTTATCTGAATGAAACCACTGTTGCTCACAGAATATAAGTGCAGTAAGCTACTTCAGTTTTTCCTTTTTTATGGGACTTACCCCATTAAAAACAAAAATTTTTAACTTTAATTGGCACCCTTTCCAAAATTACCGGGAAAGAAATTTTGTCACGGGTTTGAGTTTTTTCCCAAAAGGAAATTTGTGACAATTTTTTAAGGTAGTCACAGGCATGGTTGAAATTCAGGTTTTCTACCTTCCTACACATATAATCAATGGCAGACCTAAAAAGTTGAAATGTTTTAGTTGTGTGCACCTAAGACTGTGTAGGACCTTCTAAAAACAACAATCAGAAGAAAGGGTGATCACTCATTACTTATAATACTTCTGGCAGTGTGCTTAAATTTTTTTGAATGGAGGAAACATTTTTCCTCTAAATTTTGGGGGTTAAGTCTCTCAAAAAAAAATTTTCCTTGGGCCCAAACCTCCCCAAAATTTGGTTTTAAACCCAAAAAAGGCCCAAAAAAACAAACCCGATTTTTTATTATTTAATTTTTTCCGGGGGGCAACAAATTTACTAAATAATATATGATTTTTTTTTCTAATAATATATAGGGAAAATTTATTAGGAAAATTAAAACATCTTAGTGGGTTATTCCCCCGTTCAAAATTGTCAAAAACCTTTTTGTTGTTTGGCCCCTTTAATTTCCAGTGCTTTATATACTTTATTCCACTTTACTTTATCCAGCGTAAGGGTTCGCCTGAGATCAGAAATTCTCTTGTAACCCCCTCAAAGGTTTCTGACACCCAAGATTATTATCCGGTACAACAGTATATAATTTGTTTTTCATAACCTTATTGAGTCTTGTTTTTTTAAACAAATTCAGCGGTTGGTGAACATACTTACAGTATCCGGTAACCCTTTCCTTCTGGTACTACTCTTAATAGGGAAAAATGGGGTTTTTCTAATTTCCTTTTTACATTTGATTTTATTTTTCAACTATGGAAATTTCCCTCTGATTTTGGATGTTATCAAGTTGGTTTTTCAAAAAATTTAATTATCTCCTCTTCCTTTCCCATTTAATAATTTCCATTGACTTTGTATGATATACCTCTTAATTCTTCTGTAAGCCAAAAGTAGGAAAATTTCCAGAATTTTTAATCTTTCTAAATTACCCGATTAAATTTTCTGATAAATTTGAACCTTTTTGTTGCTCTTTTATGAACTCTTTTCAAAATTGCCCTTCAATATCTTTTTTTTAAATCTTTGGGACTCCAAAATAATTATTTCCATATTCAAGGTGTGGTCTTATAAAAGTGTTTTTATAAGTTTGCCGAAAATTGCTTTATATTAACATGTTTAAGAAGGTACATACATTTTTTTCGCTCCAAGCATGGCGGGGTTTGTTTCCCACTTTTATTAGGATCACGGGCAGTTTTTGATTTCCCAGCCCTGAAATTTGTGGGTTAACAATTATTTATGTAGAAATTATGTTTAAATACCTTCAATTAGTGATTTTGGGTAACCCATTGTCTAATAAAATTTTGAGATTGATTTTTAATTCTTTGAAGTTGGTATTTTTAAAGTTGTTTTTTCAGTTTGACCTTTTAACATATAATAATCATTGAGTTACGTTTTCATATTTGGGATGGTTTTTGTCTTTTAACCCTTTCTAAAAATTTACATAAATGGTGGCTATTTATTTGTTTAAAAAAAATACTTATGAATGATCTTTGTTATTAAAATGCACAAGGATAAATTGTGTTTTGTAAATGATGATAAATTTAATTGTATATTTATATATTTTATTTAAAGCAACCGATTTCAAATTCATTTATATTCATTTTTATTTATTTATTTATTTATTTTAAATTTATTTATTAAGAAATAATTTAAATTTTCATACAAGTATACCATTTTTAATTCAATTATTCTTAAAATTCAATTGTAGGATTAAAACCGTTGAATAAACAACTAATCAACATTGCTTAGATAAAACAAGTGGTTGACATGCAATAAACACTTTAATGGATGAAAACTGTTTATTGATTTCATTTGGCCAATTAAACCCAATAAACTAAATCAGTTTTAAACTTTAAGTAAAAATAAAGGTAATAAGCAAAATTTTTTTAATTCAAATAAATACTTTAAAAATAAAAATATAAACATATTATAACATTTTGTTTGTTGGCCAATTGTTTTTTTACTTATTGAAAAAAAAATTTCTGGATGAGGGGTTGGAAGTGTTTACTGATTTTGGGGGGTGAAGTGTCTTAAGGGGTGAAGTGTCTTCAAAATTTGAGGGGTGGGAAGTGTCTGGGGGTGAGGTGTTCTTGCTACCGTTCTGACCAATCCAGTTATTTTATTTGGAAAGTGGCTAGCCGTACGGGCCCGTACGGCTAGTCCAAAGTTTCTAGCCGTACGTTTGAGTCACGTACGACTAGCCTGGACACACTGGTATTGGCTAGCCGTTACCGGGCACTTTTCAAAAATTATTATGGAAGACGAAAATGGCATATGTTATTTTGTGTCTTTAAACGACGATTTTAATTCAAATTCTCCGCATTTTGTCCTTAGTGTGTTCAACATTATCACTTTAAATGCTCCGCAATTTTGCCAAAAAAAAAAAAAAAAAAAAAAAAAAAAAATGAATACGAGTAAGCGTTGTATTATTATCTATTCTTAATAAAATTAAGTGTCAAAGTTGCATGTTCTAACGTCCTTAATTTTCATGCTAAACGATTTGTGTATGAAAAGATGAATTGTTAAATCTGTTAATTAAGCACATGGATGGAATAAATAATGATCGGAGGGTAATAAATAAATAAATAAAAAGAATATCTAAAGAAAAAAACGGTTAAATGAGGAAATTAATAATTAATAATGCAAACTTTCCATAATGATGGACGATGGACAAACTTTCTATTATCAGAGCCTGACAACAATTATTTTCGGGTTTTTTTTTTTTGTTTTTGTTTTTGTTTTTTTTTTATTTAAAAATTAAACTTAATTGAAACAAAAAAGGTTATTATCAAAAAATTTTGTAAACTATTTTCAATTGATGTTATTTAACTGCAACCAAAACGCTAATTTTTTCTCGGACGTCTTGAGATGACAAAAGTACTTCTTTATGTAGCAAATCACGTCGATTAATCTCTAAAAAAGTAAACAATCTTACTAAACCTCGCTTAAAGTTCAATTAACAATATGCACTTTCGCCTCCTATATTTTTAAAAAGTTTACGGCTAGCCGATACGTGTGTCCTGGCTTAGTCTTACGTGACTCACGTCTGAACTTTTGGCTTAGGCCGTACGGGCCCGATACGGGCTAGCACACCTTCCTCATTTTTTATTTGCTTTATTGATCACAATTACTTATGTGATGTCGAAATTTCATCCTTATCATTTAATATACCTAAATTCTCTTTCTTTCCTCACTAGACCTCAATTGTTTAGTTTGTTAAAGTCACTTTTTCATAAATATTGATGTTCCGTGTTATTGTGTCCATAATGAATAACACAGCATTTGTCTACATTAAATTGCATTAACCACTTTTCACTCCATTGTATTAAACTATCATTGTCATTTTGTATTTGGTTAAAGTCTTCATTTACATTTGCCAGGTTAAATAATTTGGTGTCATCCGCAAAGAGACGCAAGGTACTTTTAATTTGACTTTCAATGTCATTAGATCTAATGAATATAAGAAACAATATTGGTCCTAAAACACTTTAATCTGTTAATAGCTAATATATAGGAGTTAACACGTTTCTGGCCGTTCTATATTGTAGTCTATTTGCTTTGCCAATAAATAAAAATGTCCACCTTATAATTATTAATTAAAATAACAAAAATATTGGCTTCAACTTACAAATATTTTCACTGTATTTTTATTTTCTTTCCACAGGCACAGGTAAACATCCGAATACGAACAAATAAATTTATTCAGCTGGTACTTAGATGATTATGAGGCCAAAATTATTAAATGGTCAGAGCCGGGTAAAAGTAAATTCAAGATGGCAGCTTCCATGCGAGAACGATTTCGTGTCGCTGTTGACAGACTTTTGAATAGTTGGACAGTGCTTAAAGTGTGTAGAATTCATGAATAACTATTTACAATAGACTGTAGGTTGCAAAAACTAACGATTTCCCAAATAGTTTGATAATTCCTCATTAGTTAAAAAAAATAAAACCTTTTTTTGCGGTGTCCCCTGTACTGTAGGCCTGCTCTATGGGGTAGTGGAGTAATATAGCGACACTTCTCCGTCGTCTGTCCGTCCGTCACAAAACTTTTCCGGACTACTCCTTATAAACTACTGGTGCAATTTCATCCAAACTTTACGGGATGATCAGTACCAAGTATTGGTTCACTCATGAAATAGCCGAAACAATTAAAGAAAGAGATAAAGCAAAACAGGCCGTAAAATATGATACTTATAAAATACTTCGTTCAAAAGTCAAGAAACTTACTGCAGAAGCTAAAAAGATTTTTTTCAACACAGTAATCAATGAAAATAAAAAAGATACAAAGAAAATGTGGCAAAATTTAAAACACCTATCAGGGAAAAATACTAATACTCAAACTCAATTCATTAACGATGAAAATGGAGAACCAATCACTGATCCTGCTGAAAAGCGCAACAAAATTTAATGAATTCTTCACAAGTATTTTTAAAAGGGCACCTAATGTCAAAAACTATCCCGAATCATATAAAACTAGACTAAGAGATCATAATTCAAATTGTTTCAAAACTGACCAATTGTTTCGAATTCCTCCAATATCTGAAAAATTTGTGAGGAACGTGCTTGAAACTCTAGACTGTAGCAAAGCAACTGGCCTTGACCAAATAAGTGCTCGTTTCTTAAAACTAAGCTGCCATGTTATCTCAAGCCATTTGGTTAAAATAATTAACCTAAGTATTGATACAGGTAAATTTCCTACCGCATTTAAAATGGCTAAAGTATTTCCAATCTACAAAAAAGGGTCTAAATTTGATGAAAATAACTATAGATCAATCTCTGTTTTACCTGTTTTATCAAAAATCATTGAAAAGCATGTATCTGATAGTCTCAAACAATTTCTTGAAGACAATAACCTTTTTCATCAAAAACAATCTGGGTTTAGAACAAGTCACTCTTGTGAAACTGGTCTAACATCCATAGTAGACAACTGGATTGATCAAATCAATAACAACAATCTTGTAGGAACCATATTTCTTGACCTAACAAAAGCATTTGATCTAGTTAACCATACACTACTCATTGAAAAACTTAGTTGTTATAACATCTCAGATCATACATTACAGTGGATCCAATCATACCTAACAGAAAGATCTCAGAAGGTATCTGTGTCAGGCACCACATCTGAGTCTTTGGGTGTATCAGCTGGAGTCCCTCAAGGATCTGTCTTAGGGCCCATTTTATTCTTGATCTATATAAATGATTTACCTTTACATCTTGAACACTCAGAAATGGATATGTTTGCAGATGATGCTACAATAAGTGCTACAGGACGTTCCACTGAAACTTTAAATGTAAAACTTCAAAAAGACCTACACTCTATTCAAGAATGGTGCACTCACAGTGCTATGATACCTAATACAGACAAAACTAAAGCTATGTACATATCAGCCTCAAAAAAGACCCAACATTACATTCATGCATCAAAAAGTACACCACTTCAATTATTTAACAATAATATAGAGTTCACTGAATCTGAAAAGCTTCTTGGAGTACAAGTTGACAATTGCCTAACGTGGAAACTTCAAGTAGAACAAACAATAAAGAAATGCAATAGTAATCTCTATCTTCTTTTAAGGTTAAAACAATATCTCAATTTACATGCCAGGAAACTTTTCTATAATGCCTATATTTTACCTCATATAGACTATTGCTGTTCAATTTGGGAAATTGCTCAAAAGAACTTCTTGAGAGAATACTAAAATTTCAAAAACAAGCAGCTCGCATTATCCTAGATAAAGCTGCAGATGCACCATCTGAACCTCTTTTCAAAGAATTAAGATGGATGAAATTTAATGACAGGGTTGAGTACAAAAAGGCAATCCTGATATACAAATCATTACATGAAGAAAACTCACCATGCTACATGAAAGAAAAATTTCATTTTATCTCAACTTTACATAACAGAAATCTTAGATCAACAAACAATCTTAATCTACATGTCCCTAAACCTAATCTTGAGTTTTACCGTAAATCACTTTCTTATTCTGGAACTAAAATCTGGAATAATATACCACTCTATGTACGTCAGTCTGAAAGTACTGAAAAATTCAAAAAAGCTTACATAAAGTGGAAGTACTCTGGTTAAACCAGTACCATAGTATTATGTTTGTATAATTATGTTTACTGCAGTTTTCATTGTTAATGGTTAATATTTATGTTTAGTTTGTCATTGCATTTATAACTAGTTAATACCATGTTTTATAATATTACATTGTCTTTTGTATAATTATTTGATGTAAATATGTTGTAAATATGTTGAGGTACATATGGAAGATCGTTTTGGCGAATATGTAGCCTCGTTAAATAAAGCCTTTATTATTATTATTATAAGTATAGCAGTACATAATAAACATATCGTCAGCATTACTTCCGATTCAATAATTTTTGACTTCCCCGTAATATATATATTTTTTTTTTTTTATAAAGTTTTTCCACCTCTTATACCAATAATGCAATTTCAATGAAACTTTACAGGATTGATTGGTAGGTCGAGTACTTGGGTATATTACACTGGTTTTCCGCTTGAACATGATTTTATGCCCAGTTGTGGCCCTTGAATGAAAAGGTGTTAATAAAGGTTGTCAGGACTTCTCCTCTTATACTGTTTATGCATTAGAGAAACTTTACAGGATTGATTGATCAAGTTCTTGTGCATAATACACAAGTTTTTCACTTGAATGATTTTCAGCTGAGTAATTGCCCTTGAATAAAAAAAAGTTATTTGCACTGTTAATGATTTTGGGTCTCCTGCTACACAATAGTTGCAACATGTGATTGGCTATCATGAGGCGACACATGTCATCACTGATGGCCATTGTCTTCAAAATTATGTGTAACCTGGGAGAAAATCTGCCTTTTATTGCTCTCTGCCATATTAAATTTATTGTTTGATAAACAAAATAACAGTGCAAAGTTTCACAACAAATGATCTTGTTACTACAGTGGCACAAAGGTGACATGTGTGTGTTTTTATTTATCTCGTGCATGTCGTGCATGATAGCTAAGTCGTGGCAATGAGATACTATGTTGTGGCCCAGAGTTACTAAGGCATGGCCACGAGATAGCTGTCGTGGCCACAAGATAATTAAGTCGTGGCCACGAGATACTATGTCATGGCCACAAGTTACTAAGTCGTGGGAAGGTGATAACTATATCCTGCACACGAGATAATTAACCAATCAGAATACACTATATATATTATGAATACAAAGTATCTCGTGGCCACGACTTAGGTATCTCATGGCCACAACTTAGTAAATCGTGGCCACGAGATACTATGTTGTGGCCACGATTAGACTTAGTAACTTGTGACCAAGACATAGTATCTCGTGCCCACGAGATAAATAAAAACACACACATGTCACCTTTGTGCCACCGTATGTTACTATACTTTAAGACAAAAAATACTTCATGCAAACCCATTCTTTCTACAAAATAGTCGGTTGAAAAGTAGTTCTTGATACGAAATTCTCAATAAAAATATGATATTTCATCAGTATTTGGATGTGTCATCATCTCTTTCCACCATAGATTTTACCTTTACCAGTGTGAAACAATACATAATTTTCTATATAAGGGCAGACTTCCCTAGACTAGGTAATACAGGTACAAGTCTCATACGTGTGAACTTTTTTCAATGATCAAGTGGGAGATTTATCTTCAAAAAGAGAGAGATTTAAGAATTTGCAATAAACGAAGAAGAAAGTTCTGTTATCAAAAAGAGGGAGATTTCTTTAATTTGTTAAAATACCCCTTATTTTCAGAAAAATATTTGAAAATATGGCTGCAGAAAGTGGGAGTCTCCCGCTAAAAGTGGGAGAGTTCACATGTATGAAGTCTAATATTTAGGGCACACAGCAGAAAAAAAGACAATTAGCCTATTTTTATTACTAGACTCATTATTTTAATTGTTGACATGTAATTGTTATAAAGATTTACAGACACTTCATCCCTGGCCATTTTTTACAGACACTATACCCTTCCTCTTTTTATGGAATCTGATACAGACACTTCGACCCCAAATTTTCTAAATATCACAGCTTAATAATTTACCATTTGGGCAGACCTATTCCTTACAGAATGCATTGGCTACAATCCTTACATACATAGAGTCTGAGTACAATAAAATACAAAGTAGCGCTAGTGAATAATAGTTATGATGTTTATTTCAGTTGGCAGTTAGCCATGGTTTTGGTGGCATTGACAGTGAATCAAAAGCAGAATGGATGGTATTTGCTGTAGATCAATGGTTTGCTGAAAATGGTGATTCTTTAAAAAATTCTTTGCTAAATTTAAATATACTATTAGGTGGTTGCATAGTTATTGAAATGTTGGTTTAGGCTATACATTTTTGATTACATGACAAAAGTATATTAAGTTGTAGTTTAAATGAAGATTTTGATATGCCCTGTTTCTAAAGTATCAGGTATGAAAGGCTAAATTTAATTACGTGTAGTCATTGCAGTATCTGTATCTGTGCATAAGCAACGCTATGTGTATGTTAGTGTATTATATAGCAGCGTACAATTGAAAAATACCTTCTTCAACTAGAAGAGATTGCTTCAGTATAAATTAGTGGGTATGGTTGGTCAATAGAGTTTAGATTCTGTAAGTTCATACGGAATATGTCACTCGTTGAATAAAATAATATTATGCTCGCCAGAGGCTCGCATAATATGATTTTATTCAACTCGTGCAATAAATTCAGTATTGAACTTACACTCATTCAATATCCTCTATGTAAGTTGTAAGTTTAGAATGGAAAGTATTTTGAATATGCCCCTTGCTTTCTTCAAAGTCATACAGTAATAGATAGGCTAAAACTGTAAATTACTTTTTATGTCACTTCAGTATCTGTGATGCGTTGGCAATAAGCAACTGACTAGTGTGTATGTTTGTGTGTCCATTATATACCAGTAGTGAAAACTTAAAAAACCTTCTTCAACTAGAGAATGATTAGGCTTACAGTCATAAGATTAGATGGGGAGGTTGGTCATGAGTTGTAGCTGATCCTGGTCATAAGTTCAAAGGACAATGTCACGGTGGTATGGACCAGTAAAAGTTTGTCCAACCTTTAAACAGAAAAAACTTTGGCCTACTCATGACTATTAAATGACTTTTGTTACACCCCGCCACATAATGTTGAGAATCACTTTGTCACATCTATCTGTCAGACTGCATCATGTCAGCTTTATAAATCCTATACCCCTTAAAGGATTTTCTTCAAACTTGGCACTAATGTTCACCTTAACATGGCAATGTGCACGACCCATGTCACATTTGTGAGAGGTCAAGGTCACCCTTATAGGTCAAAGGTCCAATATTGGACAATTTCATGTCCGCTCTGTAAATTCTATACTGTAAACCCCTTTAAGGATTTTCTTCTTACTTGACTTCATTGCTCACCTGAGCAAGGCAAGACGCAGAAACCATAACATTGCTGTGCTGGCTGAAGGTCAGGTCACCCTTCAAGGTCAAAGGTCTTATATCAGTCAATTGGATGTCAATAGTCATGATTTGATAGTCATGTCCAGTCCATGTCTTTTTGTCATTCAGTGACAAATTTTGTAATAACTTGGCTTGAATTATAAAGTATATCATTATGGTTCTTAAAAACAATTTGTGATGAGTTTGTAGCTTAAAGATCAAGGTCACACTAGTACTTTTAAGGTTTATAGTTTCATAAAAGTATATCAGTGGTTAAATTCAGTAGCAATTGTGTCATCCATGATAACTAGGCAATAATCCGCATACTTTTGTGGCACATCAGGAAAACTTATCACACACAAACGCAAGGATGACAGTTTAAAAGTCACAAGGTTATACTTGAATGTCAAAATATTAAACTGATAATTATGATATAACTGGGCTCACTGAGAATATGAGAAAATATTCAATGAACACTCACATAGTAAATTTAAATAAAAAATCATACTAAAATGCAAATTCAAACTCACTACACAGTTTTCTTAAGGTGACCACTCTAACTCGCTATGCTACCCAGGTTTACGAGTACATATGTACTTTTATTCTATTTTATATCAATAAAAATGCAAATTGTGTTCAACTTGTATCCACTGTTTCATATGTGTTTATTTATTGCTGGTTGCACTACAAGTAAATTGTTATTTAATATCCAATGGTGATAGAAAATTAGTCCTCTGATTGTTATCACGTTAAATCCTTAGTTCACCGGTGTCTTATCATGATTAACTCTTAGTTCACTGGTGTATTATCAAGTTTAACCCTTAATTCAGCAGTGTATTATCATGTTTAACCCTTAGTTCACTGGTTTATTATCACGTTAAACCCTTAGTTCATCAGTGTATTATCACGTTAAACCCTTAGTTCACAAGTGTATTATCATGTTTAACCCTTAGTTCACCAGTGTCTTATCACGTTTAACCCTTAGTTCACCAATGTATTATCACGATTAACCCTTAGTTCACCAGTGTCTTATCACGATTAACCCTTAGTTCACAAGTGTATTATCATGTTTAACCCTTAGTTCACCAGTGTATTATCATGTTTATCCCTTAGTTCACCAGTGTCTTATCAGGTTTAACCCTTAGTTCACCAATGTATTATCACGATTAACCCTTAGTTCACCAGTGTCTTATCACGATTAACCCTTAGTTCACCAGTGTCTTTTCATGATTAACCCTTAGTTCACAAGTGTATTATCATGTTTAACCCTTAGTTCACCAGTGTATTATCATGATTATCCTTTAGTTCACCAGTGTCTTATCAGGTTTAACCCTTAGTTCACCAATGTATTATCACGATTAACCCTTAGTTCACCAGTGTCTTATCACGATTAACCCTTAGTTCACCAGTGTCTTATCATGATTAACCCTTAGTTCACCAGTGTATTATCAAGTTTAACCCTTAGTTCACCGGTTTATTATCACGTTTAACCCTTAGTTCACCAGTGTCTTATCACGATTAACCCTTATATCATCGGTGTATTATCAAGTTTAACCCTTAGTTCACCGGTTTATTATCACGTTTAACCCTTAGTTCACCAGTGTCTTATCACGATTAACCCTTATATCACCAGTGTATTATCAAGTTTAACCCTTAGTTCACCGGTTTATTATCATGTTTAACCCTTAGTTCACCAGTGTCTTATCACGATTAACCCTTAGTTCACCAGTGTCTTATCACGATTAACCCTTAGTTCACCGGTTTATTATCACGTTTAACCCTTAGTTCACCAGTGTTTTATCATGTTTAACCCTTAGTTCACCAGTGTATTATCAAGTTTAACCCTTAGTTCACCAGTTTATTATCACGTTTAACCCTTAGTTCACCAGTGTATTATCACGTTTAACCCTTATATCATCGGTGTATTATCAAGTTTAACCCTTAGTTCACTGGTGTATTATCAGGTTTAACCCTTAGTTCCCCGGTGTATTATCACATTTAACCTTAGTTCACCGGTGTTTGATCATGTTTAACCCTTAGTTCACCAGTGTAGGAGGAATTTTGTGCCATTGTACATGATCTTGTCATCAAAATAAACAAAGTCACCATAAAATCAGATTTTCATGCAACAAAAACAAGCTACGACAAAATATAATAAAGAATGCACATAATAAAATTAAATAAACACATAATATAATAAAGAATGCACATAATAAAATTAAATAGGCACATAATATAATAAAAAATGCACATAATAAAATTAAATAAACACATAATATAATAAAGAATGCACATAATAAAATTAAATAAACACATAATATAATAAAGAATGCACATAATTAAATTAAATAAACACATACATTGTAATATAATAAAGTATGCACTTAATAAAATTAAATAGGCACATAATATAAAAAAGAATGCACATAATAAAATTAAATAGGCACAAAATATAATAAAGAATGCACATAAAATAATAAAGAATGAACTTAGATTAATAAAGTAGGCATATGAAATAATGGTTTATCATAATGCACAAATAAATGATAGAAGAAAAGACAAATATAATGAGACAGTAAAGGTGTTCCAAACATAACAGATACATTGTATTTAGTTCCCCTCCTTACCAAATTCATTCCTTACAGTATCTAATTTGTTTGAGTTTTTGCAATGAAAATGAGGAAGCAGTAATGTATAAATAGTGACAATGTAATATTTCAGCAAACATTGACCCATATGAAGTTGAAGATTTTCTGGAAGATGTGATGAATACAGAATTTAATACTTTAGTTGATGATGGAAGCTTACCACAGGTTCTTATACCTTTTCTTGTTATAATTCCTTATTTTAAAAAAATGAAATATTGAAGTTGATTTAATGGCTTTTGAACATTCTGATGATCTGAAAGGAATGGTTTCCCTAAAAAATATTAGATGATAACTGTATAAATACTTTTTTTTAGCCTGACTTTTTCAAAGAAAAAAACTCGAACTATTGTAACAGTGAGTTATGTTGTTATTGCTGTGCTAACAAACTTTAACAGTGGTAACATTTTTTTATTTCTCAATAGATTGCCTTCATACTTGGACACAACAACTCTTTGGACATGACTTCAAGTTGACCAGACTGAACATGACCTTCACTCCCTGTTCAAGGTCATCTTTTTATTATGCTTGCTACGACTGAACTTATTATAAATGGATTGTCTTCATTCTTTGACACAATGTTTAGGACAAGGAAATCCAACTTGACCAGGACTCACAAATTGAATTTTGCTAGATTTTTGCTATGACTGGCTATAACTTTGTTATTAATAAATAGTTTGTTTTCATGCAACAACCTTTAGGACAAGTCCTTTAAGAAATTTAAACTGACCTTGAAATGCCTTGACCTTGAAGATCTTATTAATGTGTTTTCACAATTTTTTGCAATATTTTGCTATAACCAATTTTATTTAAACTTGACTGATAATTGTCTCAATGTCTACATATTCTGCTCATAAGAAATTCAACATTGACTAATAAATGTTTTGACCAATGACCAATCACTTTTAATTATGTTGTTATTAAGAATATATCTGTTAACATTTTTCAATAACTGCAACTCCACAATAAGCTACAAAGTATCACCATGTTTTGCCACACATACCACCTCCGCATGTTCTGTTGGCTTAAATGAGCCAATGATTTGATTGTGAACATACTTGATTTGTACCTAAAGTACTTACGCATATTACACAGGAATGATTTTTGGCTGAGATATGGGTCTTGAATGAAAAAGGCATTTTGGCCTAAAATTGATTTTTTTTGTGTTGCCTGCTACACAATAGATGATACTGTGATACATGTTTTAAAGAAACCACAACTTATATAGATCCCTTCTCTGTCATTTGTCCGAGCTTACATTTGGATACTTATGTGGCTTGAGGAACAATAGGTTACTGTACTTTCTCTTGATTCATTCCATAAGGCTTTTTATGCCCCCGCCATGTAATGGCCGGGGCATATAGTGTTACCCTGTTCCGTCATTCCCTCCTTCCGTCCTTCCATCCTTCCGTCATTCTGTCATTTCGTCATCATCAGTTTCCGTTCATTATCTTAAGAACGGTTGGACACATTCAACTCAAATTTGACATATGGATATGTCATGAGAAAATACAGGTCAAGTTCGAATTTGGTCATGGTTCGATGATTTTTGGCAGAGTTATGCCCCTTTTACTTTGAAAATGATATGAAATTTCAGTTTCCATTCATTATCTCCCCAACGGTACAACACATTCAACTCAAACTTGACATATGGATATGTCATGAGAAAATATAGGTCAAGTTCGAATTTGGTTATGGTTCGATGATTTTTGGCAGAGTTATGCCCCTTTTACTTTGAAAATAATATGAAATTTTCAGTTTCCGTTCATTATCTCCCCAACGGTACAACACATTCAACTCAAACTTGACATATGGATATGTCATGAGAAAATACAGGTCAAGTTCGAATTTGGTCATGGTTCGATGATTTTTGGCAGAGTTATGCCCCTTTTACTTTGAAAATAATATGAAATTTTCAGTTTCCGTTTATTATCTCCCCAATGGTACAACACATTCAACTCAAACGTGATATATGGATGCGTCAAATGAATGCGCAGGTCAAGTTCAAATTTGGTCATGGTTCAATGATTTTTGGCAGAGTTATGCCCCTTTCACTTTGAAAGTAATATGAAATTTTCAGTTTCCGTTTATTATCTCCCCAATGGTACAACACATTCAACTCAAATTTGACATATGGATATGTTTTTGGAATGCGCAGACCAAGTTTGAATTTGGTCATGGTTCAATGATTTTTGGCAGAGTAATGCCCCTTTCACTTTGAAAATAATATGAAATTTACAGTTTCTGTTCATTATCTACCCAACAGTGTTACATATTCAACTTTAATTTGACATATGGATATGTCAAAGGAATGGGCAGATCAAGTTTGAATTTGGTCATGGTTTGATGATTTTTTTTTGCAGAGTTATATCCCTTTCACTTTGAAAATAATATAGATACATCTTAGGAATAAGCAGTTTAAGTTTGAATTTGGTCATGGTTCAATGATTTTAGACAAACTTATCTTTCCTGAATGTTGGAAAAATTTTGAACTTTCAGTTTCAGCACTCATTCTTTTAGCCATTATTTTGGCTACAAATATGCAATATGCTATTTCTAAAAGGTTAAGACTGAATAATTTCAGTGCCTTGAACATTGTATGGAAATGGTTTGTGTTAACATTGAAAAGTTTTAAGGGCTTTGAACTTAAAATGAAAAAAATAATTAATGCACCATCTGAAATTTTGGCTGCATGCGGGGGCATCCGTGGCATGATGACACATTTCTAGTTTGTTGGTATTTTCTTTTCTGCTAAAAAGAACCAATAGAGAGAAAAATAGAGTCACCACATAAGTACTGAATGTCCGTCTGTCTGTCTGCCACACAATTTGCACAGACGTTTTCTCAAAAACAGTTTAACTACAGGGGAATTTTAAATGTCCACTAAGACTGATTATTTGTGGCGGGCATATTTTGTGACAAATTGGAACTCCTATTTAAAAGTAAAATATGCAATTTGTACATGTGTTAAATTTAACGTTTTATTCTACATTACATGTATATAGATTGCGGAAATGATTTGTGGATTTTACAAATTATGTGAGGATGGGAAAGAGGCTCAGTTACAAGAGAGACTTGACAAATTGCCGAAACCTGCTATTCAGAATTGTCAACAAGTCGCTGGGCAAAATGGTATTGCTGTGAGTATTTAAGTAAAATGAAAATATTTTATAATCTATGTTTCATGCAGTGGAAGATTACTAGACTTCATAGATTACTGAACACAGGCCATTTATCTCTGTGTAAAGTCTTTCTCTCAGTTTCAGGCAGCCCTCATTTACCCACATATATTTTATTTTTATCAAATAGCCATACCATCTGGTTGAATAGAGGCATTGTTATATATTTAATGTGACTAGAATTCAAAACTGTCAAGATCAGAAGCATAGGCATTGTCAGTTATACTTATAAGCTCAACTGTCACAAAATGATATGATGAGCTTTATTGATCTTTTGCTGTCCATTGTCCAGAATAAATTCAAATAAAATCCCTGAAATCATGAGGCCAAATTTGATGAAACCTGGCAAAAAAGTTCCTTTCATGAAGCTATCAGATCCAGGAATGGTCCATTGCATATCTGGGTCATAGCAACTAAAATAAGAATTTAAAAGTGCAAATTTTAGAAAATTTCTCTGAATTTGTTTATTATCTTCTGACGGAAATGTTCCAAATTTGTTCAAAATATAACCCTGGTTCAAAATTGGGAAGATTTTACTGTATCATTCAGGAAAAGCATTAAAATTCTTGAGCTTTGATATTTGTTGTGAAGCCATTGGTTTAAAATTGGCTCCACCCAGGGGGGTAATGGATTAATAATGCCCTTGTTGTAAAAAAATACATATAAGTCTTCTTTTGTAAGACAACAATGCCCATTGCAGTCTGCAGCATGTCTCAGGCTTGTTTAGTTGGATAAAGGTCTTGGTACCATGCTGGCCAGTCCATTCTTTCTATAGTTGCTGTTTGCAGGTACTCCATGAACTATCCCCATACCCAGACTTGTCTATCAATGAAGTCCACACAAAATCTGAATTTGTCAGTGAACAATGCTGGGGTCCAGTCATTCCATGTCAATCCAATTGGATACTGGCCTGGATGTGGTTTTGTGTTGACAGAATGACCAATTGGATACTGGCCTGGATGTGGTTTTGTGTTGACAGAATGACCGATTGGATACTGGCCTGAATGTGGTTTTGTGTTGACAGAATGACCGATTGGATACTGGCCTGGATGTGGTTTTGTGTTGACAGAATGAGAATTGCTTGTCACTGATGTCACACTTGAACCACAATAAAATGTCTTAAAGCCGAGTTGCTATCCCCTCATGACCACCACCCTGTCTATGCCTGACATTTCAGTGAGTTTTAATTTGTTCCTACACCCTTGCAACAGTGCTCTTGGACACCCAAAACTGCCACATGCTGTTTTGAATGCCCAGCCTCAAGCATCCTTATCCCCCTATTCCTCTCTTTTGCTTGGAAACGCTGTCTTATTTATAGGTTAGTCATTCCCACTGCAAGCTTTGAAATAAGCATTAACATTCGCAAGCAAACTTTGAATATAATAGATGTGAACATAGAGGTACATGTTGATGGCCAAGATTTATATTGGTATGCTTTTTCCCATTAATATCAAGCCAGGTACAGGTTAAAATCATTTTCTTCTGGAAAGGTCAGGTATGCCATTAGAATAATCTACATGTATTACAAAAAAAATCTCTTATCTTAGGTTTACTTTTAAAGAGATACTTTAGAAATAAAAAAAAATCCTAATGAAATTTTGAGTAGTATATGAATATGGTAAAAGCTTCTACTCTGAAATACAATGCCTAGAGTATAAATATTTTGCTTGAGGCGTCACATTACAGTCCTACAGATATGTTATATAAATCATGCCATTGGAGTCATAAAAGGTCCCACCTCTTTGTCAGTTAGTTTATAAAGATCTGTATAGTAAAAATGTATTAAATATTTATTTTTTTTGAAAGTACAACACCAAAAGTTTAGATAGTTTGCATGTAGCATCACATTGTGGTCATCCACCTTGTGGTCCTAAACAAAAGTTACATAATTCAAGACCCTGTGTCAAAATGGACCCAGCGACGAGGGTACTTAGCTTTTATAAACTCTTATAGGAAAATACATTTATGTCTTCTATTGTGAAACTGCAATGCCTAAAACTTTGATATTTGTCATGAAGCATTATTAATAGCAGTCATATACAAATGTTGTAAAAATTGTGATGCTTTGATAAAGATGACAAACCTAGTGATATCTCATTTCTGAAATTCTGACTTTTCTTGCAATGTATCTCAGGTGAGCAATCCAGGGCCACCATGACCCTCTTGTTTAGAATTTTGCTGTTATAAAGTATATAATCGGTAAAGTGTAATGATTATTACAATGTATGTGTATTTTGTAAGTATTAATGTAGTTAATTTACAAAACAGGATAGTAGTGACAATGATGAAGAGGAGTATAGCTCTGGGGGCCCAGACAAACTACATACACCCACACAGTCTGCAGATCACAATGAACATCAAGGTTTGTATGGAAAAGACAAATACATTGAAATTACATGTAGCTCTTCTGATTTATTTTTGGCATACTTTTGAACTTTTATGATTATATAAATTTGTAAATTTACATCAAAGTTTATTGTTGTACATCTTTTGGTCTATTACAAAAGTTCTTTCTTTCATGCCCCTAGGATCAAAATGGGTTGAGGCCACTAAAGGTCAAGGTCACATTGACATCTATGCCAACAGTTTCTGACATATAACTTGACAGCCCATGGGCCCCTTGTCCCTAAAACTTTATAGGAACATTGGTCTTGGACAGTAGATGACTTTTTTTTTTAAAGATGTGGGATTTTAAAGGACAATTTGATCTTCACCTTGATTTTCAAATGGTTTCCAACCAATCGGTACACAACCAAATGACCTTTTGCTGCCAAACTTGACAAGTGCATAAGCTTTGGTCAGTAGATAACCCCTATTGATATGGGATTTGCAGGGTTTATGTTCAAGGTCTTATTGACCTTGTATGTCAAAACAGTTTCCACCAATCACTTGACAGCCAATGTGCCCTTGACAGTAAAACTTTATAGAAGCATTGGTCTTGGGTAGTAGATGACCCCTTTAGATTTTTAACGGCCCTAAGGTCAAGGTCACACAAACATGTATGCAAAAGCAGTTTCTGACCAATAACATGCCAGGCCACAGGCCCTTAAACCCTCTTTATAGATGCATTGGTCTTGGCCAGTAGATGACCCCTAATAACTTTTGAGGGTTGCACTTTTGAAGCGGTTCTCTCACCATTAACTCGCCAATAAATTTGTCCTTGGTACTTAAACTTCATAGAAAAAAACTCATTTTCTTTTCTTACTGTGTATGTATTTACCACTTTAAGATGTATTTTCCACTTTAAGAAAACATGTATAACATAACTTTTATTGTCAAACTATTCCAAAGCCTATGTCATTTGATCACAAAACTCTGATCTCTAACATGAAACTCTTTTTGTATATAAGCAATATTGCATGCAACTTGTGACATTCTCTGTTGTTCACTCTAGTAGGAAAGTCATCATAAAAAACATTGTTCCTAATGATGTTTTCCACTGACAATATGAGCAGATTCTTTAAACAGGCTTGATATTTCTTTACTTGTCCAAAAATAATTTGATAGTTAACAAGTTTTATTCTTTTCTTTCAGATACCACTGAGATGGAAGTAGAGGAGGGATGGACTACAGTTAGAAAGAAAGGAAAACGATGACATATTTAATGTTTTCTTAGATTTTAATTAAATTATATATATTAAAAAGAGTGTTTGGTTATAAATAACTGCAAGGGTACATAAATCTGTTGATATGAAGTTAAACATGACCTGAAAAAGTTAGAAAACTATCTTTTATTATATGATGTGTAAAAGATCATCTTTTCAGGCATCACTGATTGTGGCAGGTACTTCCCTTCTTGATTTCACTAAATATGTTAGACATAATCTTATAAAAAACAATTTTAATGATAGTTTGGTATTCGCCAAACTAAAACAGGAAATCAGCACAAATGGCAGTCCCCATCTGATAAATCATTGTTTCCTGAATGTACAGGCTCTTCAAAGTATATGTTGTACTAATAAGGACTGTCCCACAAAGTTGTGGACGGAGGCTAATCTTTTACACACGAGCCTAATACAGTTTTGTATGGGTGTATCTTCGTCAATTTGAAGTAAAATAAGAACATAATTTTATTCAAACACACCCATACAATAAAATATTTCATGACCTTTTTAAACCAACTTAAAGTAATTAAAACAGAACAAGACGCACAATTTTCTCATCCAGTACTATAATATTAACCTCAAGAAGCAGTCTCGACTTATGTGTATTTTATTAGTCCCCTACCGGTTTACCTGAGGGGAATTTAGGTTTACCGTCAGTCCGTACAAACCCAGAAGTACTTGTGTGACTTTGAGAACAACAAAGTTGGGTAACAGTAAATTCTCTTTGATCCTATTCATTCCGTTTTTACTTGTGTGTCTTTTTAAGCCTTGTGTGACTAAAAATGGCTAAAAAGATCAAAGAAAAAGTCACATAAGTACCATTTCGTAAGTATGTCCGTCCATTCACAAGACTGGATCCTGCGATAGCGCAAAAAGTACTGAAAATATTTTTATGAAACTTGATATATGGATAGATGGCAGTACTGGTCGGAGAGATAACTCCGACGCATAGATAACCCCGACACTTGATAAATATGATTATTATAGCTTTGTTTTTCAACAAACAAGCACATGATCACCTAATAGTATATGAGCAGGACAGAATGTGATGATTTGTTATAATTTGGTAAACTTTTTAATGTTTTTCAAATAACCTAAACTTTTAGTAGGCAAATACTGCTTTAAAACGTTCTTTTACAATAAGGTAGTTAGAAATGTATTGACCACAGGCCACTGACTTTGGGGGAAGATTTTAGAAAAATTGTTTAAATATTTACAAAAAATAGATAAACCATATAAGATATAAAAATAAATTACTGATTTCCCAGTCATTTTTTACTTAAAAATTTAAGTGTCGACTTTATCTACCGTTGTGGGGTAAAAAGACCATGTTTTGTATACCTAATTCAAGACCTTAAAGAAGTACCAGATTCCATTTTCATACATATTTTTGTAAAGTCTTTGAACTGAACTTTGTTTAGGTGGTTCAATATTTAAAATATACTGGAAGATAATTAAAATATTGCAAAAAATATATGATTTAGTGTCGGAGTTATCTCTCCAACCAGTATGGAGATTATGCACGTCTTTTTCTTTTCTTCCTATGTTGAAAATTCTGGTTGCTATGACAACAAATGGACTGAAAATATGGCAAATTTAACACATAAACTGGATCTAGTGATAATGCAAAAAGAACTGAAAATATTTTTATAAAACTTGAAATATGGGTAGATGGCAGTATGGAGATAATGCATGTCCTTTCTTTTCACCTATTTTGAAAAAAATTGGTTGCCATGGCAACAAATAAGCTTAAACAGGCTTAAACATAGCAAATATAACAATATTTGTGATAAGTCAAAAAAAGTTGAAAAATTTTATGAAATTTAAAATATGGAAAGATGGTAGTATGGAAATTTAATCTTTACTATAGGACTATAGGGAGTATATTGAGAGCTGTCATACTTAACGAACGTCAACCTCACAAGATTTCTGATTCTAGTTTTCAGGCTTTTTCACTATAAGTTCTTTATTTCTTAAGGTATTTATTTCTTAAGGTATTTATTTCAAACTTCAAACATAAGTTTCTGGTCATCAACTACATCATATGTGACAAGGTTTTAACTCTAGCACAAAAATTATCAGAATTGCCTCCCTTGAACTTACATGAAAAAAAATATGTTTTTTTTTGTTTTTTTTAATAACTTCTTTATTTCTTAATGTAACTTCTTCAAACTTCATATACATGTTTCTTATTATCACTGAAATCATTTGTGAGAAAGTTCAAACTTTGAATTTTTCTAATTCATTCTTTTTACTTTCTTTTACTTCAAATTTAAAATAACCCTTTCATTATGAACAGCTTCATAACTAATTGTTCTCTGTCACACTCACATGACATCTTGGATCTTTATTTCAAGAGTTATCTCCTCTTTAAGAATTTTACTTTTAAAAATGTTATATTTTGGTAACAGGGATGTTTAAAAAAATAACTTTAGAGTCTCCTTCAGTCTGTCTGTTCATAAAAGCTGTTTCCTGTGATCACTTTTAAAGAACTTTTCCAACAAATTTTCTTAAAAAAGAGAAAAATTAAAACATTAGTGAATGGCCGATGGCTCTTCAGAATGTTGCTGGGGTTCTAACCGATAGGGGACTTAGGGATTGCTTGCAATACTATGATAATTGCTTGTTGTTTAAAGCTGCAGGCCTCAAGATGAGCCAAAATATTTCAATGAAATCAGTATTGAGAAAAATGCACTAAACTTTTAAGAAAGATAAAAACATTCAAGATCCATGTTATATTTTAAATGTTTTGTGGGATTAAAGACTGATATTGCAGTATTTTATCACCATATTTCTACTGCATTAATTTTCTTGGATTGTAAGTGCCTATTCCAATATGTAAATTACTTTATTTGTTCGACTCTTCTTATAAATACAAATCTAAAATTTTCGTGACAATTAACATGAATCTGGAGGCGTGCTGCTTTAAATCGGCCTTCTAGTGTGTTTTTTGTTTGTTTATTGTTTTTTTTTGTGTGTGTGTGAATTCGGAGATACTTCGCAATCGCATAATGCAAAATCTGATCTTAGCATTGAATATTGCGAAAACCCTGTTTATTTGAGGCTGTCCTTCCAATCAAAGTTTTGATTCGTTAATGACTCGTTAATCAGAGTTTATGTTTATTGTTGATGTATCCGACTTATAAATAAAATTTACTTGACTTGACTTGAATCATAATGTAGAAAGCCCATAATTGGAAATTTTAGTACTTTTAACAAAGGCAAAAAAGGAAAAATTAAACTAGCACAGATTTTTTAGATATCTGCTAAAAGAAAACTAAAAGAGTTTTAAAGGCACATAGATCAAAAGTAGAATGGTGACTCACTTTGTCATCAATTTTTTTGTCTTTCATCATGAAAACATTGCCATAATTATAATGTTAAAGGCTCGCTATATACCATTCAACATTTCATCATTTTGTTAAGAAACATTTTACGATTTATGGCAATGAATGTGAGATTGTTTATCATATAAAGATTTGGCACCAACTGAAATGCTAAAATGCACAACATATGTATGATAGCATTTTTCAAACAAGGGCTTGTTACAATGGAAATAATCGCGGATACTCGAACTTGGTAGAAATCCATTAATATAAACAATTATTTGTGAAGTTAAAAGGAAATGCTCGATGTCAAATTAGATTCTATTAGATTCTATATAATTATTATGTTTATGTTGCCGTAGCATCAGCCTTTAAACTTTCATTTGTAATATTTTCTCTTTGTCCATTTCTCGTAAGAGAAGGGGGGTCCTTTGGTGCGTGTATATGGTCGCACTGTCACTTTTCTTCCAACATGGCCTCGAAGTGTGTATATGGTCGCACTGTCACTTTTCTTCCAACATGGCCTCGATGTGTGTATATGGTCGCACTGTCACTTTTCTTCCAACATGGCCTCGATGTGTGTATATGGTCGCACTGTCACTTTTCTTCCAACATGGCCTCGATGTGTGTATATGGTCGCACTGTCACTTTTCTTCCAACATGGCCTCGATGTGTGTATATGGTCGCACTGTCACTTTTCTTCCAACGTGGCCTTGATGTGTGTATATGGTCATCTCTTACGAAATGATAACGCTTTTGTAGTGGTTTTTGTACGGAAGCATCCAGGTACCGAATCTTAATGTTCTCTGAACAATTAACTCGCAAAAAGTAGTTTGGAGGACTTTGTTTCATATATTTAAAAATCTTACAAGTACTTTGTCACTTTTAATTAGTAGTTATAAAGCCTAATTGGAACTGTGTTACTTCTAAGTAGGAAATTAAAGTAAAAATTCTATTTACGACTTTGTTATTCCTAGTTAATCTGGATTTTAACTCTATTAGGAGAATTAAGCCTCATTACTACTTTGTAAATCTATATAAGGAGTGTTAGTAGCATAATTAGAAGAAATTAAATTATGATTAGGACTTGAGCCTTATTTGAAAAGACAAAAGAGGTATGTCTAAAAATACATTCAAAATTGAAAATGTTAGAGGCTCGCTTTGATTGAACCAGTTTATGGTCGTTACTAAAAATTTAAAACTACCATCCACGTCCCCAAGCATCGGTTAATTTACAAACAGAATTTAACTTTAAACATGGAATTGTAACATTTTGATTATAGAAACACTTGAAGGTGTTATATACTGCGGTTATCATGGTATGTCATTGGATATGTTAGTCTATAGCTATGGCATGTCCCTATTGGCGTACCAGAAATGTAAATATAATAGTCAAGTTAATAACCTTCCTTTAGTTATCAGCACAGTTTAAATATATTTCTGTCCTGTCATCACTGGTGCCGGTAATACGGTGTGATGAATATGACGTACACGAAACGCTGTACAAACGCACTTGATCCGTCCATGACATTGGCAAAAAAAGTAATTTGATTTTCGTGACCATTAATCGGTATATGTGGCATTTATCTCATCTAAGGATCAACGAAAGCTTTCAGGATGCATAGGTCCTATGAAAAACCGACCTGAAGCAGAATTGTATCTCGAACCGGATGGGAAGCATTTTTTCCGACCAGTGCATGTAATACAATAGTAGATCGCGTTTTCACCATCGTACCATTGCGTTTTCACCATCGTACCATCGCATTTTCACCATCGTGCCATCGTGTTTTCACCATACCATCGCGCTTTCATGATCGTGCCATCGTGTTTTCATCATCGTACCATCGCGTTTTCACCATCGTGCCATCGTGTTTTCACCATCATACCATCGCGCTTTAACCATCGTACCATCGCGCTTTCACCATCTTGCCATCGCGTTTTCACCATCATACCATCGCGTATTCAACATCGTACCATCGCGCTTTTACCATCGCACCATCGCGCTTTCACCATCGTACCATCGCGTTTTCACGTTCGTACCATGGCGTTTTCACCATCGTGCCATAGCGTTTTCACCATCTTATGGTCCAAACGAAACACCGTAATATTTAGACATGTGACATAATAATTACACACGTGACGTAACTACTAAAAAAGGGACGCGCTGAAAATAAGTACGGAAACAAATCAGGCGCAATTTTGGTTAATATCAAGTACGGCAGCATAAATTTATTTGTTGATGTCGTGTTAGAATCGAAATGATATATCCAAATCGGTGATTTTATCCATTGATAAAATCACTGTTTGTCGTTCAAATGCGCATCATTATATCACTCGGGCGACCCCCTTGTGATTTAATTCCTCGCATCCGAACTACAAACAGTGATTTTATTGCGCGATAAAATCACTGTTTGGGGTATATTATTTCTTAAATATTCTATTGTTGGTTAAATTAGGTACCACAAAGTCTTAAATAGTTTTATTTAAAGAAGAATAAATAGAAATAATACAAACTTATAACTGTTCTATTTATTGGAGAAACATGAGTATATTTTCGCGCACATTTGTAGCGAAATTTCAGACCCTGATATGCTTATTTGCAAAATCCAACAGTAGTCCATCACGAATTCCTCGAAGTGATTACTTCCCTTTATAAGTACACTTACGCCGAAAACTTAATCTTGCTGCGTAAAATTTGTCAAATGACAGGCGCATTTATTTTCAAACCTCTGAGGGATGAAAAAATAGTTCCCGATTGGTCGAATATTTCTAATATTGTGTAATTCTTTAACATTTCCGCAAATTATCGGTAATAGATTCAAATAATTTTTGAGTTAATTAAGCGGATGAATATCATTTAAATCAATGAAAATTGCTCTGCTATTTCCGTAAAGCTTCGGCTTATTGCGATCGCCTAAATGAACATTTGTTATTTAGACTTTCTAAAAAATAAAGTAAGGATGTTGACTCTAGGGCAGGGACATGACATCACATGATTATTATGCCCCCACTTCAAAGAAGAGGGGGTATATTGCTTTGCACTTGTCGGTCCGTCGGTCCGTCAGTCCGTCGGTCCGTAGACCAAATGGTTTCCGAGTGATAACTAAAGAACCCTTAGGCCTAGGAACTTCAAACTTGGTATGGTGATTGGTCATGACCAGTAGATGACCCCTATTGATTTTGGGGTCAAAGGTCAAGGTCACATTGACCTTGTATGTTAAAACGGTTTCCGATCAATAACTAACATACGCTAAGGCCTAGGAACTTCAAATTTGATATGGTGATTGGTCATGACCAGCAGATGACCCCTATTGATTTTGGGGTCAAAGGTCAAGGTCACATTGACCTTGTAGGTAAAAACGGTTTCCGATCAATAACTAAAGAACCCTTAGGCCTAGGAACTTCAAACTTGGTATGGTGATTGGTCATGACCAGCAGATGACCCCTATTGATTTTTTGGGCAAAGGGTCAAAGGTCAAGGTCACATTGACCTTTTAGGTAAAAAACGTTTCCGATCAATAAAGAACCCTTAGGCCTAGGAACTTCAAACTTGGTATGATGATTGGTCATGACCATCAGATGACCCCTATTGATTTTGGGGTCAAGGGTCAAAGGTCAAGGTCACATTGACCTTGAAGGTGAAAACGGTTTCCGATCAATAAATAAAGAACGCTTAGGCCTAGGTACTTCAAACTTGGTATCATGATTAGTCATGACCAGCAGATGACCCCTATTGATTTTGGGGTCAAAGGTCAAGGTCACATTGACCTTTTAGGTAAAAACGGTTTCCGATCAATAACTTAAAAAACGCTTAGGCCTAGGAACTTCAAACTTGGTATGATGATTGGTCATGACCAGCAGATGACCCCTATTGATTTAGGGGTCAAAGGTCAAGGTCACATTGATCTTGTAGGTAAAAACGGTTTCCGATCAATAACTAAAGAACCCTTAGGCCTAGAGACTTCAAACTTGGTAAGATGATTGGTCATGACCAGCAAATGACCTCTATTGATATTGGGGTCAAGGCGGAAGGTCAAGGTCACATTGACCTCGTAGGTAAAAACGGTTTCTGATCAATAACTAAAGAACGCTTAGGCCTAGGAATTTCAAACTTGGTATGATGATTCAGGCCTCGACACAAACTTTTTTAGCAGGTGGTACGCCGGACCACTAGATTTGAAAGTAAGGTTGTCCTTCCAGAAGTCAGGTGGTCAGTTATCATTATCATATCATTTTACTGCAAATGTAGAAACAAATGTTTAAACTTGATAACAAAGATGTATTATTGACCTTTAAAGAAAACAGATATTTTTAGATATATATTTTTCATCTAATCAGAAAAGGGAGAGCAAGTCAGTAGGTATTCTATCGTTATTTGTTATTTGTTTGTTTGTTTGTTTTTATCTCATTCAAAAATACACAACAGAGCTCTTATTTATATTAACTTTTATACTGAAGTGATTTCTCCCTCATCTCAAGTTAGGCAATAGTGAAACCATTTGTTCCTTTCGTTTGCTGCCGTTATTCAAGTATCTGAAATAATATTATTTAAGTTTATCCGACATCATATAATTACCATCATCGGATACTCACGATTGACTAACATGTAACATTACATAAATGTTAATGGTTCCGCCGTGGGTATCAGATGATGCATTATTACTAGCACCATTTGAATGAATTTTGTACCTTAATTAATATCACAAATTCTTAACTCTTTTAACTTGCATAAACAAAATTTCAGCGACTTCAAATGAAAGTTATTGATGACTAAAGAACTTCTTTAACTAATCAGAGATGAATGAACTATATACATCGGACATATGATTTTTAACAAAATTATATAACATTTTTTAGACCAAATCGCCATTCTCCCAAATGAGCCTTGCATCAACCAGAAAATTCAAGTGGTCTGACGGACCAGTGGGTTTTATAATTAGGTGGTCCTTGCCAAAATCAAGTGGTCTCGGACCAACGGACAACCGCTAATGTCGAGGCCTGTAATTGGTCATTACCAGCAGATGACCCCTATTGATTTTGGGGTCAAAGGTCAAGGTCACATTGACCTTGTAGGTTAAAACGGTTTCCGATCAATAACTAAAGAACCCTTAGTCCTAGGAACTTTAAACTTGATATGATGATTGGTCATGACCAGCAGATGACCCCTATTGATTTTGGGGTCAAGGGGTCAAAGGTCAAGGTCACATTGACCTTGTAGGTAAAAACGGTTTCCAATCAATAACTAAAGAACCCTTAGGCCTAGGAACTTCAAACTTGGTATGATGATTGGTCATGACCAGTAGATGACCCCTATTGATTTTGGGGTCAAGGGGTCAATGTCATAGTGACCTTGTACTTAATGACCATTTCTGACCAATAACTCAACAACTCAACTTGCCTTGGTTGATATTTGTATGTGCTTTTGGTATACACATTTGAAGGTCTTATGTAATATAACAACTTGGCTGTCATTAATGAGGCCTATGTGATTCATAAAATTTATGTATATATTATTTGGTAAGATTTTTAATAACTTTAATTGCTGCACACAACCTATGGGGTCACAATAATTATTACCTTGTGACTAGTCATGACCAGTAGATACTAGATAACCCTTATTAATTGCTTGTTCACTGGGTCAGAATTCATGCATAATAACCTGATCACATGACAACTTGGCTGCCGATAGGGGGCATACATGTTTTACAAACATATCTTGTTTACATCAGTGTTAAACAACAGGTTTACCGTGAAGAAAATATCTCGAAATTAATCCTAATTAAGAATACTAGTAATATGGTTTGCTTGATGATTTCATATAACTTCCCCGTATCCAGTGGTTACACGCTGGCTTCAGAAGCGAGAGGTCTGAGGTTCGAACCACAGATAAGGCAACCTTTTTTTAAATTGCTTGAGCCAAATAAACATTGAATTGAATATCAGCATTGCTTACACTATACAAAAACAAATCGGTTTATAATCTCACAACCTTCGCCTTTCTGACATTCTGAAACAAAAACAAATTCAGCGCCTTCTGTGCTTTGATTGTTTATAGGATTGTATAGCTAAAACAACTAGATGTAAGTTTTATATTTATTTGGTGCAACAGTACTTTTCTGCCTCTTTACTGGCAATCTATCTATACACTAACAGATAAAACAATTCACTTCAATGAACCCAGAATGCAAACAACATATGCTGGCACAAATACAAATTTACTGAGTGACTTAAAGACCTTACATTGATTAAATCAGCGACAAATTTTATTTATTTACAACGAAATCTAATTACGAATTTAACATGTAAGAAGTTATATTTTAAAAATTGATTTTTTTAGAATAAAGAATTAAAGACTGCAAAAACTTTTTACAAATGCTTAAGACATTTTTGTTTGTTTTATTTCTTTTCTTTAAATAACAAAGTCTTCGGATATAGTAATACTTAAACACACTAAAAACATAATAAAACTATGAACAGCACTGAGGTCAAAATGTCTAAAAACATAAAACTTTAAGAAATGCAAAGGACAATTAAGAAATACACTCAGAAATAAATCGAAAATCGTAATTTTATTCTATTCTTAGCCCGACATAAGTGGAAAGCGTTGCAGCGCTTTTCAAATTTGTGTCAATTTTCACAATTAAAATTCTGGATAAAAACGGACTAAGCGTATGATCGGAAATTTTGCACACAAACTATTGGTATAGACCTGGACCATCTCGAAACATTATTTCCAGTCCCGTCATGTATAAAATATGTACATGTATATATCTTCTATAACTTCGTCAAATTAGAAGCTAGAAACCGCGTGTCTCACAAGCGTTGACCTATTGTTTACAAAGGGCCGTTTTGTTTGAAATAAAACACCTTGGGTGAGATTATCGACTCCATACCACAACTGAGCCCGAATGACATGAAAAGACGCCACCGGTAGACTGCAAAATGGGACTCACAAGGCGCAGATATTCTAGTCTATATAGGTTTTGCCCTGTGGCCAGTATCAATAAACGTATCAAAAGTATGCCATTTATACTATAAAAAGTTATATCAAGATATATACAGTATGATATGATCCGAAACATGGTTTTATTTCCGTTCAAAATGGGCATCTCTGCACAAAAAACAATTGCTTAGGCGACTTAAACGAAATATCAGTAAATCATATCAGATTTACTGTCTAGCGACGAACTCTTCTCTTTTAGTTTCATACTGGAAAACCTTTGATCTTCGAATTTCTTCAGCCTATAATTAAGATTGAAAAAATCATTTCATTTGGTTAAAGTTTCTTATTAGAAAATACACATGTATAATGTTTCATGAACACGTTTGGGGAAGCTAAAATAGTAACGACAGATTAACTCAATCAAAATATTATTATTATTATTATTATTATTATTATTATTATTATTATTATTATTATATCAATGTGTATCTGAACCCGAACCGTTTTTAATTCGTTATCTATATTGTGAATTAATCAAGTAGCCAAAATCATCTTTCCTGTTTCGACGCCATATGGCCTGTGTTGGTACGCCGTTAATCAAAACAAACTAACAAATAATCATTATATTGCAGTTTGTGAATAAATCATTTTAAACTATAATGTCTTTTACCAAAAAACAGTTTGTACCCGAGTTCCTTAACTATACCAAGACACCGTTAATCAAGGTGTTTCTAATGTGTTTTTAAAAGACCAACCTTGTATATCTCTCGCTTTTATATTTGTTCAAAATGTCCATATAACTTTTGGACACCTGGACGGCGTTTGAATTAGTTCCCTGCATCATCTCCATGGCACGTTTCCGGGTCATGTATGCTGACTCTTTAGTAAGATGACTTCCTGCAAATAATTTTATCAACAAAAATACACACATATATCATTGTTTTATGACTTTATATTATTCAGATAGTTATACTTGAGAATGTGAAGAATTTATTCTCATTGATTTTGTTTTTTCCTGTTTTTATTTCTTTTATCTATTTTGAGTTAAAATCTAGGCAGCATAATTTCCTAAGTATTTTTTAATCCTTTGAAAGATTAAAAATTGCAAAATTCAAAATTTTAATTGGCAAAAACATTCTTGGCGGTATAATATATACATGAACATATGATTATATAAATAATATGTCATTTTTCATTATTAGACATTTTTATATCTTTTACTTCTGCATATGGACACTGACCGAATTACATTTATAATAAAAAATATAAAATAAACAGTCATTTGAAGAATAAAACGTTTGGTCTACTTTACACAGCCCATACGTTTGGCGTCATTTGTGATGTTATTGAATCTACAATGATCTATAGAAAGAAGCTTTTAATATATTTATTAGAGTAAACGGTGCACACATCATCCTTATTGTCATGCATTCGTTGATGAATAATTAAGTTCATGGTTAAAACTGTTTCCATCGTAATTTTGCTTACCAAGCGGGTTCATATCCCTCTGTACTGACGGAGGCCGTTCGCGAGGCGGTTGTGTGTATTTTTGGTTACTCATATCAAGGGGATTAAAACATATATTGTCATGCATAGATAGGAACAGCGGGATATAGCACATGTAGTCAAGGAATGATATCTGAAAAAAAAAGAAAAGGCAACATTATTTGGAGTTGACGAGACTCTGTATTGTATTGTCATTGCTCTGAAAGAACCCCCTATTGCCAACAGAAAGAACCCCCTATTGCCAACAGAAAGAACCCCCTATTGTCAAATGATCATTTGTTGATTGAGCATCATCAGTCTCGATATGATTTAGCAAAATTGTGTTATTCGTTGTTTTATACGTATTATATAAATGCCATTGGTAACACTTTGTACAAATTGTCCTAAACAAAAGATATTACATACAGGGGAGTGTAATATTACTACGAATAACCATCGTCATATGAACATATTATGTAGTAAATACAAATGATGGCATTTTCTTTTTTTGATCTTGTTTCGCATATAAATCAACGGGTTTAGCTACCCGTATTAACTAGAAAGGAATAACATTTTTTTTTTGTAAATTTCTATAAGTTGAACGTTTTATGAATCCCCCACCACAAATATAAAATGACAAGGGAAATATACTTCTATGTGGCAAAGTTAAAATAATAGTTTTCAACATATGACATCAATGACATCCGTACACAAATTAATGTCGATTCAACAATATACTCAACCGAAATGAAAGCGTCTCATTATTATGCTAACTTTAGGTTGTGCTAGTTCTTTACATAATGATGTATATGTGACTATCTTTAAAACATAATTATAAAGGATGTTAAACAATATTATAAATAACAGAGTTGTTTGTTTGTAAAGAAACATCAAAATCCTCACGTCTCCAAAATCATTTGGCTCCATTTTCTCCATGATGTATTGTTGCTGTTTCCAGTTTAATCCACCAGCAATCAGCTCTATTTTCAGGGACTCGGAAGTGATAAAGTTGGCGTCCCGGTCGGATTCGGTATTAGTGTAAAACATAGCTTTATAAAGATCCAGCTTACGCTCTATGTCTGCCAAGTTGCAAATCTCCAGCAACCTTTGACTAAGAGTACTGCAATTGGTTTAAAATAACTTGCAATCATGAAAAAATATTTATGCAAAAATACAAGATATCATGTGTCTTTGTATTTATATAGCGTTGTTTGTTTTTATGCCGATTTTAAAACAGATTCGGACATAATTTGGCTACGGGTCGACTTAACTGGTTTTCCTGAATAACTAAACCAGTAATTACCAAATCCCTACGCAAGGTATCGACTACTTACTACACAAGATTGGTGGGTAGACGCGATGTCCGAGAAAGTACACCACTTTTCTTTCAATGTAGTCAAAACACGTAGCAATGAGACATAATACAAATAAACGAATTTCAATAAGAAGTCTGATTTAGTGAATAACTGCAAATTTCAGACGAGTTTTTGGTCATATATACTAGATAAGATTAAATGGGGAAAGAACTTTTGATGAATGAAAGCGTAAAGACACTTCTGAAGCAATAAATTTTAAGAACCATATTTTATGTACTGTGACATGGCTTTTATTAAGTCAACAGGTGACGAAACTTACTCCATGTGTGTTACCCGTTCACACAATGCTGTTACCACAGCAAACATTCTGAATGTTACAAGTGTCGCTTCATCTATTTTAAGGACCTTCAGCACGTATTCCATTTGTTTGTTGGTAATGTGTTGTATAGATGGCACTCCATCCAAAGCAATTTTTGCTTCCTGCAATGATTCCATAGTGGTAGTAGGCTATCATGCATTTCTAATTTATAATCATAACGTCCTTATTTTATGGCATTTTTAATCTTTGAACAAGATTATAATTTAAAAACAAGATTTTATGTAAATTCTATTTATTTGAATTGAATAAAACAATCTAATTATGCTCATTATGGGTTCTTGTTCACAATCAAGAATAATTTAAATAACAGGATAATAGAGATAAAAGATGTTTACGTGTAACTTACATGACATTTAAGAACTGTATCAAGATCACTGTCCTCCACAACGAATGCTCGAGCATATGTGTCAATCTTCGACTTTTCCACAAGACGATAGTGCGATAAAAAATCTATATCCGCGTCTATAAAAATAAAATTTGTATCATTATAAATGACTGCAAAATATATATTGTTATACTTGAATGATATTATTTGAGAAAATAAAATTATCAACTATGGTGCAGTCACTTATTCACAATGTTGTTGATAAATCCATACATTTCGAATTACAAATAAATAAGACATATTTTGAGCGATCAGCACTGTAGCAGTTAATTCTTACACTTTTATGTCAAGATTATTGCCAGAAAGATCTTTGATTGAATGTAGATACAATATTTTACCTCTTTCGTCGAGATCCTTGGCGTATTGGTCAACAAGTCTGCTTAAACTGATCACCTTTTCTAAATGTTGTTGTAATGCTGCACCTCCTCGTCTCATTATAACGTTAACACGCCTTACACCAGTCACTTAATATGCAAACATATTTTAATATCACACATTTGAACTTGAAGAGTCAATGGATAAGGACTTCATATTAACCGTAAGGTGAATTTGGGTATGGAAAAAAGTATTCTCAAATGCATATTGAATTCTAAAATCAAATTTTGAAACAAATTTAACTATGAGATCCATTAAAGGACAATTTAAAACTTCCACCAAAACATAACAATGTGTTCAATCATTCCATAAGAAAAATGATTGTTCTACTGATTTTTACTTTAAATAAAATAAAACACTCACATGAATCTATATCGAGATTTGCATCTCTAGCTAACGTTGCATCACTCACTTCTCTGCTATAATCGCCAAGGGCTTTGGTTCCAATCACCACATCACCGTCAGTAATTTGTACATCTTTACCAAACATTTTCTGCAAAAAATATACATATTGTTAACATTGGAGATTCCAACTGGCCATCTGCAAAGATTTGACTTCTTTAAAATTTACAGGGATGAACTGAATATAAGTAGACTTTCATTGATCATTAATAATTACCCAAGGGTGCCGAAACACCTTTTACTATTACCTCGTGCAAGCGTCTCATGTCAATTGTTGAACAGGCAACTAATTGAAATGAAAAAGATTTTGAGTTAAGTCCAGCTTTAAACCAGCGATATCCATGTCCGAAGATGATGAGATAAAACAAAAGGGTATATGTACAAAGCCTCCAGTTTTGTTCATACTTGATTAAAGGGTATTTCCTAACATGTACATTTCGTTAGCGTTACTATCATTTGATGGTATTACTGTTATTGAAAGAGGATGATCTTACGTGCCTTTTGGAGTGTTTTGCTTCTACTAAAACTATTTATATCTTTCAAAGATATATCTTGTTTAACTTTTTAGGTTTCATTTACTCATCATCAAGTTATTACCAAAACAAATGTCTTTATTTCAATACTAGGATAAAAATAGATAAATATAAATATATATTTAAATATAAATAATTAATAATTATTGTGAATCCAGTTTCGACAATTTTTACTGAATCACGATTGATAAAATTAGAATCCCTAAAGAAAGCCCAATATGGCAGAATTGAAAATTTTACAGACTCGATTTAATTGAGCCTGTTTTTAATGACGGTACTGTCAAGTGCAAACTACCGTCCACGCCTGCTAGCACCGGCTTAAGCAGAATTCAACATTTAAACATGAAATAGCAAAATTTTGAATCAAGAAACATTTGTTTCATCTTTAATTTCTGTTAATTTCCTTTTCCATAATTTCCTTTAATCAACTGATTGCTTGATCAAAAAATCACCTTCAACTGTTTAGCTATTTCTTTTGCTGAAAGGTTTGGATCTATTCCTAGAGCTCTCAGTTGATCTTTAGTCAGTTTGCTGAGGTCTATCTTCTTTCCCTTAAGTCGTATTTTCCCATCAGGGCCTATTTCAAACAACTTTTGTTCTTCTGTAAGTTGTTCTGTAGAAAATAATAACACATTTTGAGACTACATCTTATATTCTTAATATTCGTGTGCCTTTAAATCACACCAGTATGAATACATATATATGCATATACATTAAAGGCGAGATCTGAATATGAGATAATATGTATTCATTTTTATGGAGACGACCTTTCCATTAAATAATTTTATTTGTTCTATAACTAAACATGAATCACACTGTTTGGATGGATTTAGTGTTTCAGTTAAATTGGAGGTCACTCTCTTGGGAAAGGAAATATATGAAAGTAAAGTTTTAGATATAATTTTAAGTAAACTCATACTTTCATAAATGCACATTGTTACGATTTATAATTTATGAACAAAACAATCGCCACGAAGTGATTTTATATTTGCTTAAAAAAATGAAAGACATGTAGTTAAAATTCTTTGTGTGAAATTGTATTTACCGGATTCTTCTGTTTTGTCTTTGTTGGCTTTATCTGACACTGACTCTTCCTCTTCATCATCACTTGCACGCTAAAATATAGACACGTGACCAATACAAAATTATAAACCAATTAAAACGATGCATTCCCAAGATTGAAGAAACAACGGTTATTCAATAAGTTAATTACCTAACGTAATGCATACTGATTCGATAATGGAAGATCTGAATATCTGATTGTAGGCATCAGATCAATTAATTGTACGCGACACTAAATTTAATACTCATCAATTTCCTGAAAGAATAAAGGGAATTTTCTGGCTCACACTATACAGAGTTCTTGTGTATGTAAAGCGACAAAAACAACAAGAACAAATATAATTTAATACAATTTGCAGGACAGATTTGTACCGCGTTACGAGCGATAACAATATTTGATTTAGTGTGAGGATTGTATATATTTATTGATTATTTTGTTCTTACCTTATAGGGATTAGATATCCTGCTACTTGTTTTATCATCTGAAATCACAACAATTGTCATTATTATTATAATTATGATTGAATTGTGTATTCGTTCTTTTGTACAAATTTAACAAGAATTGTACAAAGATAAAAGTGGGAACCATTGTCATGCAAAGTTCTGACAGCACGAACTGTGAGGAAAGAGGGGAAAAGAAAACAAGATATAATATTGTAAAATATTACTAAGGTAAATCCACATGATGATAATTATTCTTAAATATTCTTATAAAGTTTTATGGTTTCAACCGTAATACTCTTGCTCTTGATTGAAATTCGTTTATGTAAGAGCTATGTATAAAAGTCGATGATAAAACGAGTCTTGCCTTCATAAATTTTCCCCTGGGTAATGGTTGGAAGTGGTTTGATCATTGTTGTTTCCCTGTGAAGTTTAGGTGGCGCGTCACTACCCTCGCTCACTAAAATATATATAAAATCAAAGATTTCAGTATACAGTCGTCATTATATCACCTTTGTTAATAACAACACTTGCTAGTGCCATTGCCCTGACAATAAAAAGACTTAAATAACTGATTTACGATTCACTGAAATAATAACAGAATTATACTATAAATTGACACAGCAAGTAAATATTCTTTAACTAACTTGGTTTGTCATGCAAACATGCCAACTTATGTATTATGATGAAAAGCAACACAGAATTATATGAAACAAGAAAGATATGACAACGAACTAATTTAGTTTATGATACTCAAGTATAACTAATGTAATGAGGATTTGTTTCGAATTACCATCGCTTCCTTTTCTCCGCAGGCGATCTCGAGGACCCCAACTGAAAAAGGATAACAATATCAAGTTTTTAAAGAACGCGTTGTCACCCCGCTCTGCAAATGCGTATTATATAGCTTGAAGATACATTAAATATATTGCAACTATTCAAGAAAAAAAGATAACTCTCATAATTCAGTCTTTTCTGTATGGCAAACAAATGCTTCATATTTCTGTCAACTTTAATTTCAGTTAGTTTTCGTACAGGTTTACTCTTAAACGCTATTTCCAATTCCAGTTACGTTTCATGAACTTTAAAAAAACTGACATGAATAACCAGTGAATTAAAATAATTATCATAGATTCACAATCAATGTATAAAATTGTATCTAAAAATGTCTTTATCCGACTTACTCTTCATGACTTAAGCCTATTTCTCTGTTATCTCTCTTACTATCATGTCCCAAGTCCCTAGGTGGCCCCTTGTCGTACGTTACCATTGACCTCGGTCTTCCACCAGGTCCTAAAGAATTAATTATAACGATATATTAAACACGAATAAATAAATTACGAGTATCCTTTAACTACTAGTAGTAAATAGGATAACAATGAAACATTTTTGCTGGGGTGTACGCAGCACCAACACTGTATAGGTCATATGACGACTTTTCAGCTTTATTGGTGGAGGAAGACCTCAGGTGCCCTTCCATGTATCGTTTCATCCACTAACAACCACCGACGATTCTTAAGTTAGCTGAATAGCTTCCTCACATGCAAAATTTCAAAGTCCTTTGCGGGATTCGGATTCATAGTGGTGAGGGGCAAGTGGTTTGAAGTTAAGGACTTTAACCACTCCGCCACGGACTCCCAAAAAACATTAAATAAAACGCATGAAACTCACTTTCATCATCTCAAATTATCTACTCACTGCTTATACTCGATGCATTGCTAGATCGTCGTCTGACAGAAAGACGATCTTTTTCCCTTTCTTTTTCTCGTTCTTCTTTTCTTTTTTGCTCTTCGGCTTCCCGTTCAGCTACTTTCTGCGCCAATTCTTCATATTTCTTTCTGTAAATGGTTTATTTAAAAATTCAAGAAAAGTAATAGTATTTCAGTGATACTTCAACAGGTTAAATGTTAATTCCTATGAAAGGGCTGAATGTTTTTAAAGCAAGTAATTTGCAATTTCCTATCATTATTGCGTTTAACCAGAATGGAGGAAAAACGATTATAGACATGCTATCTTCAAATCGCAATAAAAGGAACTTTCAAATTTTGTTTGTTTGTTTGTTTGTTTCATTTTTAAGCATTTTCCCAACAGTATTTCAGTCATATCTATAGCGGGTAGTTTCCTAACCATCGTTCCTGGAGAGTTACACCAGTACTAGACTACCTTCCTCCGCGCTAAACTTCCAAAGCATCTCCCAGGGGAACTTTCAAATAAAAGTATACATACTATTTTAGCGATTTGACATTTCCTCATGAAAAAAAATACATGAAATAAATGTGCATTATTAAAGCAATTATTCTACATGCAAGAACTCTTCATGTATAATTTAGTATAAATACAGGATCTCACATGAGTTTCATATAACTAAGAGAAATAGTAAATAGTTAACACATGGTAAACAGGTAACACAATCTGATAATAAAAAGCTTACGCATTTTTCTTTTTCATGATTTCATCATATTTATCCCCATATTTTTCCCTCCGCCTCTTTTCTCTTTCTTTTCGCCTCTTCTCCTTTTCAGCAAGATATTGTCTTCTCTGCGCCGGTGTTAATTTAGAAAGATCTATATCATCATCAGTTGTAGCATCACTAAAATCTGAAGGTATATGTGCGTCCTCTTCCAAAATTTTCTGTTCTTTATCAGCAGCCTCTTGTCCTTAAAAGTACAGTTGTAGTTTGTTTTACTAGTATTTTGAATGTCCCCATTGCCATCTCTTGACTTTTATTAACCCCCCCCCCCCCCTCGCCGAAAAGGTATAAGTTGCCTTCGCCAGTTTACCCCTCTGTTTTCCCGTCCCAACTTTTGTTCAGAGCATTTTTCGCAAAGTATTTGAAATATCAACTTGAAAATTTCATAGGTGGATAGAACTCATTCAATAAAAGTACATAATTTTAATCATTGTTCTTTGTTATTTTTCAGGCATAATTTTTGTCCAGAACATTAATTGAAAAGCATTTGAGATATCAAGTGTTTTACATAAAAAAGATGATTTAATTACATACATTTTTTAGTTTTTGCCCTTTGTTATCTTTCGTGCTTATGTAATAACTCAATAAGTCATTGCAATACCAACTTGCAATTTCAATGGTGGATATTTTTTCATTTAATGATATTTTAATTACTGACCTATATTAGTTTCCATGCTTTTTTCAAGACTTTAACTCAAAACATTTAAGGGTATCAGCTTGAAATTTCCTAGTTGAAAAGCTCACATATCTTTTTTTTACTGTTAAAATAATTGCAATTTTGTTCGTAGTTTTATAATGTCAAAGATATCGGATGGATTATACTCGTTATAATTTTTCTCCTGATCGGCGGGGAATTTGACATACTGTGCTCCTTGTTAACATCACAGCCATTTAGTTTTACTACCAAGTTAGATTTAAGAAATGAATTGATGTACATGGTTAACAAAACCCTTATTTTTATTTTGGATGGATTTTTGTTGTCTTTCTATTTGTAATTTGCGAGTGAGAGTAGATCGGTAAAAAAGTCGATTTTGAAATACCTGGCCATTCCATATTATTGGACAAAAGATTTTCTCCGTCCTCCCGTAGATTTCGGAGACTGTCAGTGGTCATCTCTCGCAACAGTTCACCATCTCGTTTGTTTTGTAAACTCTGCAATGCTTCTTCAGCATCTCTGTATATAAAAATATACATCATTACAACTTGAAGTCGTTTTTATTTAAGATATATCAGAATTAAGCGTTTTTATGTTTAGAGAATCTTTATGAAAATATTCATTTAGATATAAAATGTGTATTTAGATTTAATATATATGTTTTTAACTTTAAATCTATATGCAAAACCCTAATTATAAAACTTTGATTACAAACATGTGGACAATAACTTTGAAAGAACTCTTTTTTTATCTATACCTTAATTCAAAACAGCACGCCTCCAGATTAATGCTTATTTTCATGAAAATTTTGAAAATGAAATTAAATGTAAAATAATGTATAGTAACCAAAAGGAATCATTTTACACATTATCAATGGCAATTACAACCCATGTTTATGACAAAAAGAGGTCAAAATATGCAATAAAATGCCCTTACTGAGTTAGTAACGCAGTAGAAATATAGTTACACATAATGAAAAATACACCATTAATCGTTCAATCATGATATGTAAATTATTACTTGAATCTTTGCCTAAAATCTTAGTACATTTTTCACAAGTTTGATTTATTAAAATATTTTCGCTCATCTGGAGGCATGCTCCTTTAAAATTGAAAGCAACAATGTATTTCAAAGAAAACAAAATGGTAGATATATCTGTGCAGCTAATTAGTCCCCTACCGGTTAACCGGAGGGGACTTTAGGTTTACCCTCCGTCCGTCTGTCCGTCTGTCTGTCCGTCCGTCAGTCCGTCCGTCCGTCCGTCCGTCTGTCCGTCCGTCCACAAAACTGGATCTCGCGATAACGCAAAAAGTACTGAAAATATTTTTATGAAACTTGATATATGGATAGATGGCAGTATATGGAGATTATGCACGTCTTTTTCTTTTCTTCCTATGTTGAAAATTCTGGTTGCTATGGCAACAAATAGACTGAAAATATGGCAAATTTTACACATAACCTGGATCCCGCGATAACGCAAAAAGTACAGAAAACATTTTTATGAAACTTGATATATGGATAGATGGCAGTATGGAGATTATGCACGTCTTTTTCTTTTTTTCCTATGCTAAAAATTCTGGTTGCTATGGCAACAAATAGACTGAAAATATGGCAAATTTTACACATAACCTGGATCCAGTGATAACGCAAAAAATACTGAAAATACTTTTATGAAACTTGACATATGGGTAGAGGGCAGTCTGGAAATTATGCACATCCTTTTCTTATCTTCCTTTGTTGAAAATTCTGGTTGCTATGGCAACAAATAGACTGAATTTCAAGATTTCTGATTTTAGTTTTTAAGTTTTTTTCACTATAAGTTCTTTATTTCGTAAGGTATTTTCTTCAAACTTTAAATATAAGTTGCTAGTCATCAACCACATCATATGTGACAAGGTTTACAACTCTAGCACAAAATTTATCAGAATTACCTCCCTTGAACTTAAAATTTTCATGAAAAAAATATTGTTTTTTTTAATAACTTCTTTTTTTCTGAATGTATCTACTTCAAACTTCATATATATGTTTCTTATTATCACTCAACATTTGTGAGAAAGGTCAATACTCTAGCAAGACTTTTTCCAGAATTATGCCCCTTTTGAACTTTTTTTCGAGAAATTGGTAATTTTTACTCCAAATTCTTCAATCATTATAGGATTTTCTTCAGCTCCTTCAGTGTCCTTTAGTCCGTCTGTCTGTCTGTACATAAAAACTGTTTCCTGTGATCACTTTTTAAGAACTTTTTCAACAAATTTACTTAAAATAGAAACATAAGTGAATGGCCAATGGCCCTTCAGAATGTTGCTGGGGTTCTAACCGGTAGGGGACTTATGGATTGCTTGCAATACTATGATAATTGCTTGTTCATCTAAAAACTGTTTATTTATACTTTTAGACTATATTATTCATTTAGATTTTATGTAATACAACTCAAGATCCCTAGAAACCTAGGGATATTTATGTAAAAACAATCCAATAAATAGAGTCTTGAGGAAAATGTTTGTGATACAAGAGTCAGAATTCTTTTAGACTTATTGGCTGTAAAAATCGTCGAGTATCGGAGTGAATGGGTTTCTGTTTTAATAGAACAAATCGGCACGATTTGAACGGATTAGAGTTTGGAACAAATAAGAAGGGGGTGGGGATAGTTAAGGCATGTGATGGTTTCACAAACAAAACATGAACTGTGATATATTATACATAATAAATACTAATTAGATATTATATGATAATGCTATAGAAATATTCTAACACACACATAAAGGTCAATCGAGTGCATCATTGATATAATTATGCACGGCATAAAAAGGAATGCCTGCAAGTCATATGACGTCAGATGAGACGTCGATAAAATGATGTCCGAACAATTACTTCTCCGTTCAATGTAATTCATAATATTCTTATTATTTCCCTCTTAATTAGCATGTTAGAATGGAAATAGATATTACTCTTTCTTGCGGTGCATTATTACAACGTATTCAGAATTGATATCATTTCCTAATAGGAACATCACAGAAACTTCAAAGTAATAAGAGTGAAATTAATTCAAATCAATCAAAATTACCTTGCAGAACCTGATAACAAATGAAAGAATGAGTTTATCAATATCCTGATGGCGAAAGTAGATAGATTAATTAACATTTACGTATAGATATTTCAAAAACAACACACTGTGTACATTAGAATATACGTTACTGTATTTTTTCTTAGACATATATTTATGTTTAAGTTGTTATACACAAACCATAATTATAACATTTTTACATGCTCGACTGATAAATCTGACGTACATTTAATAATTATACATGTATATCGGAAGTGCATTTGCTTGATCACTGAGAAAATATTTACCCCGCACTGCTTCTGATCCGGCTTTAACTGGTTTAGCTTCTCCGTAGCCAATTACGTTACCATCTGCGTCCCTTATTCTCTTCTTCTGAACATGCGTTTTCGTTCCACCCTCACTGACAACACTGAAGATGCTAACATCAGAGTCGTCTTCTTCCTCTCCTTCTTCGCCACTTTTATTGTCGGCCTTCAAATCAATATCCGATTGTCCACTTTTATATGATTCGCTAGCACTATATGTTCCATCTGCATGGCGTTTCTTGCGCCGCACATGCCGCGTTCCTCCAGCACTAACAACACTGTAGTAACTGTGTTCGCTTCCTGAGCCGTGTTCTCGGTCTCTACGCCGTCGCCGGCGTCTTGCCTCACCTTCTTCGTCCTTTCAGAAATCAGATATTGAATAATTTAATAATGTAAAAAAGTGTATTAATTGGCCTAAAATTTATAAGCGACACTAATCACTTATTTCGTAATCTTAGCTTTCTTTGTGAAATAAGAAACTTTATTATCAACGTTTTGACCAAACTATAATAAAAGAAACATGTAAGGTTTTACGCACGCGTAAAATGGCTGCGATGGAATGGTCAGCTGTGCACCTTAAAAGAAGAGCCGAATAAAATGCTACCTTGACGAAAATCTGTTTAGATCTAAGCAGTTGTTGAAATTAAAGACGAAACTTTACAACACGAAATTTCCATTACGTACGTACAATATATTGTGAATGGACGGGTACGCTTAAGTCAATGTCGTAATTTGCCAGGAATACAACACCATGTGTGTTATTTATATATAACCAGTGCTGCTTAATGCTTTGGACATTGTACTTTATATATCCCGATTAAACGATATATAAACTTTTTATAAGCAAATGACCAACAATAAAACATCAAATTTGAGCATAATGCACCGGTCACATACTCAGGAAGAGCTATGGTCTAATCGTTTACGGATTACTACGGAAATATGAAATTCCGTAGTCCGCTACGGTTCTAGTACGGAAACACAACGGTATGAGTACGGAGTTCGACGGATTTACCGGCAAAATGTAGGTGAAAGCCCCGGGAGAGACACGGATTGTTACGGACCGAGACGGTTTGATACGGAGCGACACGAATCAGGACTGACGCACTAAGGATACACTATGGTCTGCTACGGTATAAGCACGGGTTAGTACCAATAAGTACGGTCTGATACGGAGAATAACGAATTGCCACGGATCTATACGGGCCTATCATATCCGTACAAAACTCTTGAGTGCTCACTTTCAAAATGCCTCACAAGAAAAGAACATAAAGAAAAAGAATTGCAGAGTTCAATGATTCTGGCGGAGAGGATTCGACCTCATCGCGTCCGACCCCCGTGACATATAAGGTCCGATTCTAGGACGCCGGATTCCTAGTAACAAGTTCGGCCACGTTCTGTCTCCTCTTACCTGATTAAATATATAATCATTAATGAAAAAATGTTGATCAATACTGCTTCTCTTTTGATTTTTAAATTGGCTGTTCATTTTACAATTACATTAATTATCGTGAATGTTCATGTGTTAAAAAGCTTTTTAATTAGTCTTATTATCACTCAAGGCCCAGCGTCTGAGGCTTATGAGACACTGCGTTTTATGTACACATTTACTCCAATTTCACGATCCATTTTTTTTTTTATGAAATATGTAACCTTAAATGACATTCTATTACTAGTGCATTGTAGTACGATATTAATATGTTTTATACCTCTATGCATGTCACCAAGCAGCTCAACCACTGCCTTGCATTCTGGGCCATATCAATATCCAGTTGCAGTCATTTAATGGCAATAATCTTTTATTGAATGACATGAAAACGCAAATATGTCTGTTTTTAACAAAAATGCAGTATTTATACCCTTGAAAAAGTACATGATACTTAATTTATCCGTACTAAACAGTGGTGGGCCCTACTATTCCGTACCGTTTCGTGTTGCAACGCAATAAACCGTATAAGACCGTGCTAATCCCTGCCTCTCCGTAGTACAACGTATTACGATCGTGGCTTTACGTGACAATGCCGTATTAATCCGTATTAAAACCGTAGCATATACATAGGGTAACCGTACAAATACGTAGTTCTCCGTATCAAACAGTGGAAATCCTTGACAAGTTGGGGACTACGAGTCAGTACGGACTAGTACGGTTTTCGTACGGACCAGTACGTATCAGCACGGTGTAATACGGACTAGTAGGGATATGCTACGGTTGATTTTTCCGTAACAAATTTTTGTGCATGTTCAAAAATTGTCAAGGATCGCTACTAATACTTCTACGATTGATTACGGTTACAATACGGAGAGCTACTGACCATTACGGGTAGCTACGGACGATGCCGGAATTAATCCGTGGCTCTTCCGTGGTCGTATTCCGTGAATATGTGACCGGGTATAAGACATTAAAGGCATCACACCCGTAATCAAATCTAAACAAAATAAAAAAAGCACACGTGTGACCTCGCTTTAATATAAAAAGGCGGTTATTAAAGTTTGAAGCCAGAACTATGTCCACACAGCACTATCAAAATTATCTAGAAAGAAACAAGCAATTATCATCGTATTGCAAGCAATCCATAAGTCCCCTACCGGTTAGAACCCCAGCAACATTCTGATTTCATTTTTACCAGTGAATGAATGACATGAATGAACTTAAATCTTTTGAGTTCTAAGGTTGTCTATTTCATAGTAATGTGTTAAGTTTCCCTGCCTAGTAAGGCAATTATGTTTATACAACCTTGTCATATTATTACGATGTGGGATTTTAAAGTAAATCCTATAAGGAATGAAGAAGTTGGAGTAAAAAATACCAAGTTCAAGGGGGATATAATTCTGGAAATAGTCTTGCTAGAGTATTTAACCTTCTCAAAAATGTTGAGTGATAATAAGAAACATATATATGAAGTTTGAAGTAGATAAATTAGGAAATAAAGAAGTTATTTAAAAAAGACAACATTTTTTTTTTCATAAAAAATCTAAGTTCAAGGGAGGTAATACTGATAATTTTTGTGCTAGAGTTGTAAACCTTGTCACATATGATGTGGTTGATGACCAGAAACTTATATTTAAAGTTTGAAGTAAACACCTTAAGAAATAATGAACTTACTGTATAGTGAAAAAGCTGAAAAAATTAAATCAGAAATCTTGAAATCCAGACTATTTGTTGCTATAGCAACCAGAATTTTCAACATAGGAAGAAAAGAAAAAGATGTGCATAATCTGCAGACTGCCATCTACCCATATTTTATGTTTCATAAAAATATTTTCAGTACTTTTTGAGTTATCACTGGATTCAGTTTATGTGTTAAATTTGCCATATTTTCAGACTATTTGTTGCCATAGCAACCAGAATTTTCAACATTGGAAGAAAAGAAAAAGACGTGCATAATCTCCATACTGCCATCTATCCATATATCAAGTTTCATAAAAATATTTTTAGTACTTTTTGCGTTATCGCGGGATCCAGTTTTGTGGACGGACGGACGGACTGACGGACTGACAGACAGACAGACGGACAGACGGACGGGGGGTAAACCTAAAGTCCCCTCCGGTTAAACCGGTAGGGGACTAAAAATACAAAACTCTAAAAGGTTAACATTTAAATTTCTTCAAAACGAACTTATTTCCTAGTTTCTAGAGGTAAACAAATGGATAGATTGAAAAACAGATGTTTTAGGACAATTCAATACAACACGGATGTATTTTGTCCAAATGCGAAACAGTTTCCCTTCAGGTGGAGGCAACGTGTTTGCTTTAGCCTGGTTCCCTCGGTAAACTACCCTCATTACATAAAATCAGGCAGTTATACGGTCCATAGGTTGTATACGGAGATAAAAATGCAAATAGCAATGTTTTCAACAAAAAAGAATTTTCAAATATGTCCTGAAGTGTATGTCACAGGGCGAGAAAAACTCGAACCCGGGACCCTCGGAATACCGTACCGCGGCTCTACCGACTGATATATCCGGCCGCTTACACATCATCTCGCCTAAAAAGTGAACAGTTCTGAACCGAAACATACTCTCCTGCTATATTGAAATTCGTCCTCAAATTTCACAGTTAAAGAGCAATGTGAATTAAACTTTGAGCTATATGCAGTCACGGTCCCACGTTGGGCGCCAAATGAAAAAAGTGCAGTCTGACCGGGACTCGAACCCGTTACCCCCGGAATACCGTACCGCGGCTCTACCGACTGAGCTATTCGTCCGCTTACACATCTTCTCCCCTAAATAGTGAACAGTTCTGAACCGTGACATGTAAATATTTTTATGCATTTGTTGTTTTTTATTGACGACTCGCAAAATAAGTGAACAGTCATCATTTCGCAGTAAATCATGCGCCTGATTCCTGACAAAGTTTGATGATGATTAAAGAAAAAATGTAACCACTGGAGTGTTAACGAACAAATGTGGACGGACGACGGACATTTAACGATCCTAAAAGCTTACCCTAAGCTACCTCAGGTGAGATAAAAAGAGTGGGGCTTTGGGTAAATTTTTATTTCATCCTGAACATTTTCCAATATCAACTTATCGCGAAACACTGTTTTAACAGTTATCTTTTTTAAATATATAGTTAATTAACTCTACTTGACAATTAAAAAATGAAAATAATGTCACTTTAATGAAAATAGCATACCTGACTGCTATGATAGGAATGTTCATCACTGTAAGTTCCGTCATCACGCTTCCGTCTACGTCTCACGTGACGTGTACCACCATCACTTACAAAACTTTTGTAGCTGTATTCACTATCACTGTCAGCGTTTCGTTTACCTTTCTTGTAATTTTCTTTCTGCTCTTTGTTCATCTTAGCCTTCTTCTCTTTCTCTTTTGCCTTCTCTTTAGCCTTTTTTGCAATGGAAGCTTCACTTCTGCTACCTCTTGCCCCTTTTAACTTTTTTTTTGCTCTAACAAATAAGCACTCGTATTTTATCATCAACCAATTGTTTATATGCACATGTTAAATACTAGTACGTTTAACCTTTCTACAGTTACATCATTCTTTTTTTTTTTCTTTTCTTTCTTTTTTTTTTTTTTTTTTTTTTTTTTTTTTTTTTTTTTGCTTAACCTGTTATAACTAATGCGTTCTATTCTATTCTAGAATTTCACAATTAACCCATGGCCTATTGTTATCAATTGAATCTACCAACGATCAGTGCTGACCAAGATCACGGTCTGCACTTTTCAGTCAGAACATAATTTGAAATTTTCCCTAAATATTGAATAGTTTAGTCCAGACTGAAAGATAGACAAAGTCCATTTAAGTTATTTAACGTGGATTAATACAAAATTATTTAGTGTTACTGTACTGTATGCATAAATCAATTCTTTCTTAAAGAAATACTGCTTTTTTAAGAAAGTTTTGTAGTTATGGAAGTGATTATAAAAAATTTTTAAATTTTGTTTACAGCAGTAATTTTGGGAAAAGGAAAGTTGTCGTAAAAATTAACTCAAGTCATTAAAAAAAATTTTTCGTAAAGAAATAAAATCAGTAAAAGGACATTAGCCCACTGTAGAAAAGGGGGATGAACTCAAAAGAAAAATAAAAATTTTGACTAAATTTTTTAAAATTTTTTACAGTTCATTTTAAAAAACCAGCTGATATAAAAAAAAATAAAAATTTTTAAAAAATAGTTAAAAAATAAATTTCGTCATAAACAATTTTGCATTATCAATTATGGGTCAATGACAAACTATCCAGCTGTACTCGACAACGAAAATTTGAGCGTAATGTCATAATGTCATATAATAATCACACCGTATTATTAAATGTGATGTTAAAATGTTAGATAGCTAGTTCATATTTTTATGTTACGCATTTTCGACAGTTAAAATCAAGATAAAGTAGGCCATTTAGAAAAGCTTGTTAAATGAAAACCTTTCTAAAAATATCGAAAATTATTTATTTCAGAACCACTGTTGATCCTTATAAATTGTCGGTATCCATTTCTGCAATGATCGTGTATCATTTTAAGTGATAACATATATATTTTTTATGAACTTCTGCGATTAAGTTTTGATGTAATTTTGGAAAATCTGTATCAATTTCTGCGATAGTCATTTATGGGATACTTTAAAAAGTCCTAATTTGGATTTTGTCCCAAGTACTTATTAGGAGATACTAAGCCATAATTAGTCTTTTGTCCATTTAAAACGTGTTTCTGTGCGAAATCAACAAAATTGAAAACAATAGTTCTTCCGCGAACATATGTTTCTGAGCACGTGCGTCTCACATTACTTTTCCTACTTTCGAGAAGTTAAATGGTATAACAAAGTTATGCATGAACTTGGGCACAACTTCCGGTGTTTTATATACATTTGGATTATCAGGTTTTGTTGGGTTTTTTTTTCTTCTTTTTTTTTCGTTTGTTTTTTAAAACTCATACGCTGTGGCTTCAAGATTTTACAAAGAACGATGCCATATGAAATATGTATTTATCGACCTTTGGTTTATTATGTTTTTTTATTTATAGTTAAAATAAATGTTAGTGCTTCAAGGTCGGTAAAGCTTTGTGTTTTACAAGCTGATCTAAACTATTATAGATACACTTAAATGTGCTGTTAGCCAAACGACACTAAATGTTAAAAATATTGAAGAAACATTTATTGAAAATCCCATTTCTGACATAAACAGATCACGAAAATCTGTCAGATCAATGTAATTGATGGTGATTTCATGAGAACAGATCATCGTTCTGGCAAGTTATATTACCAGCGTTGGTCAGGACAACTATACTTGTCACATAATTATATGACACATAATTATAGTTAAATGCTGATAAGCCGTATGCTAATATTAAAAAGTAAAAGAAATGAACATGTTTGTTTTTTCCTCAACGAGTAACAAACTTACCACGTCCCAATATCTGGAGGGTAATACAGTTGGTTTCCATACGCTGTGCTGGAGGTGGGGCTTTAAGGAATACACATGTGACTTGATCATAATATATTAATACAAGGGCAAAATTATATATTAAGAAGGGTTATTAGTTCAAAGAAGTGTTATCACATGTTGACAAACAAACTCTTTGATGACATGAAATGTAAAGCATAATAGACAGATTGCAATTTCTTATATAAAAACTTATATAAAAAACTTTGTAATTAATTAATGGATTATTATCAAACTTGGACAAAACAACCGTTTGGACAAGACATTCTAAAAAGTTGAACTGAGCTTGACCTTGAGATTTATATGACCTTGGCCGACAAGGTCAAAGTATTGAATTTTGGTTAAGTTTTTTATACATAATTATGTTATTTATGTACGAATTTGATTCAAAGGTGAACAAAGCAACACTTGTGACCAAACTGACATGTGGAATAATTTAGATATGACCTTGACCTTTTATTGACCTTGACTGTCAAACTATTGAATTTGATGACATTTTCTTAACTTTTCATTTATTTATGAAAAGGATTCATACTTAGACAACAAGTGTGACTAGACAGACCTATTAAAATTAAAAAAAACCTTATTTTTTCTTCTATAAATTTCTTTTTTAGATCTATTTAAACCGTTTATTTGTTTGTTCTTAGAAAAAATCGAGCCGACAAAAGCCTTTGATTTAATCGATTCATTTTGGATAACCTTCAAAAAGTGAAACAAAATATACTGTGATACACATAAGGTCTTCAACGCATTTTAATAGTTGTGACACGGTTATCTCAAACTGTGCGAATAAACAATACTAACTTTTGAGATCCTGGATTTTCTGAAATGAAAAGTTTAAGTTAAACTACGGTGGCACAATTGTCTGTTTTTATTTATCTCGTGCGCACGAGATACTATGTCGTGACCATGAGTTTCTAAGTCGTGGCCACGAGTTACAAAGTCGTGGGCACGAGAAAATTAAGTCATGGGAACGAGATACTTAGTCGTGGTCACGAGATAATTAAGTTATGGGAAAGAGATACTTTGTCGTGGCAACGAGTTACTAAGTCGTGGCCACGAGATAACTAAGTCGTGGGAAAGAGATACTTTGACTTTGATACTAAATCGTGGCCGCGAAAAAATAAAGTGGTGCGCACAAGATACTATGTCGTGGCCACGAGTTACTAAGTCGTGGCTACGAGATAACTATAAGTATAGTTTATATATAGTATATAACAGCATATAGCTTGATGGAGACTGGTGTTTATGATATTAACGACATTGGGAAGAATTGGCGTAATAACATGGATAACATAGTTTTGCATTCGGCCAATATAAACATAGATGAAACGATTTCACATTAAGCCGTGACAGAATAAACGTATAAAAAACAAAGATGACACAGTTTTAAGGGAAAACTGACCCATGAAACATGAATGAAAATATTGTAAATTAAGTCAATTATAATCATCACACATCCACGATGACATTTGTGTTCTGAACAAACCAGAATTGAGATAAGTGAAAATACAAATGAATAATTATCAAAGATAAACTGCTAGAACAATTTTTATCCTTTATTCACACAAGGTATGTAAAGTCAACAAGACGCAGTTATATACAAAAATATTATATAAAATTATGTTGGCACATACTCGGTTAAATTTATATTCATTTATGATATCTAGCACAAATAATTACTATTCAATGTTTAAAAATTGTTAAAGAAATGTCTTTACACAAAAAACAAGAATAGAAAGATTCAAAGCACTTATTTACAGCTTCTATTTATACACGTTTAATTTTTGTTTTTTGCTGTATTTTGGTGTTGTATTTTTACTTTCACACGATACACATGTATTTTAATAAATAACTGAGTAACAATCTATTCTGAATATATCGGACCAAATTACAATAGTTCTGTCAAAATATGTTACGTAGAGGGATTTGTCAATATTTATCAAACTATACGTTTCCACCTATGTCCAAACATAAAAACTTAAAAATGTTTTCAATGGATAACAAATAATAATTAATATTGTCAAAATACAGAAAATGATGTGACACCGAAAGAAATCCACCTGTCTGGGTATATGGATACAAATGAAAGACAGTTATATGGCATCATATATTGAAGCTGATCATCTACAATTGTCCAACAAACAGACATGTATTATCGTGACTGCTATGTGATTGGATCATTACTATCAATTATACGGGTTAAAGCTACTCGGATTTAGGGTCAAGACCAAATCATCGGAGGAGGGCTGTCTGATTTTATTTCTATCGGCTTCTCTTCTATAAGTTTCGGTAACCTGAAATAAACAAAACACATTTATCTTATGCATAATCAGCAATCATATTATATAAAAGAAGTAGAAGTTTTAAGGAATGGAAGTTTAGGTCGTTGACTTCAAACCACTTGCCCCTTATCGCTGTGTGTTCGAATCCTGACAGAGACTTTGGATTATTTCTTAGGAAACGTCAGTGGTTCTACTCAGGTGCCCGTTCGTGCCTGAAATAATGCAGAGAAGATAAAAAATTGGTCACCTATTTTAAAGTTAAGCTCAGCAGAATATATCACAACTTTATTTAATTTTGATTTTTATCTTACGTTGCAACTTTCTCTAATAGTTTTCTTTTCTCGTCCTTTAAATCTTCTGGTTTAATCTTCCCATCAAGCAGATCTTGGGCCTGGCTGCGGAGTTGGAACACTGAATCTCTTTTTAAATGGTTACCTATGGAACAAAAGAAAATATATAGATAAAGGTACATGTACATCAATTTACAGTATTTGTTAACATTTGTGAAATGGTTAAGAGTAATATTTGAATTCATGGTTTCTTTGATACGAGAGCAAAGAGTCACGTGGTAATGTAATATTAAATTACAGTGTCATCTGCTACTGTCTAAAATTAAAACTATAACCATTATCAGCAACAATATCCGCAATAATACTCATTATCGACAATAACAGCTGCTCCAGTTGCTCAGTTGCTCCAATAATAGCCATTATTTACAATAATAGCCATCATCTACAATATTAGCCACTATCTACAATAAAAATCAATATCTACAAAAATAGCAAGCATCTACAACAAATAGCTAGCATCTACAACAATAGCAAGCATCTACAATGATAGCAATCATCTACAATGATAGCAATCATCTACAATAATAGCCAGTATCTACAGTAATTGTCAGTATCTACAACAATAGCCATTATGTACAATAAAATCAGTACAAAAATAGCAAGCATCTACAAAAATAGCAAGCATCTACAACAATAGCTAGCATCTACAACAATAGCAATCATCTACAATGATAGCCATTTTCTACAGTAATTGTCAGTATCTACAATAATAGTCATTATGTACAATAATAGTCAGTAACCACAATAATAGCCAATCTCTACACTAATAGCCATTATCCACAACAATAGTCAGCATCTACAATAATAGACAGTTTCTAAAGTAATAGCCATTATCTACAGTAATAGTCAGTATCCTCAGTAATAGTCAGTATCTACAATTATAGTCAATATCTACAGTCATAGCCAGTCTCTAAAATAATAGCCAGTATCTCCAATAATAGCCAGTGTCTACTATATATAACTTCTGGCTAGTATCTACAATAATAGCCAGTGTCTACTATATATAACTTCTGGCCAGTATCTACAATAATAGCCAGTGTCTACTATATATAATTTCTGGCCAGTATCTACAATAATAGCCATTATCTACAGTAATAGTCAGTATCCTCAGTAATAGTCAGTATCTACAATTATAGTCAATCTCTACAGTCATAGCCAGTCTCTAAAATAATAGCCAGTATCTCCAATAATAGCCAGTGTCTACTATATATAGCTTCTGGCTAGTATCTACAATAATAGCCAGTGTCTACTATATATAACTTCTGGCCAGTATCTACAATAATAGCTAGTATCTTAATATGTGTCATTATGCGATGTTTTAATTAGTGCTTACAATCTACGACCGCCTAAATGGTCAACCGGACCAGGAATAACTTACAAAACATATAGAAACTTCTTTAAAACTTACCAAGCGGCAGGAATAACTTACAAAACATATACAAACTCCTGTAAATCTTACAAACCGGACCAGGAATAACTTACAAAACATATACAAACTCCTGTAAAACTTACCAAGTACAAAACATATAATACAAACTCCTGTTAAACTTACCAAGCGGCAGGAATTACTTACAAAACCTATACAAACTCCTGTAAAACTTACCAACTGGTCCAGGAATAACTTACAAAATATATACAAACTCCTGTAAAACTTACCAAGCGGCAGGAATAACTTACAAACTCCTGTAAAACTTACCAAGTACAAAACATATAATACAAACTCCTGTTAAACTTACCAAGCGGCAGGAATTACTTACAAAACCTATACAAACTCCTGTAAAACTTACCAACCGGTCCAGGAATAACTTACAAAATATATACAAACTCCTGTAAAACTTACCAAGCGGCAGGAATAACTTACAAAATATATACAAACTCCTGTAAAACTTACCAAGCGGTAGGAATAACTTACAAAACATATACAAACTCCTGTGAAACTTACCAAGCGGCAGGAATAACTTACAAAACATATACAAACTCCTGTAAAACTTACCAAGCGGCAGGAATAACTTACAAAACATATACAAACTCCTGTAAAACTTACCAAGCGGCAGGAATAACTTACAAAACATATACAAACTCCTGTAAAACCTACCAATTGGCAGGAATAACTTACAAAATATATACAAACTCCTATAAAACTTACGAAGCGGCAGGAATAACTTACAAAACATATACAAACTCCTATAAAACTTACCAAGCGGCAGGAATAACTTACAAAACATATACAAACTCCTATAAAACTTACCAAGCGGATTCATATCTCTCTGCCTATGGCCACCAGATGGTTTACGCATCATGTGGTCATATTTATCATCAGCCATGTCAAGTGGATTTGTCACGATATTCTCGTGCATGGACAAAAATAAGGGCACATAACATAGATAATCCAGGAACGAAATCTAAAATAAAAATAAAATCAGTAAACGTTTTGAAATTATCAATGAAATAACTCTTCAGAAAAAATATTTATCTTGTATGTTGGCAAATTTTGCCAACAGTTTAAGACTTAATCATCACATCAATCATTTTACTAACTTGTTAGTTTTCCACTTTACAAGATATAAGTAACATTATTGTGTGAAAAGAAATGGTTATTCAGTTATTAGAAACAGCGGAATATTTTGGGTATATCCCTTGCAGGGGAATGTAGATTTACAGAAAGTCCAACTAGTAAATGAACGTTTACCTTTGTTTATTAATAATTGTAAATATGCCACCATAATTTTGGACCCTCGATGAAAAACAAAACAAAAAAAATGAATTTAATATGAAAGCTTTGCTTACGTTCAGTTCTTGCTTTAAATGCAACTATAAGATATTCAAGACTGAGTATTTGCAATTTTACAAACTAAGTGAAATACTATCATACATACCTCCAAAAATGCATTAGGTTGAAGCCTGTCCATGATAAAGTTTTGCTGTTTCCAGTTTAAACCACCTGCAATCAACTCTATCTTCAGCGACTCACATTTAATGAAGTTGGCATCTCTATCTGACTCGGCATTGCAATAGAACATTGCCCTATATAGATCCATTTTTCTTTGTATATCCAGCAGATCACTCACTTCTAACAAATACTTGCTTAGAGGACTGCAATGAGTGTTATAAAAAAATAATGAATAAATTAGTTTATACAAATTTATTTTAGTTCGATTGTGTTAGAAGCACTCTCGAATCATTTGCTGGAACCAACCAGTAATAAGCAATTATTGTAAAGTTTCTTGTTCAAGTAAACAACGGCTTGCCCTGGAAACAACGGCTTGCCCCTGACAGGGTTTGAACTCATGCGGTCAGCAATCCTTAGATTAGATTATAGTCAGACGCGTTAACCACTCGGCCACACCGCCATTGGCTAGATAAATGAATAGATTTAGGAAAAAAGAATAGAATTTGGCCGACTATCTTTATTAAGATGAAAATTGAGCATGTAAAACACGGACTCTGTCTTAGAAAATAAGTTCGTCTTCAGAAAACTGTTGTACGAATTCATTTAATTAACGTGTATTGCATTTTTTCCCTATTGAACATAGAAGGGCCGAAGTGTGTGTTATTTTAGAAATAATATATCACAAACAGTGATTTTATCGCTCAATAGTATACCTCATTTGCATACACCCTTATATATTTAATGTGATGTCATCCAGTCCATAAACCCCATACAGACCGGGTGCGATCCATAATTCTTATATGGACTGGATGAATATAGCAAGGCGTACTCGAAATGAGGTATAATATTTTACTTTGTTGTTAAATCATTCTTTTTACTGAATTTACTGTTTTGTTTCACATAAATTTATTACATGTTGATCAAGATCAAAAGTCATGATATGAAATTAAATTGATTATAAATTTTATTTATACAGTTTGTGAAATTATTAAAGTTCGGTTTTTTTTGCATGTTTAATTTGATTAACAAAAATTGAATAACAAAAGAAGAGCTTGGTTTTTTTTGCTTTATCGCTTGAAAATAATTTTAAAAAATCCGACTAGGGTTTGAGATATTTCACACACTGAACAAATAAATTATTATTTGAAAGCAAATTATAGTAAAAATGACAGCAACAAATGGGATGAAAGGATTTAGATTCGGTATAACATAACAAATAAAACATGGCCTTTCGGGCAAAATGCAAGTTTACTGACTGGTTGGTCAGACCTCGGAAAGTATATGACCCTCAGCTGCGCTTCAGGCCATATAGCTTCCTCAGTCTGACCAATCAGTCCGTAAACTTGCATATTGCACTCAATGGCATGTTTTATTTGTTAAATAAAATCACTGTTTGGAGTTCGGATGCGAGTTATCGTAGCCCAAGTGATATAATGATGCACATCCGAACGACTTCTAAAACTAGTTTTTAAGTTGTGTGGTTATATTTGTTCTGTTTTTCACACAAGATACGTGTTGATAAGTTAATAGTGATGAAATGTGAAACAAAATAATTTAACAATCAAGTAAAATACTCACTCCATTTTTGTGACTCGTTCACAAAGTGCCGAGATGACTGCAAACATTCTAAATGTCACCTGTGAGGCGTCGTCTATTTTAAGAACCTGTGAACAATGTACAAATAATATTACATGTTTATTGGTATGATATGGTGGCAACTTGCGTAAGTGCAATATCAAATAAAATATTTGGAAGTTTGGAGTGAATAACTTTGGTAGTTCAGAGAAAATTGACATTAACAAAACAATCTTGTTGCAAAAGGGTCCTACCTTTCAAAATATAATTTTAGAATTATCTGCTCCTCTTTCGTGATAATAAACTTGATGCCGATTTTTAAGTGAATTAAGTAAAACGTTAACGTCGACATCAACGCCAACAAGAGAGTCATAACAATAGCTCTACCCTTTCTTCTTTGAAACGAGTGGGCATATTTTGACGTGCCTATGAAGATATGAATCCTTACCTTAAACATCAGTGTGTTTATTCAAACATCTCAGATAAGATGAAAGTTTTAAAGTATCGACCGTAGTCAAGTGGTTTATCATAAGCCAATGTGTAAATATTAAGCTTTCAAACTTAAAAGGCATATGATTAGATTGTGTTTCTGTCAAATTTAATTATTCTTGCATGTCTTAATATTTTATTGATATTGATGGAAAACAAAAACAACATTCTCATACCTTAAATACATATTCAAATTGTTTTGGTGTCATCTGCTGTACACTTGGTACTCCTTCTAAAGCTGTTTTTGTTTCCTATAATGTTATTAATTACACTAATTAATGCATTGCAATTTCATGAGAATAGTATTACATAAAATATAAATGTCAGAAGCTTATAAGAGACAGTGATGAGCCATTGATTCAGATAAAAGTGGAAATCCATACTAATGAGAATTAGTGTTTTAAATTATGTTTTGTCCAATAGGATTGCAGTATTTCAAATGAATCGTAACACATTTATTTTGGCAAATCAGCAAACTGTTATCAGTCCAGTAAATCGACTGTTTATTAAGATAATTTAAAACACTAAGCTGGTTAAAATTTATTAGTACGTATTTACAAAATTAAATTGGTCGCTTGCCTGCGCCGCGCCTGATCAATTTAGTTTTGTAAATACGTACTTATAAACTTTAACCTATACTTGATTGTATCTTAAGTAACAGTCAGAATAACATGTAATTGAAAGCGATCGATAAAACATTTCAAGGCAACAAAGATTAAGAAAGAATAGGAACTTTTACGAATGTAGTCACAACTTTTGAAGGGCAGCTAATGAGTGGCCAATCGTTCAATTTCTTAACAGTATTTATTAAACTATTTTTATGAAGGACGGGCAAATGTTAATTTTTGCTTTTGACCAACCTTGCAGGATATCACCGTATCAAAATCGCCATCTTCAACAACAAATGCCCTTGCGTACGTTTCTATAAGGCCTGGATCAACAAGCTTGTAATGCGTCAGGAAATCAATGTCTGCATCTGGATAAGAAAAAAATAATTTTAAAAATGGGTTATTTCATTATTATCATAATAGATAGCATCGGAAATTAACCATCACGAATAAAACGTTGATATATATGTCAATATATTCATTTAAAAGGTCAAATCTTGGCATCATTTATTTTGTATGATTTTCGTTTTGAATGCTCTATTTCTATCGCACCATTAAATATTTAGCCTGAGTTTTGTTTCATATAGACAATTACGTAAAGAAACTTGAGTATTATAAGATAAAATTTACACGATAAATTACCTTTCTCGTCGAGATCTTTAGCGTAATCATCCTCCTTGAGCTTGCTTTGTTCTAATATTTTCTTCATGTGATCTTGGAGTTTCTTGCCACCTCTCTTCCAAACAACATTCACCTTTTTTATTCCACGCACTGAAATATCATAATGCATTCAGAAATCATTTAAATGCACCGCCATTAAGCCAATGAAATTAGTTTATTTATTTCATTTTGTTTATTGTAAAGGTAAAATACCGACTTTATTTTCTTGGTAAGCTCTGTCCCATTGTAAATATAACAGATGGTAATAACATTGTTATATATTTACTATGCTAATCTTTGGGTAAAATACTTTTATTGCAGAAATTTGCAGAATTTATTGAAATCTCGTTAATTCTTCCCGAGTATATCTGGTTTGAATAAGTGAATGTATAAACTATGTTTGGGAAGCTTCATTCCCTATTACTTGTTTATTCTTGTAATGACACTTTGTAATCATACTGTGATTACCTGTAGTGTGTAAAGTTTAACGTAACACATTTCCACTGTGTGTATTTAAAAGATGTTTATTTTACATTTCAAAAGAAACTCAATTTAACTGTATAAGTTAATTATCTTTTATCAAATATCAAATTTGACCATACTATATCTTTAATATACTTTATTTCATTTAGACACATTTTGTGATAGTATCTGATGCTATATTGTGAAGTATGAACGGGGAACTACTATGATATCTGATAACCTAAGCAAAGTAACAGTATTGTTTATACGACAAAAACTTACATGTAGTGATGTCAAGATCCTCGTCGTCGGCCAAATCGTCAGTATTAGCATCGCTTCCATATTCACTTGCCCTCTTAGTTGGAATGATCCGATCATTATCAGTAATAGAAATATCTGCACCAAACTTTTCTTTTAGCAGTCTTGCAATCTCTTTCTTGTCCAAAGTTGGATCAATACCTAGCTTCCTCAGGTCATCGTCTGTTAGTTTAGAAAGATCTATTTTCTTTTTTCCATCGCGAAGACGTATTTTACCATCAGCACCAACTTCAAATTGGGCATCTTCGTCATCACCTGATTTTCAACAAAAAAAAAAAGATGTAGGAACATTTTTATTTTCATATTGTGATGAAATTTCAAAATGTTGGAAAAACGATTGACCTATAAAATCTTTGTATAATATTCAATTATAAGTTTTTAGATCATAACATATAAACATGTTTTACCTCCGAATTTCTTTGGCTCCTTCTCTTTTTTAACAACTCTAACATTGCCGTCTTTATCTGCAATTGAATTAATTTAATATTCATGACAGTTAAAAGCAATGAAAATCGACACATAGTAGATCAATGACATTTGTTTTTATTGTTTGTTTGCTTTTGTTGTTGTTTTTGTGGATAGGCTATATATCTGACTGAGGAGTAAGAAAAATGCCCCACGAGACTCCACTGATGGTTTGTATTTTTTTTGACGGGACTGGAAATATTTGTCCGAGAAACAATAGCTTGAATGCAAAATTTCTGCTATTTCCCTCACCCCGTATATCCAGAATACTCGTAATGCAATTTAGGGTCGCACAAAAATAGATTTAGATTTAATTCTTAGTACATTTCTTTATATCTTTATTATCTTTTTACAGATTCTTCGTTTTTAAGTGCTTCACTTGTAAGATTTTCAATTGTATGTCCCAGGGACCTTGGGTCACAGTGGAGTTCTTCAAAAGCGTTTCAGAGCATGTGGTTTACTTTAAGTTCAAATATCGAGAAGTATGCAATAAAAAAACAAAATGCAAAAATTCATTTTCTACTATGGAAGATATTGAATTGCACGCCATGAGAAGTCCGGCAAATCTATATCACTCACACTGTGTGTGATAAACTTTACGTGATATGAATTTTATTTCACAAACTCAGCATTTAACTAGTTAGCATACACTAGTGTTATTTCTATAGAGGCGTGCACTATCTGCAAGAAATGTATGCTCCAAGAGATTGTAAATTAGGAACCCGTAAAACATGGTTAAAACATTACTTATCCATATTTATTGATATAGAGGATACTCGTTTGTTTTGACTGAATATATATCACACTGAGAAGTGAGAAGTGAGAAAATTACAAGTTTTTAGTTATTTCTTATTGTCATTGTTTATGATGATGTGAAGAAAGGAAATCAGCTTACCATATTCATACTCGTATTCCGACCCACTATCGTCACCCTATAATACAGCGACATAGAGAAAATCAATTTTATGAATTCCAGTCATTAAAAGTGTTAATCGCATTCAATAGACAATTCTACACTCAGTTATATTATTATATTTACATTATGTTTGTATTATAAATTAGATTTAAATGAAACACTACATCAGAGGTACTTCTCGCTTTGTTGATTTTCAAAAGGATTTGACCAAACCAAGTCCATGATTAACATACTTAAAATTTCTTCCTGGTTTTTGTCTCGGCTTTATGGATTATGAGTATAAAATAAATATAAAAATAGGACATTTAAATAAATTGTTTTTCGTACCCATCCTAATCTTTTCTTTCCTATCACTCGTCCTTGTTCATCGTATGTCTGATGAAAGAAATGAACAACAGTAGATACATAATTTACTATAACATAAAAAGCTTAACAAAAATAATACTGCGAAATTAGCTTGATAAAAAAACAAGGATTAAAATATAATTCATCTCTAAAGATAACTCTACATTTTTGTTCATAGACTTAAGAACACATTTAAAACAAAGTTGAATTTTCATATTTACCAGATCAGTTGAACGAAAAGATAGACAGTCGTTTAGGTAAATACCATTGAAAATAGACAGTTCATGTAATTAAATGGAATACTTACATATTCATAACCATCAGGACCTTCATCCCCAGGCCTTGTTGTCTTCTTTTTATCTTTCTTCTTGATTTTCTCACCGGTAATTGGGTCGTATTCACCTAATATCACATTTTAAAACTAATATAATAGGTTGGAGACTATTTTGTGTTACGGATATTGTTTAATGTACGACTAACACATGAGCTACGCTACTAAGCAAGCAAAAGCAAAACATTAGGAGTATAAAATTTGCTACAAGTTACGTATTTAGATTAAAACTCCAATTCACTTAATAAGCATTAATAAATGTTATGTTATTTAAGATAGCTTACCTCTGATGGACCTAAACGTTAATTCAAAGCAAATCTGACGAAACGAAATCTTTTCTGCACTGCATGGCTCCCTTCTCAGGTTATGACAGAAGCGCAAACACAAAGCGACAAATAAGGCAGAAAGAAAGTGCTCTATAGTTAAAAGCTCATCGGAAATATGGTCGATGTTATGATAAAATTAATTAGAAAGCTAGCATCTACTTCAAGCATGGATACTTTTTGTCAGGTTCCGAAAACACGCTAATGCAAAGCGATTTCCCTCATTTAGTTTCCAACAAAGCAACACAAGGCCGCGCAATATGACGTTTTAGATTTGCAAAAATCTAAACATGTTTTAGCTAAAACAGGTTAATATAAAACTGAGCGATACGTAAAGTCGCTCATTAGCTAACAAATACTACTCAACATAAATAAAAAATAGATATGTAAATGATGGATGTAATTATTATGGTTGTTACAGTATAGGCTACAAATAGTTTTAAAATGCTTTTATCCTATTTTCACAGATTTATTTTATTTCTTAAAGGTAATGCATGTAAAAAGACAACAGTTTTGTTCTTGTGACTGTTTATTAAGGATAAAGAATTGTGTTATGCATACAGACCACCATCTTCTAAAGTTGAGTGGCTTAATAATTTTGCTATATCTTTAGAAAAGTCATATTTAGAGGAAAAAGAATGTATTGTTATTGGAGATTTTAACTATGATATTTTGAAGCATGATAATTGTTCTAAATCTTGGTTAGATTTAATGCAGTCTGTAAATTTTTCTCAGCTTGTTGAATCTCCTACCAGAGTAACTTCAAGCTCTGCTACATTGATAGATCATGCATTTTCAAACATGCCTCAAAATATAGTCGATGTTTTTGTACCTTCCTTATCCATTAGTGACCATTTTCCCATTTGTCTTACACGCAAACTTTCAAATATCAGTGTTAAAGGTCCCATGCATAAGACAATAACCTTCCGGTCTCTAAAACACTTTGATGAAAATCGATTTTTAACCGAATTGTCAGAGCAACCCTGGTCAGAAGTAGCATCTGTAGAAAATCAAGATAATTCTATAGATTTGTTCACTGAAAAATTTTTGTCTGTCCTTGAAAAACATGCACCAACCAGAAAAAAACGAGTAAAGAAGGTCACCCAACCAAACTGGATTAATAAAAACATCCTCGATGCTATTAAAGCAAAACACCAGTTTCATAGGGTTAATGACACATATAATTACAACATATGGAAACAACACGTTAAGTCTCTCATATATGATTCTAAGCGACAATATTATAATGATACCATCAATAAAAACAAACACAACCAAAAGAAATTATGGACTTGTCTAAATGAATTATCTGGTTACAAATCCAAGGTTCAAACACATTTTATTGATAATGATGATGGCAACCCGGTTTTCGACCCTTTAATCACTGCAAATTTATTCAACTGACAATTTGTGAATCTCCACCAATCCCATCATACCATTAATCAGACTGGTTATGAAAATCCTGAACTTGTTGAACTAAATGCATTTAAACTTCAGCATATACCCCCTTTCAAAATACCTAAAATAGAGCTCTCTTATGTGTTGAACCAATTAAAATCGATTGATATTACAAAGTCATGTGGGTCAGATGGTCTCAGTGCAAGGTTTCTAAAGTTATCGGCTCATATTATTGCTCCCATACTTACCACTATATTCAATAACAGTATTCTTAACAATACATTTCCTAAATCATTCAAAAATGCAAAAGTCATTCCTATACATAAAAAGGGTTCTAAAAGTGATAAAAGAAATTATAGGCCAATTTCCATACTTCCCTTGATATCACTTATTCTTGAACGTCATGTCAGTTCACATTTAAAGCAATACCTTGAGAAAAATCAACTTCTATACCAACGTCAGTCTGGATTCAGGTCAAATCATTCATGTCAAACAGCATTGATTAGAATTATTGATGATTGGATTACAGCTATTGACAAAAATGAAATAGTTGGTTCAATTTTCCTTGATCTCTCTAAAGCTTTTGACTATGTGGATCACTCTATTATTATTGAAAAGCTTAAAATGTATAACCTAGACCCTTCATCAGTTGCTTGGTTTTCCTCCTATTTAGATTGCAGAACCCAACAAACTTACATATCCGGTTTATATTCAGAGTCAAGTTCAGTAACTACTGGAGTTCCTCAGGGCTCAGTGCTAGGTCCTATACTGTTTTTAATCTATATCAATGACCTGCCTTTGTCTATGGAAAAAACAGAAACTGATATTTTTGCTGATGACACCACCCTTTCAACCTCTGATGTATCCCTAAACAGAGTAGTTGAATCTCTTACTAATGATCTTTTAAATGCCAACAAATGGTGTGATTTGAATCGCATGTCTATCAATGTTAACAAAACTAAGGTCATGTATATTTCCTCAAAACACAAGCAAAATTATATTCATGAAAGTAATCCTTGTATTTTATATAAAACAGAGCAAATTTTTTTGTAGCTCTGAAGAAAAATTATTGGGTATTACAATTAATAACACCTTGTCTTGGCAAAGCCATATTGATAATGTTCTTAAAAAGTGTAACTCATTGTTACATTTATTATCACGTATAAAATTATTCATATCTATACCTGTACGTAAAATGTTTTACAATGCATATATTTTACCACATCTTGATTATTGTTGCATAATTTATGGTAACTGTACGTCTTATCTAGAAGATAAACTCATTAAGTTCCAAAGAGAGCTGCAAGACTAATTCTAGACAAAGATTATGACACTCCATCTGCTGAACTTTTTTCTGAACTCCGCTTGATGACCTTTTCACAGAGGGTTGTTTTTCAAAAAGCTATTATGATGTTTAAAATAATAAATAATCAGGCGCCTTCCTATTTATTGAATAATTTCATTTTATCGTCAGATGTTCATACTCGCATTTTGCGTTCATCATCTGATTTTCAACTTTATACCCCTAAACCAAATACTGAACAATTTCGTAAGTCTTTTGTTTATTCTGGATCTTGTATTTGGAACGGCCTTCCTGATAATATTAAGTCTGCTACATCTGTTAACCATTTTAAAACCTTATACTTGAGGTTTTATCACGCATTGATGTATACAAATTGATAATCTCCTGTATGTTTTTACATTTATGTATTTTAATAGTTTGAATATGTTAAATTTATATTGTTCCTTGTTGAGGGCCTCATGGAAGATTGATATGTTTGTTCAAATGAGTTCTCTCGTTAAATAAAGTCTTTATTATTATTATTAAAGAAAACAAACCGAAGAAATAAAAATTTACGTCGTTTCAATGATGACAATGGTGAAAAACAACACACACGTAAATGAAACAAACACAACTGAGCTCTATTCTTACAGCATATACAAGCTGCTTATATATTATAAAAAGAAAGAAATCAGGACTTTATAGCTGATGAATAGGATATGGTGAACTCCGCTGTCGTCGCGGTCATTATTAATAAATTTGGTAAATATACTTTTTCTGTATATCACCATCTAGAAAGTCCAATTTCTATTATGTACAAAGCACAAAACTATATCAAGCATTTTCTACATATTATTCATTACTAATGCGTATGATTCCACTAGAACAAAATTAGGACATTAGAACAAAATGTTGTTAAAGATGTTTGTGAGCTTATTTTAAATCATTCTGTTATTAAAGAATTATATATAGACATATCATATACATTGTATATATAAACTGACTAAAAGATTTTATTAGGTAGTGAACAAATATTGACACTAACTCAATTTCATCTCATCAATCAAACAAAATAAAAGATATGCAATTAATGATTGTGAAATTTGTAATTAACTCTCGTTGCTCTAAATCAGAAGGAAATAAAAACATAAGCTTTATTGGTTGTAAAATCTGGAACTTACTTTAATGTGTAAATTATATATGTTTATCTAGAATAACAATAACTTACTTTCATCGCTCTCATCGTCGGCATCATTTCCATCCTTCTTCTTCTTCCGTTTTCCCTGAGCACTTAAAGTGTAATTAAATTAACATTGAATCATGATATTTCCGGAAACATATATAAAAACCGTTTATATATAACTTGACGAAAGCGGACTCTAAATTATTTAAGTATAAGTACATTGTATTTCATCCACATTTCTTTTTATTTCGAATTGCATATTTTGTTTCTGTGTTAAAAAGCATGGCTAAATGTTATAGATCCACAAACAGCGCGTAATGTTTGCAGGACTTTTCTTCTTTTTAAATAAGTGTCACAAGTCGAACAGTAATTTTACTGTTTTAATACAATTATTTTATACAAATTATGACGAAGAGGGCAAATTTTATGCTATCGAAAAAGGAATGGAATTTCTTCAAATAACGTACACGAGTTCACTTATTCTAACTGGATTCCCTTCGCTATCAACGGTCCAGTCACTAGAAGGACTAATAAGCCCCTTCTCTCTGAGATCTTGTAAAATCTTTTGTTTCTTTGCTCTACAAAAAGTAAAACAACTTTTATTCTTGATATGTTTTTCTCAAATTGAGCGGACATATTTAGACTACTACTAATATATACATATTATCTTAAATAACATTCTTAAAAATCAATAACATTATAGCATGGATATATAAGATAGTATCAAATGTTGTTACAACTTAATAATCATAAAGGAATGCAAATCTACTTCACGCATATTGCTTTACTTGGTCATACATACAATTAGAAATTGAATAGCATTTCTCAAAGATATGCATCGTAATTAATGCTCTTATTGTTACAAATTCATAAACAATTCATAATTATAATAATTGAATGTGTTACTCTTACTCTTTTTTTACAGATTTCCTAACAGGTTCCCCTGTATCAGAATCTATTGACCAGTCACTTGACGGACTAATTAATCCCTTTTCTCGCATCTCTTGAAGTTTCTTCAGTTTCTTCAACCTGCGATTAATTATCATTTTTACATGCTTCCAGAATAGATTTTATTCAATTTACATTAAAGATAACACTTATGATATATGGTTTTGATGAACACTAAAACTTTAAGAATGTTTTGGCTAAACCTTGTGCAATATGTGATATATCTTTAATAGTGATGATCAGTATTTATATCAAAATTCACTAGCGATTCAAGAAGCTTAGACATAGTTTTTATTGATCTGTGATATAAGCTTAAAGCATTCTCTTGCTATAAAACTTTTATTTATCATAAACACATTTTATATTTAATTCATAAATCTAAGACATCTATTTTTAATTCCAATAAAAAAGCTGTCAATTATACAGTTATTGGAAATTCGGGTGTATGAAGGTAAATTTTCGTTTTAGATTAAAATAATAACAAGTTTGTTGAGTACTGTAAACGCTAAGTTGTAATGCAAACAGTTGAATATGCAATATGTCAGGCTTTATAATAACATCTACACTGTGACATTATTTACCGTATTCTTTCGCTTATATAATATATATGTTACCCTTTTAAAGTATTAGAGTGCACGTTTAAAGAAAAAAATACAAACTCCTTCTGTTTTTCCATCATCAAATCATATTTGTCTCCATATTTCTCACGCCTTTTTGCTTCTCGTGCTGCCTTACGTTCAGCCTTAGCCTTAAAATAAGCAGCTTTTTCTTCTTCAGTCATGTTTTCTAAATCCACATCTTCTGATATTGTAGAATCGCTGAAGTCACCAACATCAGCAAACTTCCCACCTTTGATTTTACCAATTTGCTCCTTAGCTTTGGCGGCTGCTTTGGCTTTTATTTTGGCTTCTTGTTTTTGCTTACTTGTCATTTTCGGTTTTTTAACTAGCATTTTACCACCCTTCCCATCGGAAACTTCAGTGTATACGCTAAGTAGCAAAAAAAAAAAAAAAAAACAACACATCATATGACCTATTTGAAACATTGATATACTCACTTTGATGCAATTGTCTGTGTGATTATTTTCTATATAGATTTCTATATAAGGTATATATGTTACAGTATGTATCTAGCATCTATTTTTTCAATAAATTGGTTTGGAAAAGATAACAAAAAAACAAGGTATTTACCTTTCGTCATCAGATTCTTCGAAGCTTTCTGCTTTTCCATAACCAATGACGTTACCATGTTCATCTTTTATCTTTTTTCGTCTAGTTACCCGTCTGGTTCCACCTTCACTTACTTCACTGGTGTAACTGTAATCACTTCCACTACCACCTCTCTTCTTTCTTATTTTACCGTCTTTGCCTATTTTTGTTTTACCTTCTTTAGCTTCCTTTTCCTTACGTTTCTTTTCCGCAAGTCTACCACCTGGCTTATCACTGTCGGCACTATGATAACTTTCACTGTCACTGTAAGTACCATCTGCACGTTTACGACGCCGCCGCACGTGCCTTGTACCCCCCTCACTTACAACACTATAATAACTATGAGCACTATTTTGATGTTCACGTTCACGACGTCGACGACGACGTCGGGCAGCTCCTTCCGGATCCTTATCACTGTGATAGGATTCGGGGTCACTGTAAGTTCCATCAGCGCGTTTACGTCGACGTTGAACATGACGAGTTCCGCCTGCACTCACAAAACTTTTATAACTGTAGTCACTATCGCTATCAGGGTCACGTTTTCCAGCTTTCCTACGCATACGCTGCTCAGCTGTTTCCTCTTCGTCAATACCACCTTTTCCTCCTTTCTTACCCTTTTTGCCTTTCTGCATTGAAGCAATACCGCTATCAAAATCTGATTCAGGCCCTCCAATTTTTCTGAATAAAAAAGAAGAAAAGAATTAAGGCATTGAATCGTATACAATGATTCGAGTTTTACTGTTAGAGTTCAATATTTCATTTATTTTCCTGCAAATAAATTACAAACTAACTGCTGGTGAATATTTTGTTGAGATAAACAGTTTTAATATTCTATATCAATCAATTCAGAAATGCACATATACAACACTTACTTTTTATACTTTTTGCCTGTGAGTGGATCAACTACAACTTCATAAACAGCGCCATCTTTGCCGACAATCCTTTGACCAGCTGTAGCTGAAAACCGATAAAACAACATACATTATATTAAAAAGAAAACATTTTCATAGAATATTGGCATTCAATATCAGTTTTATCAAACAGATTCTAAAAATCTAAAACTAGCAATTCAAATTTATCTCAAACCAATCGACAAAAATATGACCTAAAGATTTAATTGAATATTTTATCAATGTACAGTTTAATTGTATATAACTACAAATGAAGTTGCAATAATAGTTGCAACAAATTCTTTCTACTTGAGCACAACTGTCTTCCTAAACATTAACACACCTGTTGCTAGTTCAGGATCATCATCGTCAAACACTGTGGAGGCCTTCTCCCAATCTTCAATAACTTCCCCTTTCTCAAGTTTCATAAACCTTTTTAAGAATTCAGGGTCTCCACCAGCTTCCTGGAACGCTCGATATTCTTCTTCTGTCAATAACACAGTCTTTTCAATCAATCGTCCGCTCTTTGTTCTGACTAGTGTCTTAATGACCTTCATTGGTTTACCTTCGGCTTTCTCCCAACCTTCAACTGTACCACCGTCTTCACCAAGGTACTTTCCGAGAATTTCGTTCATATCTCCACCACCTGCCATTAGTCTATCGTATTCGTCCGCTCTAACCATTATAGTCTTTTCAATGAGTCTACCACTCTTAGTTCTAACCATCATTTTGATAGCTTTCATAGGTTCTTCACTTTCCCAACCTTCTATTGTCTGGCCCTCTTCAAGAGGTAAATATTTTTTGATAATGTCGTTAGGATCCAATCCTTCTTTTATCATTTTATCATAATCTTCTTGAGAAATCATAATAGTCTTTTCAATGAGCCTTCCACTCTTTGTGCGAACATATGTTTTAATTGTTTTCATTTTAGCTTCGTCCCAGCCTTCAACCGTTTCACCTTCCTTTACATATTTTTTCAATAAATCCTTTGCATCAACTTTGCCCTGTGTAATGGCATCGTAGTCTTCTTTTGAAACGTATACAACTTTCTCAATAAGTCTTCCACTCTTTGTTCGTACGTAGGTCTTAATTGCCTTGACCTCATCTTTATCCCATGATTCGAGACCTTCGGCTTCATCTTTTGTAAGGTATTTCTTAAGAATGTCAGCAGCCCCTTTACCAGATTTGAATGCCTCATAGTCCTCTTCGGTCATGAAGATGATCCTTTCGACAAGGCGTCCACTCTTTGTTCTAATGTAAGTTTTTATTGCCCTTACGGCTATGAATAAAAATAAGAAAATAAATTAATTACAAAAATTTAGTAATAATTAAGAGACCATATATTTTTTGTCGATGCTATACAAAACGTTTATAATCATGATGTTATGGCCATTAAAGAATAGCCAAATAATTTGTATTATTGATCTTTAAAATGTTCTTTACTCTGATAACATCTACAATCAAATGTATTATTTGTGCAATTATATCACCAATATTATCGTGAAAATACAATGTTTAATTTGTGAAAACCATCCAATATTGTAGTAGAGATAAAAAAGATCTCTTACACTTTTCTTTAATGGCTTCTAGTCTTTGCTTAGCAATAAGTTCACGTTGTCTCTGAAAGATAACGTTAAAGGTTGTGCATTGGGAATGATTTTCTGAAAATATTGCACATAATGTCAATTTCTGTCTTACATTCATCACATATAGGCTTCAGCCAAGAATATAAAAAGGTTTGATATCAGATGAAGAAAGTGACAAAGTGTTAATGGATCAGACACAAATAAATATCATCTATAATCAAACTTCGTCTTCTATCAATAATGCAGTTGAAAAATATTTTTAAGTATATATAAAGTACAAATTATAATCGTTAATTTTTTACTTTTCATTAACTAAAATAAAATTGTTTTTGTTTTTAAGTACATGTAATATATTGAGTGGAATATTTAATATATGCCTTTTGAATAAGTAAAATATTAATATTTTTAAAGACATCTGAAAAAGGAAGAGCACGTTTAAGTCAAAACAAGCATTTCATTTTGAATCAGAACTAGTAATACCTGAAGTTCTAACTCTTCCAGAAGACATTTGACATACCAATAACCATGTCTGTATCCGCCTCCTACCCTGATATACTTGTGCTGAAATCAACAAATATAAAGTATCCATATATAGGTATGTACAGTTCACCTATTTTGATACTTTTGTGGTTAAAAAAATGATAAAGACAAAGTAGTAGTGTCTAATGACCGTCCCTGGCATGTATACATTCGCTTACTCTAAAACATTCATTGTGCGTCTGTAAAAGCTCCAGCCGAATTCCGAAAGACAGAGTTGTAATTGTCCCATCATAATTAAATTTTGCTAAAAAAGAAATGAATGGGTTAACCCTTCACACAGGTTACAGACACTTGGTTACTATTAAAACAGTGATTTATTTTTCTTATATAATTGAATGGAATTTTCTTATATAGATTACTCCTGGTAAGAAAGGTAGCTGACGAATTCATAGTTTCTCTGGTTTAAAATATCTTATTCATAATGATGCGAATATTTCAGCTATCTAGTATCGTAATAATAAAACATTGAATCTTATTTTTACTTTGTGTATGACATACGTAATGGTTGTTTTAAAACTTGCACAACTATGCATAACCTTACTAATACAGAATATAAAATTGCATCAACAGACGTTTTTCCTTTAATTTTTTTAAATGATACCATATAAAAGCCGGAAAAATTATTAAGAGGATATTTTTTCGTTTGCGTGAAATATGGAATATATTTTCACGAAACATGATAAAATGCCACATATTTTCACGAGCCGGACGGCGAGTGAAAATATGTGGCATTTTATCATGTTGAGTGAAAATATATACCATATTTCACAAAAAACGAAAAAATAACCTTTTTATTTAATTTCATTATCAAAGAAAATGGTAACGAATCCCCTTGCTTGCTACCAACTGCAATTGTACAGCGCGCAATAATTTATGCGTAAGCATGCGCTGTTTGGCGCTACATTGTGACGTCATGCAAACAACTCTTTAAACGTCTGTACAGCGTTAATTACTGAATTAAAGATATTGGTGTTCGGATTAATTTTCTTAGTTAGACCATTTTCTATCATGCTAGATAGTTTTCAAAACAATATTCAAGAAAAGTTGTTTTGTATTTATCAGATTTTTCAAACAAAACGGCGAAAGAAGTCCCTTAAAATAAATATGAGTTTTGACTCCGCCCACTTTCATATTTATATTTCATATTTATTTTTAAAAAATATGAAATATATTTGACTGATATAGCACCATATTTCATGGGTAAAATTAAATAAATGAGGTTATTAAACACTGTTGAGTACAATACTAAATTATATTGAATGAGTACTCAACTATCAAACCTATAATCTATAATGTATAGTGACCTCTTTATTTTGCACCACTATTTTTGACAGAACTCTAGCTGTATCTCAGATACAATAAGGATTTGATACACTGAAAATGAAAACGAGGCCAGATGGGGGTATGATTGGCATTTGATATGGACTTTTGGGATTCCGGAAAACGGGGCTAAATTGATAAGACTGGATCCAATAAAGTTTTTGATTGGAACATCACGCAGATCAAACGCTGGAGGTTCAGTGTTTTTAATTTTATCAGGTGTGAAATAATATAAGCGATATGAATATTAACTGTTCTAGTGAATAAAGATTAGTAAATGTATATTTATATTTTACAATGTGGCGTTAATGCGAGTATATTTAAATGTGAGATGAAAAGCTGTACCCTGTGTATAAAGCAATCTATACGTGTTAGCAATGAAGGACAGTCAGTAGACAATTATTCTATTAATGTGTCATACTATATTGAAATACCAGAGGGAAAGTTGTAAACAATAACATTTCTCTGTGTATTTATTGACATGCAGAATGCAAAATTGCATGGGGTTTTCTAATTGCAAGAAAACATACCGATTCACACTTCTTGTGAGGTATTTTCAGCAAGCATTTCAGACACTCTTCACTTGATGCCTGCAAATAAACAGAAACATAAACACTGACAATAAAAACAAATCATTGGCACAAGAAGGTAGGAACTGATACAATTAACCCATATTTAGAAATTCATGTATATATAATACACACAGCAATTTGTGAACGCTTTGTGAGTATATACCCATTCATCATATAGAGATTGAGATTGTAAGTGATCCAAATTAATCTTGCGTTGGTAATATTACATACCAAAACTGAAAAGGTATTGTAATGTTCATAATTGGATTAAAATACGAATTGAAAATCAATCAAGATTACAGAATAATGACCTACAAATAAGAGATTATATTATTTAATTTTAATCATATCTTTGACACAAATCACTTCTTAAAGATCACGTGAAATGTTTAAAGTTGATTAGGTTTGAAATCGTTTCACCGGTTGCGAAGAATAACAGGTATTATTTTATATCAATTATTAACACTAAAATTGTACCACGTGGTAATACAATATATTCTCATATTTGACTCTATACCAATAAAATCCTAAACCGAACAATTCAGTGCGTATGTCACTTTTCTGTTCAACATCAAGTATAAAAGCTGTTAATGACAAAAGTAACCGAAGAAAATCTACTGTAAGAGCTTGAAAATATTCTGCAAATACGAATTTGACAGTTTCATCACTGAACAAAATATATAAAAATATATCAGTTACACTCATTCAAAAAAGACGACTTGCACAGACAACACCAAATTGCATTTCGATTGACATAGAATATCATTAAACTGTACAATTCTTGATTAGTTTGGAGTCGTACACTGCTTAATAGTGAATGACTTAATAATGGACACGCCTTCTAGCTTCTTTAACGTATTGAACAGTTCAATGTCAATATATTCACTGTGAAAAAAACCTTTGGGATGTTGTCGATCCTATGGTGAAATCAAGGGTCTATAGCTCTTCATATAAAATAATTTCAATCGTGTGTGACTGTTTCTCTTTTTTGTCATATGGTTAAAGTATGTGATGCCTGACAGTTCTATTTAAAATAATATCACACATAATAACCAATCAAGAAAGAAATTAAATTCAAAGTAAAATCATTAGCCCATGTACCATGAAAGGGTTTCAAACACAGCATGTTTAGCGTTATATTGCTAAATTTACTTTTTTTTGTTTATTATGTACTTCTTCCTAACATGTAAGAACAACTTACTTTTGGCAAAAATGGTGAGTTAGCACTCAGTCTAGTTCGAAGGTCAGGAGTGCTTCTATACTTTGCTGAGTACTTGCTGTGGATTTCTGCGCTCGCATGACTCTACAAAATATAACGATAATGATATAATTTATCAAAATTATTGAAAAAGTTTTAAAAGAACTTAATCAAGTTTTAAAATACAGAATATATAGATATATTTTATTGCCTGAGAAACTTTTTTATGAATAGATCAAACAATCAAACAAATTAAAGCCAAGAAAGACCGTGTTACACACCACGTCTAAATCTAAGCTTTCTCGCGCTGCTTGCTCTAAAAATCGTTTGTCAAGGGTCCGTGATCCCCATCCAGGAGCTGATAACTCTGCTGATGTAACGATAGAAGAGTCCAAAACAGGAGTATCGGGTCCTGCTACACAATTCTTTCTTTTCTTTGACTTTCTGTCTTTTGATCTTATTTTTCTGCCCGATGATACAGAAAATGTATCTTCAGTTATTGGCAAAAATAAACTTTGAGTAAGTGAGCCAGTGTTAGAGATAGAATCAACAAAACTATCAGAAGAGACTTGCTCCTTTAATAGCTTTTTCCTTCTAAGCCAAATATCCTCTCCATCTCTTTCAGATTTCTCGTATTGTGGTTTGGGTCTACGGTAGTTTAGTTTGTCATCAGATGGAGCTGGCCTTTGTGAAATTTCAGTGACATCCCAAGTCTTTCTTTTCCACTCATTTGGCACGGCAAATTCTGATAATGGTCGCTCTCTTTGGGAATAAAGCTCGGCACGGTTGTCCTCTGTTATCATGTCTGGAGGTCGAATATTTAATTGACGCTTATAGATGTCATACTCTTGTCGGTATGCTTCGTGACGTCTAGAAATTATAGCAGATATTTCACTTATAGGTCTCGGTCTTCTTTTAGAATAAGAAGGTCTAGGTACTGTATTAGACAAATCTTGTCTATAGCCCAAGGCTGTTGAAGGAAACATGTCGAATTTAGCCAATATGTCCTCGCAAATTTGATTTCTAGATATATTTTTAAGTCCTTCCATTTTTTGTACATTAAAATGTCAGATTGAATTATGATAATTATCTCCTTATCTACTCCAATCAAAATGAAATTTGTGTTCAATATATTTAAAGTCATATGAATCCACTGTAATCGACTTTAAACAGATTCTATCTTTTTAAAACGCGTCCCTCAATTAAAGTCAATTTATAGCTGTTTCTTTAAATACTTTATAAATTATGGCATTAGTAAAGATTTTTTATCGTGACAATATTTTATACCGATACATATATCTTCTACTAAGTATCATTTTCAGTTGGAACAAAGCCGTTCTTAACATTATGACATCGCTATAAATGGCCCTTAGCAGTAGCCAAACAAAAAGGCATGCAAATTTGTAAATGTTTCCTTTTAAACTTGAACTTAATACGTCGGCAAGGACGAAATGAAAGACATTATTAAAGATATAATATGATTGAATTACTTCAAAGGAATTCATACATTTGTATGTTTAATTCGTATTCAACGGTCGATTATGTTCGTCAAAATGGAAAGAAATAGGGTATACAATGCAACTGTGCTAATAAGTTACACTAAATTATGTGTGTCTTTTAGATGTGGAAGTTACGCTTCTAAACTTACTTTACAGAATTACGCTTCTTGTACAAATGTATTATTAAAATTGATAAGCTTTAGTAATACATGTAGTAAGGAAATATTGAGATAAAGGTACTGCTCTAAGTATGTCGTTTAGCGTCAGACAGTCGTGTACAATTGTTGCTTTACCTTTTATAAACAAGTTAGTTTGCGTCATCTAAGTACATGTCATATAGTTGTCATTTACATACAAGACTGTATTTCTTTTTTTTGGGAAACATTTAATTCAGCATATTAACTTAAGAACAATGTTTGTGTCTTGACGGTCGCTTAAAGGCGCACATACACCAGTTTATTTCTCTTCTGTAAATATTTACCTTTTTTTTCACCCTGTTAAAACTTTAAACTTAAATTTGTAGATAAATGGATTAATGTCACATTAATTCGCGTCTTCTATCAATCAAATTTAAAAATTGGTCTTTTTGTGGTAAACACAATTTATCTATTTATTTAGCGGTGTTATTTAAGGAAAATCTGTTACGTGATACCAAGTATTCAATGAGTTTACACTGACCTTTAACATTATAGGGATCATCTTATCAAATCTGTTCTATCAAATTTTGTTTTGTACAAACATGTATGTGACAGCAAGTATTAGATCATTGATCGGTTGAAACAAAAATAAATGTTTTTATCTTAAGAGCTGGTGCAAATAACTCTCTCTCAAATGTTCAACATTACGATGTTTGTCCATATCTTTTTAAGTGTTTATCATATGTATAAATATTCCTCGAGGAGACATAAAACATACCATAGGCTATCGTTCGACTTCTGTTTTACCTCTTAACAGATAATATAACGTTTTTGAAAAGCGCGTGTGGCCATTTTCTTAACAATAACAAGTTTCAAGAAATGAATTTCTTCGTTTGTTTTGTTGTTGTTTGTGTTTTGTTTTGCTTTTCCTTATTATTTTTTCAAAGAGAAGTTACCATTTTGTATTAACATGTTGATATTAAAAACATATCATGTAGTCAAGATTATTCGATAGCTTAGATTTTTATATTTTTTGTTTGTTGTCCGTTATAGTGCTCCTTTTTGTACAGTCAGTACTTTTCATTTGCTGTAATAAAGAAATAAAAACTATAATTAAAAACTATTAATTACCTAAGAATTAAACTATTAACCAGTTGAACATTTTTTTGCGAAACAGTATCATAGAAAATATGACATATTTACTGAAAGTTTCAAGTTGATACTTACAGCCCGGCTTGGTCCTCGAAGAGACGGGAGTTTGGTGTACGACCGTGATGTTGTGATGTTTCTTGGAGTCTGGAAAACGCAATTGTCTGAAAGTATATATTTCAAATACGAAATATCAGACAAATAATCAACTATATTGTATTTGATCAGGCTAATACTAGGTTTACACTAGAATTCCGGCGGTAAAGGCAAACACGGTTCGGGCCACCGTGCATAGTACGGGATGAACATGAATCAAGGCAGGGTGCCGGGATAGGCAAACGTGACACATCTTAATTACCAGAATTTTGGACTGTCATAAGAAACTACGGTATTTACTGTGACGGGAAGCATGTATATAAATATCTTTCGGCTAGAAGAGGCTGGTAACGTTGCATTACAAATGGTTCATACGTGTTACCTGTATAGTTGATAATAGACTGACCTTTGGAAAGTTTATCAGAAACATTAGTCCTTAAGCGCTCATAGATTACAGTTGCAGATTGCAGCGGCTTTAGTTTATTCATAACGCGTTAATATGTGTTAAAGATAATTATGAATTACATTTTAATGTTTGATAATAATTTAAAGAATTGAAAAGAAAGAAATTGTAAAACATGGCAGTGGCTGGTTAGGCGAGGGGAGTTTTGCCTCAATCTTCGCCTTCACTTTTCCAAAGGTAAGTCTCGCATAATCAATCAATTTCATCCAACACTTTCGCTCTTTAATGATCCAGGGATTATTCAAAGTCTTTTTCTCGTAAGTTACAGTGAGCATAAATAATAAAACGCATAATTTTCTCGCATATTTTGTTCCTTGCTCATGACGTATGACATTCCAAAATGTAAGATCGTGTTCGAAAATGATACATATTATTTTCAAAATGTCTCTTGGTTCGTGCTTTCTTGTTTATCATTGGTTAATTACAATATTTTGTAAATACTGTTTCATTACTTCATTCTGCATATTTTATGACTTTATATTAGAAGTTTACGAATGGTACTTATTTTTCAGTTGCATCACACACGCGCGCGCGCGAGCTCGCATGTACAATACACCTGAAGATTTGTTGATTTAGCAAGTGTTGTGACTTTATCGCCGTATATTTGGACTTTCCATTTAGGCATCAAATTCACGCGTTAACGGGATCAATATGGTAAATTAACAGCGATAAATTAAGTCTATGAACTGATATGCGTACACTTTTGTCACCCATGCAACTATATTTAATCGTAATATTCCTAAAAAGGCCCCTATATATTGGCATTTTTAAGGTAGATGAGGTTTGCGTTAATTTGATTAATCCTGCTGCTATATACACTCTTACATATTTGTCTAACCAATCGACATCTGAGGGGGTCTTGTAACGTCAATTTATCGTACAGGCATCGACAGATTCCTTAAGATTTGGCGGTTGCTCAATAGTTTAAGATATTTAAATCGTATATGTTTCGTATTAACATAAGCATTAAGGCTGAATACTTTACACTTTAGGATTTTATATAATGCTGATTACAATAAAATAAAGTACGGGCCACACTTTACTCGTATTGTTCATTTCCTATTGTTTTGAAATGAAATCAACCTATTTTTGATTGACAAACAGTTCTAATTTACAGGCTGTATACAATTTTGAAGATATACATCGAATGAATTGGGTTATAGATACATGCTCTGTTTAAAAGATGAAATTACAGTATTTTATTTCTTGAAAAGCACAAACTTATAACTGAATAGTATAATAAAAATACAGATATAAAAAAATTCCTGATTCTTTCAACATTTTCTGTTAATTGTAATTATTGTTTTAATTCACTTAATAACATTGGCAGTGCTTTTACTGTGGTGCTCTTATTATAAGATAGTGAAAGTTTCAACATTTTTATTAGTATTATTAATTATTCATTTGTCTGAGTGCTATGCTACATAAATCCCAAAATGTCTGAATGAATATAGCTCCAAATGTTCTGATAGCGTAAAAATCAAACTCTTGTTACAATGAACTAAAAGACACATTAAATTTTGATTTCATGTCTTACCAATATAGAATAATAAATTGATTTGCTACTTTCTATTTTCAATAAAGTCTTGATTTTTAAAACAGAAAAGCAGACTGACACAGTCTTCCAAATACTTAGTAAAAGACATTGAACATGGTTGATAATTTCTTTTCCTGAACTTCTGAACTATTTTTACAGGAAAGTTTCCAATTTGACACTTTCTCACGCCGAATCATGGGCATATTGCCAATGATATGGATAAATATATCAGATTTGCATGTGAATATCCTACTTCGAATGTATTCTTTCTTATATTAGCCCATATGTCATTTAGGTCACTTACATTTATATGGTAAAACATGTGATACAAAGAGCGAACAATAAATTGTTGTGATACAAAATTTCAAAGGTTACCTAGTTTGTGATAAAAATAAATCTTATCGGCAAACTATAGCTATTTGGATAAGGACATTTGTGTTTTCCAGAAATGACAAAACGTTACCAATCAGTTACTTAAAAATTGCAAGTTATATAACCTTGAAGTCAAGTTCAGGCAATGGTCAATTAGACTTATTGTATATTTTGAAAGTGCTATTCATATTTAATGTAAGTATAGATAGACAAAATAGAATCAAGTGAGATAAAATTGACAAGTTCTGAAGGACCCAGGAACACAACAAATTCATTATAAAATTTTGAAACCTTCATGTTTTCAATGTTTTTAAAAAACTATTATAGTTCTTGTCTTAGATAATCAAAGTACAGAAATACAGATCGACGGCTATCGATTACTTTATGTTTCACTCAACATACGGGCACTGAGGACAATATAAACTTTTAAAGAAAATCTCCTATTCACCAGAAGAACTTTTCTTTCCATTATTAGATTTGATTTCAATAATTTCCACGAAATATTGATGTACGTAAAAACGGTGTTTTACTGAATAAAAGTAGTTCCTTATTGCTTTTAGTACCATTGACCAAATTAAATTCAGCTGCAATGTATTGATTCGCTTTACATATGTTTTACAAAAATGATATGACATCTTGTTGATTTCTTTGGCGTTTTGATATGGATTGACGTACATAAATACATAAATTTCAATAACAATACCAAGACTGGCACAAACTCTTATATAAAATACAATTACATTGAATAAGTAAGAAACGATGATGAAAAAAACCACGCATTATCAATTAAGTTCCACAATGTATGTGAACGGTTTGGTCAACGTGTCTTGAAAAAACTGACGCGAACAACTTTTACAAACAATGTCACTCAAATACTTATACAACGTGAAGTAAGTTTATTGCCCATTAGGCTAGCCCATAACGCGATTCTACTAGACGCTTGTGGCATCTTATCGCAAAGCCAAGCTAACTCCTTGAATCGGTTATTTCCCATGATCAGTACAGTTAAAGAAGGGTTGGTGGTAAACTTCACAGGTAAACAAAAGTACTGTAAAAGAAGTCCTACAGTAACTATTTGTGTATGCTGACAAGACTGATTTTAGGTTTCCGGCAGGTTGCCTTGGTAATGACAAAACATAGCAGTCTGCTCAATTGGGAATATATCGTTATAAAATAGGCCAGGCCAATTAAAAATTAATGTATCATTTGAGATTAAACGGTAATTATGATGTTTGAGTATGATACTTAATTGTCAAGAATATCTCATCTCATATTTGATTACTTAGATATTGTAATTAATGTTTTTTACTTTACTGCAATTCGTAGTAAAGCGGTAAAGTAATATGTGCACATTACGATTAAATAAGCCGCAAAATTTAGAGAATGACCAGTGTTTAATGTTGCTGCAATCAATAAAATGAATTGTATGCTATATTGAGATAAGTAGAGTTCCTAGTCAGTTTCTAGCGAGCACCTCAAGTCACGTGCTTCAACTTTTTTAAAGTTATAATGCTTCAACTTTTTTAAAGTTATGATTTACATACTTTGTTATTTGATGATGCAACTTTTAAGAACATTTTTGTCATTGGAATATGATGAAGCTTTGCAAGTTATTTACTATTTTTCGTGCTGAGGAAGGCGCTGAACTTGTTAAATTGGACAGTAACATTCTCTGCCGTTGAGTTTTCCTAAAAGAGAGATCTTTTTATATGTTGCAAATACTGTCGCATTTATTGATACAGTTTATGTCTTAATAGAGGGTCTTCCATAGTTACTGCGCAAAGCTACAAGATTGTGTTTTGTCTTATTTGTAGAAAATGGGGCGACATGGAAAATTGCATTTGATTCTACCGTAATGTGTCTTCATATTGCATACATGTAAAGTTGGTCAAACAAGCAGAAATCGCTTAAAACATAACTCTCTAAAAGAAAGACTGAGTTTCTATGAACTACGCTCATTTGGAAAGAATATATGTGTCCGAATAGCGGCAAACATGAGTTTCAAAACACTTGAATAATACTGTCAGACCATGTTAGATGTTTGTTACCTGAAGAAAGTAGCGCAAAAATTAGTTTTCATAAAAGAAGCATTTTAACTTCTATACAAAATACTAAATCACTATAACTGTACCTAATGCCAAAAAGCAACAGAAGAAAAAGACGAATCAGGTAAATCGCCAATGAGAAAAATCGTATGAGAAATACAAATGAAAGCATTTCTGGGGCATTATGGGCCTTTATCATGCACGATAACAAAGTTCAAGACAGTTCTTGCACGTAAATCACAGATACATAATAGTTTCGTAGCTATCATTAGTTATATTTTTCTCAATAAAAATCTGAAGTTATTATATGGCAATTTATGATAATATAATACTCGGGCTTTCGTGCTTAAATCGTCAAATATTACACGAAGAATATCGATTAAGATATCTCTATTAATCTATTAATCGGTAAAATATTATTTATTGAAGACATTTTTAAAGAAAGATTGTAATAAAACATCTGATATGATTTCCATTAAAAGGTAATCGATACAACGGGTGAAATGAAAAGGTTTTTAATTGAATGAAAGTGGCGGGTCTCGAGTTATGTTACAATAGCGTTACATTAGCAATTAATATTGTCATTGTAATCAAATGTTTCCATTTCCTGATGGAGTAACGCTCAAATAACAAATGAACATATATTTCAAAGTAAATAGAATAAAGCTTGAAAGCTGGATCAATTGTTTCCATACATGAATGTAAACATGATTATACGAGAGTGTATATACATTCAATTTGATTGCGTATGCATTAGATAATAATAATTCGTTGACAGCAGTACGTCTAATGTCAAAAGTCCTTCACATATGTTTCAAATAATTTGCATGGAAAAGATTGAAGTTACGTTAGGAAAACCAGTTAAGTACTTGTAAAAAAAACCAAGGCCATTCTTTAGGTATCTACACCATTTCGACAAATAAAAGAGTATCTAAATTATTTATTTCTTCTGGAAAACTCACGAAATTAACTAAAATCTAATGCCAAATATTTCCAGTTCTGAACAGCTACAAGGACTGCCTCTGTGACTTTTCCTTATTCCAAAAACTGAAATATAATCTGTCTGGTAAGGGATACAATTCAAGTAATATCATTGGGTATGCATCTTTAACTGTAAATATGTATAGAGGCAAATGGTAAGTACCTTTAAAAACTTAAGTTAGTTAACACTAGCTTTTCTAAAGCTACTAGCGGCCAGTTTGTTTTTATATTGGTAGCACATCGTTATAATACATATTTAGCCAGTAAGAAAAATATACCATAAAACAGCTAAAAGGAGAAAATGTGTACATTCGTGAACCACTATAGCTGCTCAAAATGTCTATGTAACCATTCATTTATTTTTCTTACATATCAGACTGGTGTTTCCACTTTACACATATTGGAAATGCCATATGACATAGGGAAGCCAAAATGAGGTGCGTGCTCAAAATGACGTCAGTTTGGCTTGTTATATGAATGAAATGCATTCTTAGGATAATGTTATTTCGCCCTTATGGATGATGGATGAAGTTGTAAATTCATACAGTGTCGGTTGAAATGACATTAATTTCCACTGAAAAGTAATTGATTAAGGTAAACTACATGGTAGAAGTTTTAATTGTAAAATATATGCACAATATCTTAAGTCTCTTGTAATTCTACGCAAAGAATGGCTATTTACAATGTACTGTTTATCTTTTATGCTGAAATGTTTGTAATTGTGCACAGATGAGACAGTAATAAATAAATAAATAGAATAGCCTATTGTTTGTGTTTGGGTTTCGGATTGGCACATTCGTACCTTGTGTGTGGTTACTCGGCAAGGCGCGTTACCTCCCGATAGGCAGTTACCCACGGACGGATATTCCTATTCAAACATTAACAAAACGTAACGTGGATAAAAACATGCGCCCCTAATAGCATTGACCTGTACCATCAACTCTGAAAGGGAAATCATTTTTGTTCGTCAGACAATTCATATATAGATATTGTCATAGAATAAATATACATATAGGATAAATGGTATGTTTTGGACAATTTCTCATTTTGTTAGTGTAAGGTAAAATCAATAGAGTAGTCCAACCACTACACAGAAATTAAATTCGTGTGAACCCGAAAAGGGACAATAATCCGGAAAATGTAAAAAGATGTATGCGACATTGTGAAGATTTTCAATATAATTTCAGAAAGAAAAACATCATTAATTCCAAGAATGCAATGGGAATTCTGTGTGTATGATAAATTGGGAGAGATGACAAACAGTCTTAACAATGGCGTTAAATTACAGTGTGGATTTGATAGATTAATGTTTTTTTGTTAATATCTTAAAGGAGCGTTTGTCAAAACAATCAAATTATATTTTTATAGGACCAAATCTTAATTGGCAAATGGAATAGTTGTTATTGTTTGATGATGATGTTGTTGTTTGTGTTCTTGTATTTTGTTAAGTAGGCCCCATTTAAAATCAACATATGTTATTTGAGTTTTACGATGGCATATCTTCATGTGTTACGTTCTTTAGATAAATATATTATTATTGTTATTATTATTATCATTATTATTATTATTATTGTTGTTGTTGTTGTTATTATTATTATCTGGTGTCAAGCATAGTAATGGCTAAAAGATACCCAGTAGCGGTGCACTAGATAACGTCGAAAGACATTTGATAGACATTGCATTCTTTTCTATCAAATTTCCTTTCCATTCTTTTTAATTATAAGACAATTAAAAGAAGGGACAACAAAGAATGGAATGGAAATTTGATAAAGTCGAATATTGTCGAGAAATCGTGCATTTGCTGTGATGTCCTAACTGCGTGAACATATTCTACAGTATAGATTATATAATCGTATAGACCAGTGATGAATTATAACACTAGAAGACACGTCTGCGACATTATGTCGAAATATAATGCGCTTCATTATTCGGTCAAGTGTCGTAGGTTTAAACATTTTTCGACAGTCTGTCGCTCTCTATCATTTGTCCATTCTATAATATGTCTCTTCTTTTAATTGCCATTTTCTTTAAAGTGTTTTTGACGTAAAATTTCGGAAAGACACGGAGTCTTAGTATATTTCCTATTGCAATATTCGTTACACCTGCTCGCCAAGGCAAGTGGCATTATTTCTGGACATTTATTTTATATGATATTATCAAGTATAGGAAAATAAGACATACAATCAGACTGTTAAATAGTAACTAGCAAATTATATAAAAAATACCAGCGCACAGATATGCTGTTTTGACAATTCCGTGCAATATAAACATGTTTTATCATTAAATAATTGTTCACTTTAAACATTTCTTTAAACATTCAAATAAAATGTACTTCGAAGTCAATTATATTCTCATTTTAAATGTTAAGCGATGTTTTATTGAAGTTAATCTCTAGTCATTTAGCTATCTAATAGCTACTTGATTTTTATATACAAATATATTCAAATTTCAACGAAAATTTCCAATTAATCCATGAGTAAACATTTAGTTAGTGTAGCATATCTGCGTGAATAACGTGCGTTATTAAAGCACGAATTTACCGAGATCTAAAGTAAATAGAAATAACGTTTTGACAGACAAAGATAAATTGTTTGTATTAAACAACTATAAAATCTTATTCAATTACATTTTATTTGATCAACTATTCAAACAAACTTTATCCGCATTTCAAAAGCGGAATATATATTACGTAAACTTAATATACGACCTATCTGTCTTGTTTTTTGTAGGAACAAATTCACATAGAAATACAATATTAATGTTTTCATAATTACATTTTAATGGCCGTTTGATTTGAACGAACATGCATTATGAAAAAATGTTACAAAATGTAATAAATCATCTCTTTTATGAGTTGGAACTTTTTTAACAGGACAATTTATACAGTCAAGTCCTAACCAGAGAAGGCATACCTGATTTTAAGGTCTTTAGAAAAGAAAAAAGATTCAATATTTAATAAAATATTTACATGCTATGTGCGATTAGTGACTGATTTTGCAGTATCGATCATTATAAATCTACTGCGTTATTAACGCAATAAGAGGTATTTCTGTATATTTTAAACTCTTTTTGGTAATTAACGTTGATTGTTAGTACCGTTTGCAATGTGTAAATAACTTTATTTTTCCAGCTCACAATATTTTACTTTTAAATACATTTTCAAAATTTTCATAAAAATTAGCATGAATCTGGAGGCATACCTGAGTTTAAAGATTGCATTAGAATGCGACACAAAGATAATAACACTAAGACTATACTTAATGGCCGTGCTAAATGAAGCAATAATAAAAAATGTTGAGTTAGAAACTGATCTCATCCGAATGTTAATATTGTTTCTGTTTTATCGTTTGTAATATCCGCTTTTTTAAGGATAAATAGATCGTAGATGGATGGATTTATTATTCTTATTTTTCTATCTTTTATCTTATATAGATATGAGCACACAATAGGCAAGCAAAAGACACCATTTGTATTGAAGAGAATGCTACAATATAGGAATGCTAGTGGAAACCGAAAGGCTTATTTTCCATGGGAGAATGAGGAGGGGGCATTTATTATACGTACGGTTTGTCAATAAATATCAGACAAGAATAGTAACGAAAAAAATGCTGTCTCACTTCCATCACCTTTGAAACTTATAAAGAAATGGGACAAAAAACGGATAGCAAAACTGATTTTTGAAGGAGGACAAGCGATCGCTATGGGCAATTTGAAGTGTACGTTATTATATCCCGGACTTTGATGTCGTGTCTTTAAGCATTGATCAGTAATTCCTAGCTACAGAGAAACGAACGCTATGTTATAAAATGCCCATCTGTATTACGCAGCTTGCCTTATCGATATGTTTAGTGAGCACTTAGTAAACACATGATCCTTTCGATTGCACGAGATAACCAATATCAATAATTATGATACTTAGAGATAAACTGAAAACACACAATATTTTATGTTATTTACTTTTCTAGAGACTAAAAACCTTTTTTTTTAATTAATTAAGCTGATAAGCAGTTTTACGTTCAGGAATAGTTAATGAATGATATATCTAATTGGTATTTTAGCCACATTTCATCACTATTTTCGGTATTAATGTTGAAACTATTTTAAAGTTTTGGTAGACAGTACTCAATGTGCAAGTGTTTAAAAATGAAGTAGAATACAATTAGATTTAAAAAAAAATGTAAAAAATAATGTTTCAGTTGTTTACCATAGTACATCTGTGGCAATGCTGTTGTTGACATACTGGACGTCCGTCCACTGTTCGCACTGCCTGGTCGGGAGTCGAATCCATTTGGCACGCTGTACGACTTGGGTATCGCGCCTCGTACTGGCGGTAGTGAAATTCCGCTCATGATGATTGCAATGTATTGCTTTACGTAACTTATCAAGACAAAGAGATATCGGCAACAGTTTCACATTTCCTAATTAGAAAATGCTGAAAATTGAGTATAGTCATGGTCACATATTTTCCACACAAAAAATCATAACACCAGATATTATACTGTTTCTAAACATTACAATTTCCGACGAAAATCCGATGAATTATAAAACACAGTAACTGATCCAATATGTCCGCTGTTAAATATACCAATGAACGTAATTCAAAACTAACTTATGTATCTCTTTTACCATCAGCTCGTTTTATAGTTATCAAATTTCCAATTGATTAAATATAATGAAAATATGATAGCCTTTAACAAGGCTCTATAGTCTAACTTCGACCATATGGAACCGAATAATGTTACCTTACTTGAAAGCATTTAAACATTATGGCTAATGCAAAAACAAAACTCAAATCTTATCAAAACGCATTTAAAGACCCAGCAATATATCATACAAACGGGTTTGGCAAGCTTTCATAAAACAGTCGGTGTATTTGAATGTAAAGATCCAAGCTACCGGCTTTATAATGATTTAGTTAATAACTGATACTATTCCGTTGCGAATTGTAAGGCGATTGTATACGTCTTATTGTGATTAAGTACCATGAAATTAAAGATTAGAGGTTTGATTTTGAACGTTTGAAACAAATTAACATGTGTTGTTATAAATCATATTATTTGCGTGACTTGATTTATTTGCGGGTGTTTAAATGGCTTAAAATATCAAAAGGAAAACGTACTTGAAAATAATATTATTATGCAATTTATATAATTTAAGAAAATGAACATACGGTATATCTTGTACATGTATCTTGTTTCTTTTAGTCCTAAAAGAAGGAATGCGTTTTTTATTATTACAGATCAGAAGAATAACATGAAATTAATTTTAAAAAAATACCAGACAGAAAAAGGTATACAAAATAACATATGCTTTTTTATCTACCGTTGAAATTCCACCCTTTTTACAATAGTGTTATTCATCAATTTTATGATAAAACAGAACAGAACATAATAAAAAGTTTATTAAGTCTTAGGCATAGTGCAGCATATACTCATTGTATAGCAACACAAAGATTTAATGACAATACAGTTCAACCTCTTCAGAGCGGCCCTCTATTAGAGCAATCACCTTTATACAACAACAGTATCAATATTTCCCAAAGTAAGACTTCATACTTAAGTTGAATAACCACGAAGATCGTTTTACAACATACTTTTAGTTTTTTTCGTCTTATAAACCTCAAAATTTAGCATCCGTAGAAAAAATATGTGAATTTCGGCTGATCCAGAATTGCACTTGAACCCCATATGTGAAGTCAAAAGAAAGTCATTCACAGGGTTGTCAACGTTTTTTTAACATTTCTATGAAAATCAAAATTGAAAATCAAAGTATGAAGTGTACCCAAACAGAAATGGCTAAATTTTGTTGAAATGTAGGGGAATTGTAATGGTTAATTAAACGTTGGAGATGGAGAAGGAAAAATCAGAAACTTAAAGGCTTCTTACATATTTCACAAGGTCGAACCCGCCTCAAACTGATTACATCACCAAAGTAGTTAAGATCATTTGCATGTTAGACAGGGAAATTTAATTGAAAGTTTAACAAAACAGTTTCAGGTATAACAAAGTAAAGTGATCCCAATAGAATTATGACCCCGGTCTATGTATTTTAAAGAAAATTGACTCCCTGGTCATAATATTAAGACCCCCGGTCAAAGCATAATGACCTCTACACATTTATATATTATTTGTACCACTAGAATGACCATATGGGCGAGTCCTCCAGAACAGTATTAGTCATTTTAGATTTTAGAGGATAGTGCAAGATACAGATACAGAAAGATGCCCCAATTTCAGAAGCTTCTCCTGGTTCTTTAGCGTGCCAAATGTTTAAGGACTCATACAAGGGACCTCGATTTAAAGTCTCATCCGAAAGACTGATAAGTAATTAAATTTGGCCAGCCCGGGAGTCGAACCCACAGTGTCGAGATTAAAAGTCTCGCGCTCTAACCGATTGAGCTATGCGGGCTGGCACTACTCTTACGAAGAATGGTGATTTCCTTTTAATAATTGTCACAGGGTGAGAAAAATGTGCAGCCTGACCGGGACTCGAACTCGGGACCCTCGGAATACCGTTCCGCGGCTCTACCGACTGAGCTATCCGGCCGCTTACACATCTTCTCCCCTAAATAGTGAACAGTTCTGAACCGTGACATACTTCACCACAATATTGAAATTCGTCCTCGAATTTCACAAAGCTACAGAGCAATGCTAATTGAACTCTGAGCTATAAGCAGTCACGGTCCCCCGTTGGACGCCAAATGTCACAGGGTGAGAAAAATGTGCAGCCTGACCGGGACTCGAACCCGGGACCCTTGGAATACCGTTCCGCGGCTCTACCGACTGAGCTATCCGGCCGCTTACACATCTTCTCCCCTAAATAGTGAACAGTTCTGAACCGTGACATAATGAAACCCTCTCATCTCGTGTCATTTTTAAAGAAAGACAACCCCTTTCATAAAATATTGAAAAACAATGAAGAGTTGCCTAAAAGGTAATAAAAAATTTCCTTTCCAAATTAAAAAAAAAAACAAAAAAAACAACAAAAAAAACATGGAACGTTTGTGTAAAGAAACACACTGGATCCATAAGTTAAAAACACTTAATCCATATGGTTTAAATACTAAGGTTATACTCAAAATTGATCTGCATAAGATGTGTGTACCATGCTAGACACGTATTCGTTTTTTCCTATTTTTTTTTATATGTATTTGCTATAGGAAATCCTTGTATAACTTTAATCCGTTTACGTGTCTGCATTACTTTATATCTACATGTATGTTACGTTATCTTGTATGTACATGTATGTTACATTATTTTATATGTGCTCTAAGCTGCATTATTTTAAATGTACATGTGTGTTGCATTGTTTGTCTATGAACATTGTTAAAGACTGGGTAAAGATATTAAGAGCACGCGAAAATAAGTATATTTATTTGATCTATAACATGTTAAAATTAAATTTTGAACGAGATGAGCGTAAAGTAACTGGTGTTCAGTGGTTAAAAAATTATTATGTTCTCTTGGTTTTTATGATGCTTGGTTAGAGCAAAATGTTGGTGATGTTGAGTTTTTTTTTTATCTTCAGTTAAACAAAGATTAACAGATCAATTTATTCAGAACTGGCATGGTAGACTAAATGATTCAAGCAGAGCATTATTTTACAGAAACATAGCATCTTTCCAAAGTCAGCCATATCTTGAATGTCTTTCAATGAATAAATTTTGCCAAGCATTATCTAGATTGCTTGTTTCATCACACAGGTTACAAATTGAGTCAGGTAGATAGGTACGTCCAGTAAGAATTGCAATAAATGAAAGGAAATGTAACTTATGTGGTTTATTGGAGGATGAATTTCATTTTTATTTGTTTGGGTCGTCAGACCAAACAAATAATGGTAGCGAAATTTCAGACCCTGATGCTGTTAATTGCAAATGCCGAAAGTAGTCCGCTTTTTTGAAGCGGTTACTTCCCTTTATATGTACACTAACGCCGAAAAATTCAGGGGAGATCACTGCGTAAAGATTGTCAAATGACAGGCGCATTAATTTTCAAGCAAAATAGTTCCCGAATGGTCGAAGATTTCTAATATTGTTTTATTCTTTATAGATATATACATGCTTATAGTAAGCTCCATGATTATTTACATCTGTGTTAAACAACAGGTTTAGCGTCGAAATAATAAGAGTTACAAACCCTAATTTAGAATAATATGGTTTTCTTCAGGCCGTTAACATATAACTTCACCGTGCCCGAGGGGTTTGCACGCTCGCTTAGGAATCGAGAGGTCTGAAATTCTAATCCCAGTTAAGGCAACTCATTTTTTAAAAAATTGTTTAAGTCAAATAAACATTGAATTGAATATCAGTGTTGCAATTAGTCTTATAGCCAATTTACTACAGTTAAAACACTGGAAAGCATTGGTGGCACTATACAAAAACAAATTGTTTTATAATCTCACAACCTTCACCTTTCTGACATTCTGAGACCCAAACAAATTCAGCGCCTACTGTGCTTTGATGTAATTAAATGCTGTAGTGATTTAAGGAAAAGGTATATACCAAGTTACTTTTGGAAAAGACTGAATATGTTTAAGTTTTTAGAATTGATTAAATCTGATAACAAAACTGTAATTAGAAATTTAGGAATATATGTATACAATGCTTTTGCTATTAGAAATAACGTTATGTACGGGCTATGATACATGTAAAATAATGTATATATCTCTATATTTTTCTTCTTTTCTTCTTTTCTTCTTTTGGTTGCCACAGCACAGTGAAAATATTACTCCTTTCAAGATATAAAATTCAATACTAAAAGTTTCAAAGAGAAAAGAATAAATGATATTTGAATCAATCTACAGTTATTTTGATGATGATGTTTCACGAATAGCCAATGAGTTGACCTTTTTCTCTTTTGTTTACGATTTCGATAAAGATGCATACAAAAACTGAGACTCATGGATCCCAGAAAGTATTGTCAGTACCCACAAATGAATGACATCATCATCAGTAAGGCAGGTGTATTAAAGCTCCTCGCCAACCTCAATGCCAACCAATTGTCTTGAAGGAGCTGAGAGTTGAGATTATTGACATCGTTGCAGCTCTCTTCCAAAAATCCCTGACCACCGGTAATATTCAAAATGACTGGACCAGTGCAAACGTATGCCCTGTCTACAAAAAAGGTGATATAAGTGATCCAGCAAACTATCGCCTAATTTCTCTTACTTGCATCCTCTGTAAAACACTTGAACACATACAAATGTAGTTGCCTCTCTACTATCCTCTCACTTTACCACCCACAACATAGATCTACTCTATGATCTTCAGCACGGATTCATAGAAAGACGATCATGTGAGACACAGCTCATCGAACTTACTGATTACCTTGTGAACAACCTTTCAAATGGCAAACGAACAGATCTCATACTGATTTATGTTTGTTATTTGGTGTGGATGCAGAGAATACGAGATGTTGATACTATGACTTTATTTCTAAGACTGTCTAACAATATGTAGTCAATTGGTCAGTACACTAAGTAGGCGGAGCCTAACAATCAAGTTTAAAGGTACTGCATGCAATTTATATTTAATGTAGAATTAAATATAAAACAATATATATTTAATGTAGAATTAAATATGAAACACATACTACTTGACTTCTCTAAAGCTTTCGATAAAGTAAACCATCTTAACTTAAAACTCTTAGATACCCTTCAAGAACATGGTGTTTGTCCTCAAATTCTAAACTGGATACAGTCCTTACTTATTGGCCGTAGACAGACAGTAGTTGTGGATAGTGACTGCTCATCTGAAGTTCCAGTTACGTCTTGAGTGCCCCAAGGCGCTGTTTCCTTCATTATATCAACAAGCTACCATCTTCTGTCCTTAACTCCCAAGTCAGATTATTTGCAGACGACACTGCTGTATACTTAACCATCAATTCCTTCTCAGACCCCTAACTCTCCAACATAATCTAGACCATATGGTTCTGAGGGAGAAGCCAAGTCATCCATATCACCAAAAACAAAACCATAATTAAACACAAATATATCCTCCATGGCCAAGTCCTAGAGTCGGTCTCAAATGCTAAATTTCTCGGACTAGATCTGCAGAAAATACAAAAAAACGCAGCTATAATACTCTATACAAGTACGAGTTTCTGTGATAAATACTTCAACCAATAACGCATATGTAATTTAACCTTTTACCCCATGAGCATATTGTGAAAAATGGCCGTTTTCATTGAAAAGCCTCCTGTTACAAGTTCAAACTGCTATGAAACTATGAAAAATGTTTCAATACTGATGAAACTTGGCACAAATGTTGACTGGACCATAGCTAGTGTAACAGCATGCTCAATCGTAAATTTCCTGTTACCACGGCAACGGGGGGACGTCTCAAAATTGAGAAAAATCACTATTTTGCATTGTTTTTTCCATCAAAACTGATTTCAAAGTGCTGCAACTTCTCAATGAATTGAGATAGAGTAAAAGGCTTTTCAGCGCCGGTTACTAGTTACCCTGAGATCGACATGAGGCCATTTTTAGCCTGTCACAAAATTTTCTTGGCGATGAGGGGAACTGTCGCCCCCTTTCAACCCCCTCCAAACAGAAGGGGGCGCATCCCCCTTCTGGCAACCTCCTGGTGTACCATTTTGATGGGGGGCAGCGCCGAAAAAGTGGTCACTTTTTAACAACATTTCTCATACGAAATACAGTGTTTGGGGTCTAAATAGGGCATTTTTTCACTGTTTAAGGCCTCAAAAGGGCGGGGGGCATAAAGCCGCCAAAACAGGTCTATATATGAGGGAAAAGATTAATTAATAAAAAATCAATTTGAACACAGTTCTCATCCTTAAGTTAGAGAAAAAAAAGACATTTTACATATACATTAATTGTCTTTATCAAAATGTCAAAATCGTCTCTTGGAAATATCAAAACAGCAAAATATTTTTCAGTTACTTTTAACAATAAAAATTACAGCCTTGATTGCGCTTAATTAACTATATTGGGTCAAATTTTTCTATTTTGTTTTGCATGTATTATTATTTAATTATTATTATTAATTATCATAGCAAGAAAACAATGGAGAGAAAAAAAACAACACAAAAAGTATATAACAAGTCATATCCGCGGATAAGAGTCAAATGATACCAATCTCCTATATTTTGGAAAACCAAGAGAGGTTTGCGTAATATGCCTAACTTTCACTATGAGGGGACTGTCCTTGAAATTGTTGAGCATTTCTCATATTTAGGTGTCCAATTTTCATTTAATGGTAAATTCAGCAGAACTAAAACATTCCTTATTGATCAAGCCCGTAAAGCCGTGTTTTCTGTAATTAGGAAATCTAGGATACTTAATTTACCAATAGATATGCAATTACACTTGTTTGATACAATGATAGCACCCATTTTGTTGTATGGGTGTGAAGTTTAGGGTGTTGAAGATGTGAGTGTTGTGGATAAATTTCAATTAAAATACCTAAAGATAATTCTACAGTTGAAACAGAGTACTCCAAATGTTATGATTTATGGGGAGTTGGGTATTACCCCACTTTCAACACAAATTAAAAGTAGAGTTCTCAATTACTGGGGTAAAATAGTTAACTCTAAACATGATAAGATAATCAGCATTCTATATAGAACAACTCATAATTTATATACTCTGAATAATATTAAATCAGATTGGGTCTGTTTTGTTCGAAATAATTTAAATGATCTTGGATTGTCGCATTTTTGGATAAATCAAAATGTGGAATCTCCTGCTTCATTCAAGAATACTGTCAACTTAAGACTGCGTGATCATTTTATGCAAAATTGGAGAAGTACAATGAATAATTCCAGTAAATGTCTAAATTACAGGATTTATAAACAGGATTTTTGTTTTGAGCCCTACCTCAGCAAGTTACCTATGAATTTAGCTTTAATTCTCTTTAAATTTAGAAGTATGAATCACAAACTTCCTATTGAAAAAGGAAGGTTTGATGATATTCCAAGAGAACTTAGAACTTGTACATAACCTATGTACCAGTAACTCTTTATTCCATTATCTTTTTGAATGTTCACATTTAGTTAATACAAGAAAGCACAGGCACGAGTATCGGACCTTGGAAGAAAAAATATGACCAGATTGATAAAAAAAACCTGTGTTCATCTTAAAAGTGTAAAAAAACCAAAAACAAATGTAAATAATTAATGACCCCCTTTAAAAATATACTATAACTTAATTAATAGTATATTTTTAAAGGGGGTCATTATTAATTTACATTTGTTTTTGGTTTTTGTTTTTTTTTGACACTTTTAAGATGAACACAGGTTTTTTTTATCAATCTGGTCATATTTTTTCTTCCAAGGTCCGATACTCGTGCCTGTGCAAGAAAGCTGTATCTTGATAAATATTTCTATGAACGTCCAAGTGCTTTAAAATTTGAAAAATTAATGAACCATAGTAATAAAGATATCCTTTTGAAACTTGCCATATTTTGCAAAAATAGTATGTTATTATTTAAATAATGTTAGCTTATTAGATTTATGTCTTTTCTCTTTGTTTTTTTCTCGCAATGATTTTTGATTTTTCTCTCTCATCCTCCATTACCAGTCAACTCCGTCCAATTATTACTGTAATTTTATTACATCATGGAGTTGTATGACCATTTATAATTTGCCATTTTGTAGTATTTTGTTTTTACATATTATTTGCCATTTTGTATTATTTTGTATGTATGTACTGTTTTATGTTGTCACATGCCCATATGGGCCCTGACTTATTCAAATAAACCTTGAAACCTACGCAGTGATCTCCCATTATTAGTAGGCCTACGATCTGTAAAGGGAGGTAATCATTGTGAGACCGATATGTCACGTGACACTTTCTCACGTGATTGGGAGGTTTCAAAATGGCGACCGACAGTCCAGGATGGGAATTTGATAAGTTTGAAGATGGGTCTTTAAGTAAGAATATCAAATGTTACACGTAAATAAATTGCAGGACATTTTACAATTATCGCAATTTGTTAACAATTCAATAAACAGAAATTTTAATAACATTAAAGTTATCGGTGTTTGATAATGATTCTAAAAGTCCCAAAAATACGGGTATCCCGGTGGTACTACTATCAGAAAGACAGACTATTCTCTCCCTTACCAGTTCCTGCACCTGACGGTTCTCCACCAAACCGTTTTTTTCCCTCCCCTGACGGTTCTCTCTCAAATTTGAAATATGCAGACAGTTCTCCCCCACTTTTATTAAAAGTAATCATTTTAGTTTTGACTTAATCTATATTTCTTAATGAAGATTATTAAAAGAATGTGTGAAATTTAGTGCATGTTAATCTGAAAAGTGTTTGTGTAAATTAAACACCTAGTAATATTCATTCATTTGTTAAGTAGTGAATAATGTTCTAGAAAACTAGCAACAACTGGTGTGCAATTTACTTTTATACAAAATTGATTAAAGAACATGTAGCCATTTAACATAATACCAAATAAGTAACAAAAATACTTATTCATCAACACCTTTTCACAGAAATTTTAATCTAATCAACACCTTGATTCTTGAGTAAAGAATTAATAAACACCTCAATTATCTCGGACAGCAAACTTAATGCACATGTGTATTGAACCCCTTTCTTCATTTTACAAAAGTATGAAATTTAGCAATTAAAATTTTTTAATCATTTTTCTTATAATTTTATTCTTATTTATTAAAAGAAAACAACAAAAAAACAATAATTGATATCTAATGATTATCCTAATCAGGTAAATTGTTAATTAATTAATTTCAATGACTAAACACGTTAACCCACTACCCGATATACACACCTTTTAACGCCTTTTTCACCCCCGCCCCCAATTTGTTGTCTCAAATGATGAAAATTTTTTTTTACCCCCCCCTTTTTTTGTTTGAGAAAGTTTTTAACCAAAAAAAACCTTTTTTAGCTCCCCCCCCCAAAAATAAAAAAGGGGGTTAGAAGGGGGTTTTTGGGGTTTAAAAACGGGTCCCCCATTCCAAAAAATTTTATTTTGGGGGTAAAAAAGCCCCGGGAAAATTTTAAGTTAACCAATCGAAAACCTTTGTTTTTTAAAAAATTTAAAAAATTTTTTGAAACAATTTTATAAAAAAAAACCAAAAAATTTTGGTTTTTTAATTTTTAAGTTATTCCCGGGGGAAAAAAATTTAAACTGGTTTTAAAAAAGGCAAAAGTCAAAAAATTTTCCAATTTATTAGATTAAAAATTTTTTTTAGCTCACCTGTCACAAAGTGAAATGGTGAGCTTTTGTGATCGCTTTTCGTCTGGCGTATGGCCGTCCGGCCATCTGTAAACTTTTACTTTAAACGACATCTCCTCATAAACGGCTAAGCCAATTTCATTCAAACTTCACAGGAATGTTCCTTTGGTAGTGAACTTTAAAAATTGTTCAAAGAATTTAATTCCATGCAGAACTCTAGAAAAAACTTAAAAATCTTCTTAAAAAAAAAACGAAAGAGCTATAGCTTAAATATTTGGCATAGTCAGAGTCTACCAAGTTTGTTCAAATAATAGTCCTGGGGTCAAAATTGGCCCCGCCCCAGGGGGTCATTGTTTTCCCTATATGTATATGGTAAAAACTTAAAAAATCTTCTTTTAAAAAAACCCAAATAGCTAGAGCTTAGATTTTAGGCATGAAACATCTTCTGGTTGTTGTCTACCAAGTTTGTTCAAATAAAAGCCCTAGGGTCAAAATTGGCCCTGCCCCAGGGGGTCATTGTTTTCCCTATATATATATAGTGAAAACTTAAAAAATCTTCTTTTTAAGACCGAAAGAGCTAGAGCTAAGATATTAAGCATGAAACATCTTCTAATGGGTGTCTACCAAGTTTGTTCAAATAAGGGCCCTGTGGTTAAAATTGGCACTGCTCTGGAGGTCGTTGATTTTCCTTATGTGTATAGTAAAAACTGAAAAAATCTTCTTTTAAAATCCCAAAGAGCTAGAGTTTAAATACCAAGCATGAAATATCTTCTAGTGAGTGTGTACCAAGTTTGTTAAAATAAAACCCTGGGGTCAAAATTGGCCCCGCCTGGGAGGGGGATCATTGTTTTTCCCTATATGTGTATAGTAAAAACTTAAAAAACTTCTTTTAAAAATTCCAAAGCGCTAGAGCTTAGATATTTATTATGAAACATCTCCTAATGGGTGTCTACCAAAATTGTTCAAATAAAAGCCCTTGGTTAAAATTGGCCCTACCCCAGGGTCCTATATACAGGTGAGCGATTTCAGGGCCATCATGGCCCTCTTTTTATAGTTTTATACCAATTTGAACATGTAAGACTTTTCATTGAAAACAGCTTTTTTTCACAAAATGCTCATGAGGTAATGGGTTAAAAAGTACACATTAGATCTTATAGAAAAAAGACAACAGAATAATATACATCTTCTTATATGCTAAAAATATTTTCCCCCTCATAATTTATATTGATCAATTGATCATAAACTTACCCATGTATTAAACATCTAAATACTTCAATATTTTTTTTCTAATTTATATCAATTAATAATAAACTTATCCATTTATTAAACATTAAAATACTTCAATAAAATATTTTTTCTAATTTGTATTAATTAATGATAAACTTATCCATTTATTAAGGTGACAACGGAGCCAATATTCACTCAAAATACCTAAAATGAGATTCTTTGCTTAGTAGATTTATCAACCTTTTCTGAACACATTCATGATTTAATTTTGGTAGCAGTCAGAAAAATGTGTTTTTAAACGTTTTAAAACAGTACCATTACCGTTTTTATCTGCTATTCGCGTAACGCTCTGCCCCCTATTGAGGCATCAATGAGGGAAATCAGTAGTTCCATATATCCGTGAATTACCGGTCCATACTACTCGTAATACATGTATCATACAAATACTGTACATCGTTTATGAATATCTCAACATTTATCGTCTACCTTTTGATCTAGCCTTTTAATAAATTAAGAAAAAGTCAGCCAAAATGTAACATAAATAATTTAGAATAGCGGCAAATCCCACAACCATGGGGATGGTTAAAACAATGTAGCTGCCTATTATCAATAATATGTGAAATAATAATTTGTTTGTCCCGTAATCTGATAAACATATTACATTGATTTTATAGACATTCAACCTCGTTTTCTAACAATATAAAAAGAAACAGACAAATTTTTTTATGTAAACACCTATGATGATGACAAATTTCTAAAATATTTTATGATAATCTGCGGATGATATTTTTTATGAATAGATATTAAAAAATGGACATATATGGAAATATATTTTTAGTGGATGTTTTGAATATCATGTTTGCCAGTAAAATCGAACACAGTACTAATAAACTTGAGACAAAGTATGAAATTTATTTTGTGTCCCAGAAGAAACTGAATCAAGGTCTATGCCGTGCATAGATGAAGATTCATGGTCAGATCGAGTGATACCTTTTATTTCTATTAAAATATGTCAGACATTTATATGAATTGGTCAGACAAAAATATATAATATCCTGTTCTTATTTGTACATCATACCACAGACTTTAGCTTGTTATTATACCCCCGCACAACAAAGTTGTAAGGGGGGTATACTGGAATCAGCTTGTCCGTCCGGCTGTCTGTCCGTCCGGCCGTCCGTCCGTCGGTTTTTTCTTGTCCGCCCAATAACTTAAGATTCCTTTGACCCTTAGTCTTCATATTTGGCATGGAGGTTAGTCATGATTAGTAGATGACCCCTATTGATTTTGAGGTCACTAGGTCAAAGGTCAAGGTCACAGGGGCCTTGACTTCAAAAAGCTTGTCTGCCCAATAACTTAAGATTCCTTTGACCTACAGTCGTCATATTTGGCATGGAGGTTAGTCATGATTAGTAGATGACCGCTATTGATTTTGAGGTCACTAGGTCAAAGGTCAAGGTCACAGGGGCCTTGACTTCAAAAAGCTTGTCCGCCCAATAACTTAAGATTCCTTTGACCCACAATCTTCATATTTGGCATGGAGGCTAGTCATGAGCCAGGTCAAAGGTCAAGGTCACAGGGGCCTTGACTTCAAAAAGCTTGTCCGCTCAATAACTTAAGATTCCTTTGACCTACAGTCTTCATATTTGGCATGGAGGTTAGTCATGATTAGTAGATGACCCCTATTGATTTTGAGGTCACCAGGTCAAAGGTCAAGGTGACAGGGGCCTTGACTTCAAAAAGCTTGTCCGCCCTATAACTTAAGATTCCTTTGACCCACAGTCTTTATATTTGGCATGGAGGTAAGTCATGATTAGTAAATGACCCCTATTGATTTTGAGGTCACCAGGTCAAAGGTCAAGGTCACAGGGACTTTGACTTTAAAAAGTTTGTCTGCCCAATAACTTTAGATTACTTTGACCCACAGTCTTCATATTTGGCATGGATGTTGATCATGATTAGTAGATGACCCCTTTTGATTTTGAGGTCACTGGATCAAAGGTCAAGGTCATAGGGACTTTGACTTCAAAAAATTTGTCCACCCCTTAAGATTCCTTTGACCCACAGTCTTTATATTTGGCATGGATGTTGATCATGACTACAAGGTGACCCCTATTGATTTTGAGGTCACTGGGTCAAAGGTCAAGGTCACAGGGACCTTGACAAAAAAAAGAAGCTTTTCTTCTCAATTGCTAAAGAATGTCCTGTCCGCAATGTATTGATTTTGACATTTTCACATTTGAAGCATGTAGAATACATAACTTAGCAATGCACTGGCTAAGTAACCTCAGATTTGGCAGGGAGGTTGTCCTTGAGCTCTAAATGGCCACTGTTGATTCTGACAAAGTGGTATGCGGGGGTATTCACGCCATGATAGTGGCAGTTCTAGTTTTAATTAATTAATTAATATTTAGCAGAATTTCATACGCGAATACATAGGCAGCGTGACACTGATATAATATAATATAATAATGATGATGATAATAATAAACTTCAACAGTGAACAAATAAATTGTCTCGCTAGCGGTACGCATTTATATGCATCAAATTTTACCAATAGTCACGTGACATCTGCGACAGATACCAAACGGACAGTATATCAGGTTAAGATTTGAAGAAATTTCTGCTATAAAATGATAATAATCAGCAGATTTTTAATTGGTCAAATGTCACTGGGTCATAAAATGTTGTTAGAGTATGTTACCGCATCTTCTGACCCCCTTTGGTGCAATATTTGCGTGTTATGCAATAATTTAGCGTGTAACGCAGGGGTCTGAGGGAGAGCAGCCGATTTATGACACTTTGTTTGATGTGGGTCAGACTAATTTTGAATCGGCATAACTTTTTAAATAATCAAGCAATTTACATGCAGTTTAAAGCACATGAAAGGGAATTCATTTACCGAAGGAATCGTGTAGGGGATTTTTGATAGCTCAATCAGTGACTTAATTATTTTTAATTTTGTAATATGTATGGTGAAAAAAGTCGCATAAAATGTTTGATGTTACGTTATATTTTTTTGAGAAAAGATAGAAATAATGTGAAACATGGTTCCCTAGATATTATAATTATGCTTATATTCCAAAAGTTTGATGACAAAAAAATTAAAAATGACTTTGATAGGACGATTTTAAACAATAGGATTTTTGTTCAAAATTTATTATTTACAAAGGCATTTTTTTCAAATATGTTATTTTTTATGAAGATCAAAGACATTTAATGCACAAGATTTAAATAAATAACAATTATTACTAAAATAAGTTGGTTTAAATGACATTTACGGTATTATGACGGAAAGTTTCTGTTGTCACCTTAAACATATAAACACTTCAGTAAAAAAAATTTTTTCTAATTTATATCAATTAATAAAAAACTTATCAATTTATTTAAAATCTAAACACTTGAATAAAATATTATTTTTTTCTCTTATTTATATCAATTAATAATAAACTTACCCATTCATTTAACATCTAAATGCTTCAATTATAATGTATAAATAAAATTAAAAATGGGGAGACCTGCAAATATGCAGATGATTCTCCCCCAAAAGAGGGAGAGAACCATCAGGGAGGAAACGTTGAATGGGGAAGTCGATAAAAAATAAGTTTTAATTTTTCTCTTTTAAAGTGTTTATTAGGTATTTTATGAACTGCTTCCATTTTCTCTTGGAACACTTGACAATAATAACTTATTGAAAAAGGTTTCGATTGTTCCATTATCCTATTATAATTGAGTCACATTGAAAATGGCTGCACCCAACTAAAACTGACACTGAAAATTTCATTGATAGGTACAGAATTCTATATATTTTTTAATTGTTTTTTATTTGATTTTCTTTTAAATATACATATGTAGTCTAAAACCGGGCAAGTCAAAGCCCCGGCCCGCATTGCGGTCCTGGCCTTTGACTTCCCCGTATTAATAAAATTTTGTTAAACAAGGATAGCATCTTCTAACTAAGCCCTTTCATAGCATTGCTTCTCCCCAAGTTTACCCGGGTTCAATGTCATAACTTCGGGGTTGTAACAGGGACTGGGCTGGAGGGAAGGGGGGGGGGGGTCAGGTAGGGGATAATGTCAGATCAAAGCGTCTTATCCCTTTGCATAAGGTGATATAGCAAAATTTAAAAGTAAACCAATTTGATTTGATCTTTCTTTTTTTGCAGAGATTGTGGGTGAGCTTCAGTTGAAGAAATTTGGAGATTTTTTAAAAGAGTATGGTGCACAGATTAAAGATATAGAGGATGCCCTTGGTGAATATGTCAGTGATTCCTGGGACATGACACTTGACCCAGTTTCTCTGCAGGTATGACCTATTTTTGTCAATCATTTGCTTAATATCAGCATAACAATTGATAGGAAAATATTGACAAATGTCTATGTTTATTAAATAAATGAGACTATCTTTGTGTAGTAAAGTGAGAAACAATTTGTTTGCCAATCTCTTTAGCAACCATTGACTTTCAATAACATCCAGAGACTTTCATAGCAACCATGGACATCCCTAAGCAATAAGTGACTTCTATAGCAACAATTGACTTTACATAACAACCAATGACTTCAATAGCAACCAGTGTTTTCCATAGCAACCAATGGCTACCATAGCAACAATTGATTTACCAGACCAGCCAGTGGCTACTTTGACATGCACTCATTTCAGCTGCAGATTTGAACTTTATTGTTAGTTGACCTAGATTTTGACCTAATACCCATTTTTGATTCATAGTTTTCAATTGTTCCTTGTAATGAAGAACTATTATAGTCAGGTGAAAGATGTAAGTACCCTTTCATTGTAGTTTATTTATAAATAGAACTGTTATGTACACAATACATAAATCCATTGAATGAATGAATTTTATATTGACATTATTGTAAATATCTTGGTAGTCTTGACATTGCATATTATTATGAATAATTAATTTTGCACTAATATTGACATTATCTTTATCCTTTGAGCCTGTTGGTAACTTTATTTTGCATGTTACATAATTATTTTTATCTGTAGGATAATCATTGGAGATAATCTATTTCAGTTTTTACCATATGAACAAACTACCCTGTTACATCTGATCAAGACAGATAACAAAATATTTAATAAGATCATTACAGTACTTGCCTCCCTTTGTGTGGAACTGCAGTCTTTAAAACATGAGGCAGAAAGTAAGTACTATAATGCACTTGTGTACTATGGAGAAGGGGAACAAGAAGAAGGTCTCCCTGAAGGAGAGGCTCAGATTCAGATTGGTAGAATGATACCTTTGTTACAGGTAATGCCATATTGTCTTTTTCTCTAACAATTTTGTTGATATCAATTAACCCTTTACCTTATATATACGCAATTTAATGCACATTCGACGCCCTTTTAGGCCTCAGATAGAGAAAAAATGTCGTATTTAGACCCCAAACACTTGTTTTCGTTTGAGAAATGTTGTTATAAAAAGTGATCACCTTTTTTGGCGCAGACCCCTATAAAAAAAATTTATTACAGGGTGCCAGAGGGGGGATGTGCCCTCTTTGCTAGGGGGTTTGAAGGGGGGCTACGGCCCCTCTCACCACCAAGAAAATGGTGGACTTGTGAGTGGCCAGTAAACATTTTTGCCAAGTTTGATTAGTATTTAATCATTTTTTATAATTTCATACCAATTTGAACGGGGTTAAAGAAAAAATGAAAAAAGACATATATAATAATCAAATTGTAATATGAAATTCAATCTTCAAACTGGATGCAGAGTTATTCTACTTTAGCCCTGTATTCTGCATTATTTAACTGATTGATGTCGATATGAATGACATGGTTTTCACGAAGAATAATTTTAAACTAATACTGTAAATCTCATAGTGAAATCAGGCACATGCATTAAAGGACTTCAGTTTGGAATATGTTGAATTTAGCAGATGAGCAACACAATTGACATTTGTTCTGCCTAAACAATATAAGTTATACAATATGTGCAAGTCTAAACAATGTAAGTTAATATACTATATGTGCAAGCCTAAACAATATAAGTTATACTATATGTGCAAGCCTAAACAATATAAGTTATACTATATGTGCAAGCCTAAACAATATAAGTTATACTATATGTGCAAGCCTAAACAATATAAGTTATACTATATGTGCAAGCCTAAACAATATAAGTTATACTATATGTGCAAGCCTAAACAATATAAGTTATACTATATGTGCAAGCCTAAACAATGTAAGTTATACTATATGTGCATACCTAAACAATGTAAGTTATAGTATATGTGCATGCCTAAACAATATAAGTTATACTATATGTGCAAGCCTAAACAATATAAGTTATACTATATGTGCAAGCCTAAACAATGTAAGTTATACTATATGTGCAAGCCTAAACAATGTAAGTTATACTATATGTGCAAGTCTAAACAATGTAAGTTATACTATATGTGCAAGCCTAAACAATATGAGTTATACTATATGTGCAAGCCTAAACAATGTAAGTTATACTATATGTGCAAGCCTAAACAATATAAATTATACTATATGTGCAAGCCTCAACAATGTAAGTTATACTATATGTGCAAGCCTAAACAATATAAGTTATACTATATGTGCATGCCTAAACAATGTAAGTTGTAGTATATGTGCAAGCCTAAACAATATAAGTTATACTATATGTGCAAGCCTAAACAATATAAGTTATAGTATATGTGCAAGCCTAAACAATATAAGTTATACTATATGTGCAAGCCTAAACAATATAAGTTATAGTATAAATTATGTGCAAGCCTAAACAATATAAGTTATACTATATGTGCATGCCTAAACAATGTAAGTTATATTATATGTGCAAGCCTAAAATGTGCAAGCCTAAACAATATAAGTTATACTGTATGTGCATGCCTAAACAATGTAAGTTATAGTATATGTGCAAGCCTAAACAATATAAGTTATACTATATGTGCAAGCCTAAACAATATAACTTATACTATATGTGCAAGCCTAAACAATATGAGTTATACTATATGTGCAAGCCTAAACAATGTAAGTTATACTATATGTGCAAGCCTAAACAATATAAGTTATACTATATGTGCAAGCCTCAACAATGTAAGTTATACTATATGTGCAAGCCTAAACAATATAAGTTATACTATATGTGCATGCCTAAACAATGTAAGTTGTAGTATATGTGCAAGCCTAAACAATATAAGTTATACTATATGTGCAAGCCTAAACAATATAAGCTATAGTATATGTGCAAGCCTAAACAATATAAGTTATACTATATGTGCAAGCCTAAACAATATAAGTTATAGTATAAATTATGTGCAAGCCTAAACAATATAAGTTATACTATATGTGCATGCCTAAACAATGTAAGTTATATTATATGTGCAAGCCTAAAATGTGCAAGCCTAAACAATATAAGTTATACTATATGTGCATGCCTAAACAATGTAAGTTATAGTATATGTGCAAGCCTAAACAATATAAGTTATACTATATGTGCAAGCCTAAACAATATAAGTTATACTATATGTGCAAGCCTAAACAATATAAGTTATACTATATGTGCAAGCCTAAACAATGTAAGTTATACTATATGTGCAAGCCTAAACAATATGAGTTATACTATATGTGCAAGCCTAAACAATATGAGTTTATACTATATGTGCAAGCCTAAACAATATGAGTTATACTATATGTGCAAGCCTAAACAATGTAAGTTATACTATATGTGCAAGCCTAAACAATATAAGTTATACTATATGTGCAAGCCTAAACAATATAAGTTATACTATATGTGCAAGCCTAAACAATATAAGTTATACTATATGTGCAAGCCTAAACAATATGAGTTATACTATATGTGCAAGCCTAAACAATGTAAGTTATACTATATGTGCAAGCCTAAACAATATAAGTTATACTATATGTGCAAGCCTAAACAATGTAAGTTGTAGTATATGTGCAAGCCTAAACAATATAAGTTATACTATATGTGCATGCCTAAACAATGTAAGTTATAGTATATGTGTATGCACATATCCTTCACATATCATATGAAAATGAACTAGCACGAAAATGCAGTGAAACAGGCAATAGGGACTTACTGAATTAAACAACTTACTGTCATACATGAACCAGAAACTGCATGATGGAATATAATTATATAAAGTCACTGAATTATTAAATTACTCCATCATTGCCTGATTGGAATAACAACTCAAATTTTTGTGTCCCACCACAATGACTTGATGCATACATGTATTTAGTCATTAATATTTAAACAAAAGAAAAACAACAACATGTTATTTGCACTTTAAACCTTGGCAAACACAACAGTTAGGCATGATTTTGCCAACCAAGTCAACTGGCCATTATTGTGTTTTTCTTCTTCTTTATTTGGATACTTCTTCCAAATTTGTGCTTTATTCTTTCTTTTTTTTGTAACTTCTTCCAAATTTAATAGACAGCAAATGAAAGAAAAACATTGAAAATTGTTTTTTGCTCATATTTGTTAATTTGTTAGTTTAAAGAATTATGTTTAAATTTTAGGAGTTGTCATGTTTTGTTGTTAGATGTAATGAAGTGGTGAAGAATGTTGTATGTCAGTTGTCATGCTTGTACAGTACTGCCAGGTATGTTACCATGAATACTTCTCTTACTTTTGCTCCAGCTAACTTACGAAACATCACTGGTTCTATTCCGGTTGAAACAAGTCACAGAGGAGCATCTGAGGTGCTCCTAGTTCTACTTAAAAATACAGACAAAACTGCATTAGCAGTCACCTTTATATAACTTTAACCTGCCTGTAACAGTCAGAATAGGGTTTGACGGAAAAAAATTGCTGTTTATAATGTGATCTTGTTTACCGTGGTCAGCAGCAACCAAATATCTGTTCAAAAGAGATGACATAAAGGTCAGCCGGACAAAAAAGTTTTAGTGATTAAGAAAGTTTGTTTGCATTTTTAGCTCGACTATACAAAGTATATGGAGAGCTGTCCTACTCGCCCTGGCATCGGCGTCCACGTCCAGATTTCAGATTAAAGTTTTGATGCAGTAAAATATTTTTCGTTATAACTTTTCATTTCTTTAGGTATCAACTTCAAACTTCAAATATATGTTCCTTATCATCAACCACATCTTATGTGACAAGGTTCATAACTCTAGCACCAATATTTTCAGATTTATCTCCCCTTGAACTTAGAATTTTCCTTAAAAAATATTATTTTTTACTGTAACTTCTTTATTACTTAAGGGATCAACTTCATACTTCAAATATATGTTCCTTATCATTAACCACATCTTATGTGACAAGGTTCATAACTCTAGTACCAATATTGCAAGAATTATCTCCCCATTAACTTAGATTTTTTTACTTGAAAAATGTTATTTTTTACTATAACTTCTTTAGTTTTAAAGGTATCTACCTCAAACTTCAAATACATATTCCTTATCATCAACCATTTCTTATGTGACAAGGTTCATAACTCTTGAAGCAATATTTTCAGATTTATCTCCCTTTGAACTTAGAAATTTCTTAAAGAAATATTATAACTTCTTTACTTTTTAAGGTATCTACTTCAAACTTCAAATATATATTTCTTATCATTACACACATGTTGTGTGACAAGGTCCATAACTCTAGTGTGACTATTTCCAGAATTTTTCCCCCTTGAACTTGGAATTTATGTTAACAACAATAACTTCTTGTCATAAGAAGAAATATATTTATATCATAATTGATTTTTCTTTGATAGTTTTGTATTCCTTACTGCGTCCAGTATTTAATTAGTCGAGCTTCGCTGTCTCCTGTGACAGCTCTTGTTAGCTTACCTGTCACAAAATGTCGGTGGGCTTTTGTGATCGCTTTTCGTCTGGCGTCCGTCCGGTGTCTGTCCATCCATAAACTTTTACTTTAAACTACATCTTCTCATAAACCGCCAAGCCAATTTCATCAAAACTTCACAGGAATGTTCCTTGGGTAGTCAACTTAAAAAAATATTCAAAGAATTTTAATTCCATGCAGAACTCTGGTTGCCATGGCAACCAAAAGAAAAAACTGAAAAATCATCTTTAAAAAAACGTAAGGCTAGAGCTTAAATATTTGGCATAAAAAATTGTCTAGTCAGTGTCTACCTAGTTTGTCAAATCATAGCCTTGGGGGTCAAAATTGGCACAGCCCCCCCCCCCCCCCGGGTCATTGATTTTCCTTATTTGTATATAGTAAAAACTTAAAAAACCTTCTTTTAAAAATCCCAAATAGCTAGAGCTTAGATATTAAGCATGAAATATGTTCTAGTGGGTGTCTACCAAGTTTGTTCAAATAAATGCCCTAGGGTAAAAATTGGCTTTGCCCCAGGGGGGTCATTGTTTTTCCTTTTATGTATATAGTTAAAACTTTAAAAAATCTTCTTTTAAAAAACCCAAAGAGCTAGAGCTAAGATATTTAGCATGAAATATATTCTAATGGGTGTCTACCATTTTTGTTCAAATAAGGGCCCTGTGGTTAAAATTGGCCCCGCCCTGTGGGTCATTGCATTTTCCTTATACATTTGTATGTGTATAGTAAAAACTTAAAAAATCTTCTTTTAAAAAACCCAAAAGAGCTTAGTTTAGATACTAAGTCCAGTATGAAATTAGTAGCTTCGCTGTCTCCTGTTGACAGCTCTTGTTAGCTTACCTGTCACAAAATGTCGGTGGGCTTTTGTGATCGCTTTTCGTCTGGCGTCCGTCCGGTGTCTGTCCGTCCATAAACTTTTACTTTAAACTACATCTTCTCATAAACCGCCAAGCCAATTTCATCAAAACTTCACAGGAATGTTCCTTGGGTAGTCAACTTAAAAAAATATTCAAAGAATTTTAATTCCATGCAGAACTCTGGTTGCCATGGCAACCAAAAGAAAAAACTGAAAAATCATCTTTAAAAAAACGTAAGGCTAGAGCTTAAATATTTGGCATAAAAAATTGTCTAGTCAGTGTCTACCAAGTTTGTCAAATCACAGCCTTGGGGGTCAAAATTGGCACAGCCCCCCCCCCCCCCTACGGGTCATTGATTTTCCTTATTTGTATATAGTAAAAACTTAAAAAACCTTCTTTTAAAAATCCCAAATAGCTAGAGCTTAGATATTAAGCATGAAATATGTTCTAGTGGGTGTCTACCAAGTTTGTTCAAATAAATGCCCTAGGGTAAAAATTGGCTTTGCCCCAGGGGGGTCATTGTTTTTCCTTTTATGTATATAGTTAAAACTTTAAAAAATCTTCTTTTAAAAAACCCAAAGAGCTAGAGCTAAGATATTTAGCATGAAACATATTCTAATGGGTGTCTACCATTTTTGTTCAAATAAGGGCCCTGTGGTTAAAATTGGCCCCGCCCTGTGGGTCATTGATTTTCCTTATACATTTGTATGTGTATAGTAAAAACTTAAAAAATCTTCTTTTAAAAAACCCAAAGAGTTAGAGTTTAGATACTAAGTATGAAATATCTTTTAGTGAGTGTCTACCAAGTTCATTCAAATAAAAGCCCTGGGGGCAATTTTGTTTTTCCTTTATGTGTATAGTATTAACTAAAAAAATCTTTCTTGAGCTTAGATATTTATCATGAAAATCTTCAAATGGGTGTCTACCAAGTTTGTTCAAATAAAATTCCCTGGGTTAAAATTGGCCCTGCCCCAAGGGGCCTATATACAGGTGAGCAATTTCAGGGCCATCATGGCCCTCTTGTTACTGAGAGATTTTGTTCTTTTTATTGAATTTGTTTATTGAATCTTTTTAGCAAGATCTTGTGGCTTTTTATGTCTCCCAAAATGAGCAGGCAGCATCTGTTCTTCAGTCTGTCCGTCCGTCTGTCCTTCAGTCAGAACTTTGTCCGGTCCATAACTTTGACAGTGTGAGGATGAATCAGGTCCTTATTTCAAAGGTCAAGGTCACACTTGTAGAGTCATGATACATGTATGTATTTTTTCAGTGAAGTGTATTGATGGTTGTGTTGGTCAACAATTCTGCCATTTAAAGTATTTTAAAAATTATGCACACCAAATGTGAACTAATTATTTAGATCTATATTTAAGAATTGTTACCTTTCTAACAATGTATTTCAAGTGAGCCATCTAGGGCATCATGGCTCTCTTGTTTTAAAGAAACTTGTTTGTGTTTTATGAAAAATATACACGAATATTGGAATTTTAGATTTTTTTTTAAAAAGCTGATGAAAAATAATGTTTTTCAGGGCGGGGCCAAAGCTGATAGATGTGACAGAAGTGCATTTTCAGGTTAGCAATATTAAACTCAAATCTACTTCTGTACTTCGCAGAAATATTCATAATGAGACATTGTGCAGAGCACAGGTTTGACCTTTCTTAGGTCAAGGCCACACTAAGTCATTTTTTATCAGTTGTAAAATTTTATTAGCCTAGAGTTTAGCATGTAGCATCAATTTGTAGATTTCTACAAAAATTGTATTAATCATGACCCTCAGTTCAAAATTGGCCCCACCCTGGGAGCCACTTGCTTTATGTAGACTAAGGTACATGAAAACACATGCAATCTTTTTGTAGATAAATATTATGCCTCTATAAAATTTTGATGAATCATGCACGTAGGATAAAAAATGCCTCCACCTTGGAGGTGATATAGTATCATAAGGATGATTTAGATAAAACATTGCAGACAAATTTCTTGATTGAGTCTCTACTATTGACTCAAACACATTTACATTTTGGCTGGTTGGGACAAACTTTATCATTAGCAAGCATATGTGAAGACCCCAGTTGCGATTGCATTTTGGCGTTTGGGCTCCCATAAGATGCATGTCAAGGTTTCTGTTGTTAAAATAGAGAAGTGGTTTTAAGTCAATAACTAGATTAAGGAACAAGATAAATGTAATCAAACATGGTGTATAGCAAGCTTGTATTGAGACCTCACATTAAACTACTTCTTGGGCCCATGTTACTGATAATAAAAAATGGTGTACAGTCAAAAAGTAAAGTTAAGACAAATAATATTTTTTTATCAAACTTGGTATAAAGCAAGCTTATATGGAAACCTCCAACCTCCCTTAGGATTGGTTTTTGGCCCCATAGGGTCATGGTTTAGTTCATTGTTACTTCAGATAGAAAATGATTACTGGTTGATATCTAGAGTTAGGTGTGAGAATTGTTATCAAATGTTTCTTACAAAACAGACATGCTGTATAACTCAGGTAATACTCATTACTTGATTTATCTATGATTGGATTTATTTTATGCTTAAAGAAAATAACACTTATTATAGAACATAAATGTTTATGAATTAAAGAATGACCTTTAAATTACCTTCACCCAATCATGCATCTTTGGTGTTAAAAAACCTACAAAAACATGACCTTTGATAGTAATGGCTCTTGTTTAAAACCTGGTTTGATGGCATTGCCATATTTCTTGTTTATTTGAAAGAGCATTTGCATGAAATTTTCCCAGCTTGTCGCTTACAGGAATTTTAGTGCTTTGATTATTGTTGTAAGCATGTAAAGTGTTTATTAAATTTCATGTGTTGTAAAATATTATAATCTCCATTTTGAATTGTAGACTGTATTTGAACATGTTGCTGATATATTGGGTGTTATGATAACACTAGATGAGCTGATACAGACCCATACCACACTTCTAGACCACTGGACACTCTATAAAAGGTAACATAATACAGACAGAATAAAAGTCACTTAAACGTACAAAAACAGTCTTAAAGGGTTTTAAATACTATATATCGGGTTGTTTTCCTGTACGGCACATTTCGCCATTTTGACAGTATTCTAATTTTAGTATTTAGAATTCTCAGTATTAAATTGAAGTAAGATTTAGTGAATCTGTTTTTTGCAATATTCATTCACATGAATATTGTGAAACTTAGATACTTGTGAAAAAAAAGAGGTAATTTTGATTTAATGTTAATGAAATAATTTCTTCTTACATCTAGATAAAAAGTATTTCCTTAAATTTTTATGCACCTGAAATTTCTTTTAATGTACATTGTATATTCTTATGCACTTTGTCGTGGCCGAGTGGTTAAGGTCGTTGACTTCAAACCACTTGCCCCTCACCTCTGTGGGTTAGAATCCCGACAGGGACTTTGGCTTCTTTCATGTGAGGAAGCTATCCAGCTAGCTTACGGAATGTCGGTGGTTCTACTCAGGTGCCCGTTTGTGCCTGAAATAATGCACGGAAGGGCACCTGAGGTCTTCCTTCACCAGTAAAGCTGGAACGTCGCGATATGACCTATACTGTGTCGATGTGACATAAAACCCAAAACAAACAAAATGCACTTTGTCATCTGTATGTCCCTCTGTTAGCAATGTCGTGTCCGGTCTGTATCTTTTGAACAGATGGAAGAAATGTTAACCATGCAGAGTACAGGTTTGACCTTCTTCAGTTAGAGGTCACTCTAAGTAATTTTTGGCCGGGTTGCACAGGTACAAACCCGGGTTACAGCATATATATGGTTGTATAATGCTCTGACATGCAGAGCTCATGTTTTTCTTTTGCCTCAATACATATGTCACCAGTGGCACAAAATTTATGATTTTTTTAAATAAATAGACAAACACCTGATGGCAATACTTATTAACTATAGTCTATAGGAAGCTGTTTAAGCAGCACCATGTTAATTATAATTGTTAAATAGTTCTTCAGTCCATTAATTGCATATCACTGTTGATAGGATGCTTAAATCTGTAAGACACGATCCATCCAAATTCTCTACCAGTGATGATAAATTACGTCCATTTGAGAAGTTAATGATGACTTTAGAGGGACAATTATTGGATGGAATGATTTTTCAGGTATGATTGTTTTGTTTATCCTTAGGCATAATTGAACTCTCTGTCCATCTTTCTGTTCGTCTATTTATTGTCTTTATGAAATTAAACTATTCTGCTATAAACTTACTGATATGACATCTCACAGGAGCTAAAGGTAGATTGTCAAAAAAAACTTAATCTTGAAAAAATCTCCCCAGAATTATTAATGCCCAGAGGTAATATATTTGGCATTTGGCATTATTTTATAGCCCTCTACAAAAGTCTTTTTTTTGTGAAACTGTAATGCCCAGAGCTTAGATATTTGTCATGTAGCATTGCCTAGTGAACATTTGTAGAGTTATATAAATCATGTCCTTAATGTCAAAAATGGCATTGCCCTGATAGTCTGTGACTTAGTTTACATAGACATGTATAGTAAAAATGTTTTAAAACTTCTTCTAGAACACTTCTCTGCTCATAGCTTCGATATTTGGCATGAAGTATCAGCTTGTTGTCCTCTTCAAAACTTATATAAAAAAAGGCCACTAGGTCAAAATAGGTCTCATCCGTGTCACTTATTTGATATGAACTTTTATATAGGAAAACACATTGAAATCTTCTTTTGTGAAACTCCAAGCCCTGACCTGAGCTTATATGTTTGGCAAACAGTGTTTCTTAGAAATGTGTTTCATGCTCCCAGGTAACTCTAGAGGTGACATTGTGTGATAGACATATATAATAAACAAGTCTTATAAATCTTTTCCTGCTGGACTGTTATGCACAGAGCATAAATATTTGGAATGTAGCATCCTCTTAAGTCATTCCATTGCAGTAAAAAAACTGATGATTGTTTTCCTTCTTTAGAAAGAGCAAATATAAGTTTTATAATGTTTAAATAATAGTTTCTGCTTATTGCCTGCAGAAAGTTGAGATTAATGTGTAATTATTGGCCATAAAAGAAGAAAAATGTAAACAAAGTATATTTTGACTTCCATGCAAAATAATAAATCACTATAACTGTATGAACTACCAGAACGAAACAGAAGCTAAATATGGTAATTAGCCAAGAAGTCACATTTTGGAAACTATAACAGGACCCTAAATATAAAAAGTTTTTGAGAAACTAAGAATAAAAGCATTTCTGGGGCATAATGGGCCTTTAAATAGAATGATTTCAAAACTATGAGATATTAACATGAAACTTGGAACACTTGATTATCATGACAATCACAGTTGTAAGACAAGTGGCATTATCCTGAAAACAGTATTGTTAGATGTTATGCACCATTAAGCTGTATTTTTTTCATAGAAAAAAATTGAAGCTATTGCTACAATTGGAACATCCTCGGCTATTATTCATAATAACCTCAGAGTGAAAGTTATAGTTCTACCACATGGTTTCAGATGTAAACAGAAATAGAGAGTGTAATCTTCAATGATGTAAAACTAATGTGTATATTTGACATCCAAAAGAAAATAAAGTCTGTTTCAGTACAACTATGATTGAAAATATGTCTGACAACCATTTTTGTTATAAATGTACCCTCTGATCTACAATTATAAACAAAGTTTGCGTACCATCTCAAATTTTTTTAAAAATTCCTTTTACGTTTTTGGCTTTGAGCCCTTGCCCACTTTTTTAAATTTTTAAAACCCTAAAACTATGTACAGGGGGGGGTCACTGTACAAAGTTTTTTAAAATTTTAAATTCCCCCTTTTTAAAACTAACAACCCATGCGAATAGCCCAGCACGCTGTCCTACGGGTTTTTTATAACTTTTCGAAACATAAAAAAGAATGGGACTTTAAAATTTTGAATACAGTATTGATTATTTTTGACACGACACAGTTTGAAAAGAAAAGGGCCCATTATTCTAAAAAACTTTATTATAAAATTAATGCCCCCATTTTAACATAAATTTTTGTAAAAAATTTTGTTTTTAAATTTAGAAGTTTTCAAAATTTATAAAAAGATTTAAAAATAAAATTTTGGAATACTTGATTATCATGACTATTGACATTCCTAAAAGCATTATTTTTATTTGTAATGTCCCTATTTAACTTATGGTATTTACAAAACATTTGTTATTTGTAGTCATTACCCTTAACAGGTGAGTGTTACACCAAATTGCAGTTCTCCTATTTGGCTCATTTTTTACTGAAGATCAAAGTCAGACCGTACCTTGAATGTGAACTTTTATTTGTTACAGAATTGTGTGGAGCAAGTATTTGACAACCAGCAGGTGTTTGTAACAAAGAACACAGTGTTCATGGAAGAGTTTGCTGTAAATGTGAGAGAATATCTAACAGAATTAGAGGCTAGAATAGGTAGCTGAGTCTTGTTAAACCTTAACTTATGGTCATTCCAAAGTGATGATTACCTGTAATAATGGGGCGTCCGTGGCAGAGTGGTTAAGGTGGTTGACTTCAAACCTCTTGCCCCTCACTGCTGTGGGTTTGAATCCCGACAGGGACTTTGGATTCTTTTATATGTGGAAGCTATCCAGCTAGCTTATGGAACATCAGTGGTTCTACTCAGGTGCCGGTTTGTGCCTGAAATAATGCACAGAAGGGCACCGGAGTTCTTCCTCCACCAGTAAAGCTGGAAAGTCGCCATATGACCTATAATGTGTCGGTGTGATGTAAAACTCAATTAAACAAACAAATAAACCTGTAATAAAGATCAATTAAATTTTCTACTTTTCTTTTCTGTAGTAGAATGTTCCAGTATAATCTAGCATTGGTGTTCATAAATTGAGATGTTTTGTGGTATAAAAATACCAGAAAGGCTCAGAAATGTATGTATATGATTGTCAAAATTGGTAATAATTTATTTGTAGCCATCATGTCTGTAAGCAAAATGCTCTTGAGCAAAACTGGAGACTGAACCAGATTCCTTCATAATTGTCAATTTTAACTCCATGTTCATTGTGTTAAAAATTATACTGCATTGTTGTCTTCTCATTAAAACTTTTATAATAGTAATAGGCTTTTGATGTCACTCACAAACGAAAGTGTGTGTCTGTTTGTGTATATAATTACCTTGTGTTTGTGTGTATGAATATGCACACAGTTTTGTTCAGGTTATTTCTTTGTTATTACTTTAGGGATTGTCAAAATAAATAGCATATGCCTTCACCACAGTCAAAGTGTCACCCTGAAGATCAACATCTGCAACTTCAAGGTTGAATATCAAATTGTGTGTGTCTGAATTTTCCTCTTTTTCTTATTAGTCCCCTACTGGTTTAACCAAAGGAATATATAGCTGTTTTTATGATCTTATTCATAATGTAGTCTTATACAGTAAAACACATAATGTCTTCAATTATGCTGTCTGGGTAAAAAATGCATTCCTAAAGGAATTACTTATTTCTGCATTTAAGAATTGTGACCATTTTTAGCACTCAGGTAAGTGATCCATGACAATCTTGTTTACATAGTTAAAGTTGAGGTATAATCATCTTCAATGACAGCTCTAGATTTTCATAAAAAAATATAAACTATTGTTACCATTATTTTGGTTTTATGTCTAACCAATACAGCTGAAAACTTGTGCTTAATTTCTCTGGAAACTGTTGAATACATCCATATATTAATATGTTGTCATTGGAGTAGAATTACCTATTACTGTAAGTTTCATCACTTGAAATACTTTCAATGCAGGGTTTGAACAGGAGTGAGGAGAAAGTGAATCAGTCAGCTAGCTAAAGCACTAGAATATTGATCAATGTTAAAATTGAACTAATCATAATCATTGGTTAACTTAAAGGTTATAATGTTTACCTATGTTTTATGTAATTCTAGGTGAAAGTAATGAAATTGACCAAAGGTTTAAGTTTGTTGGGGTTTGTGGACTCTATATTCTACATTTTCAACTGTTCAGAGTGACAGACAAAAAAGTTTTCAAATCACTTTGGGATGTTCATAAAAAGGTAAGATGAGCTTTTGGAATTCCAAGACATACATGTAAAAATAGCTTGCCCTGTGGCATTGTTAGTTTTTATGTGACTGGATAAAGAACCTATGGACACATTTCTACTTTCTTCAATCATTCAACATATATTACTTGAAGTGATCCTTTTCAAAATTGCTTAAATTATTACAATTATTTCTTTTGCTTTAAAGAACGTTTTCAACTCAGCTAATTTATATAATAATTATTTAAATCTAAATACAGATTTTTATGCCCCCACAGAGTGGGAGCATATAGCGTTGCACTTGTCTGTCCGAGTGTCCGTCCGTACGTCCGTCCGTACGTCCCGAAATCTTGTGAACGCAACTCCTCTTAAACCGGATGCCAGATTTTGCTTAAACTTCCAGGGATGAACAACCTTAATGTGTAGATGGTAGTAAAGGAAGGAATTTTTGCTGCGACCAAATTTAACAGAATTATGGCCCTTTGTTGATTTTTTCACTATATACTATGTAGAAATTTTGTGAACGCAACTCCTCTTAAACCGGATGGCAGATTTTGCTTTAACTTCCAGGGATGAACAACCTTAATGTGTAGATGGTAGTAAAGGAAGGAATTTTTGCTGCAACCAAATTTAACAGAATTATGGCCCTTTGTTGATTTTTAGTTTTCAACTTGTGGCACATGTAGTCCAAAAAATATTTGACCTAGAGTCATAAGATTGACAGAACAGTGGCGTGTGGGGGCATCCGTGTCCTATGGACACATTTCTAGTTTTCTATAAAATTCACATAGAGGCATATAACTTAGGTTTTTAGGAAATAGATATCAATTCTGAGTGCATTGTTGTAGAAAAATGCACAGTTTGAGTTCAAATGCGTAGTAATATAAACACGAAGGCTGATAGGCCTGAGTGATTAATTACAAAGCATTTTAACGAAAAACGTGCATTATTAATTATACAATAATGCACAAAGAATTAATATCTATTTCCATTCAAACACGTCAAGAAAAAATATAATTATTATTATAAAGTTGGACTTTATGTTTGGTGGTTAAATTTGTTTTCGCCTCAGAGTTTCCAATAGAAACGTCCTTTAAAGGCTGTTCCAGTGAGTTGAAAAAAACTGTCGTTAAATCTACCGTGTGTAAAAACATTAGAGAATAACAAATTTTGAAAAGGTTGATAAAACTTTGTTTGTTTATTTTATTTCACTCTATAATTTTTCAAGCGAAATACAAATTATTAAAAGTGAAATAAATGTAAAACTTAACTCGTTTGCGACATTAAGATAGCGTACTTGATTTGATTGTTTTGTACGTGCTGTTTGGCGCTACATTGTGACGTCACTTAAACAAAATTTTAAACGTCTGTACAGCGTTAACAACTGAATTAAAGATATTGGTGTTCAGATTCATTTTCTTAATTAGACCATTTTCTTTCATTCTAGAAAGTTTTCACGACAAAATTCGACAAAATTATGTATGTAATCTAAGCTTAATGAGGGTCTGTCAAGTCCGTTGACGCACAAAACATAGCATTTGTTGTTTAGTATGGACCCCGGGTATGTTACCATTGAAGCCTTTTAAGAGTTAATCTTGATGCAAAAGGGGGTTTGATAATTTTACCTCAGGGGCATTTCCCAGGTAAAAAAGGGGCCAAAAAAATTTTAAATTTTTAAAGCAGATTAAGGAAATTTCATTTATATAGTGTTTAAAAGACCCACCAAAAAATTAAAGAAACAATGACAAAAATTTAAAAGATTAGTCAAAAAGGGGGCTGTTGTTTCCTGCAAAGACCCCTCCCAATTTAGCCATCTAAATTTAAAACAAAGGTTCACACACTTAAGTGCTCATCTTTTTGTTCCTGCCTATTTTTCTCTACTGGGGGGGGGGCATTTTGCCCTATTTTGGCAACTTTTAAAATAGATTTTTTAAATTTCTTTTTAGATTCCCGCTATAAAATCTGGGGAGGAAATTTAGTGTTTGGGTTTTCCCAAAACAAATTTTTTCAAACAAACTGCTCACATGGTGAAAGTCCTAGACAAGAAGTCTTTGGCCATGGTCAAACAAAGTCAAGAGTCATGGTTGCAACAGAAAAACCAAATGCTTACTAGGTAATTATGATTTGATATTTTATTTTCATAGAAGTCTATTCCTTTGCTAAAGTCTCCTTATTTTAGTGCAACTGTATCTTTCCCAGATAAGAGGAGTTCCAAAATTTGTTAACTTGTTAAGAACATACATAGTAAAAAATAGAATATGTCTCAACCAGACAGCTTCTGGACAAAACTTCCTGGCTTGTCCAAAATAAGAATTTTTACGTATTTTATCAAACACTTGTTGTGGTTAGAAATAACCTGTATTCAGTGTAGAACACAGATTATAACAATTTGCTTGTTATTCTTAGTTTTGTCTTCTTTAACTGTATCTAGAATTTGATATCAGTTTGCTGTCTCCTATGGCAGCTCTTGTTTGAATATCTCTTCTTAAGAAGATGATTGACCATATTTTATTCAATATTATAATATTAAATCTTTTCTTTTCACTCTGGCAACAACAGGATAAAGTAAGTAAAGTATATTTGGTGTGGTTCTGTGTAGTTTTATTAACCCTGTTTTATAATTCTTCTTCTGCTTAACATTTTATTAGTTCTTTTTCTCATTACACTAGTAGAAATAAAGTAACCACTCAGAGTTGGCTTTGTTACTGTTTCTGTCCAAATATCCAGCAAATTAGCCAGAAAGGTAGTTTTTATGATTTTAAATTGGTCATCTGGGGTCAAAACTAGGTCACACAGTCCAAATATGGAAAAACCTTGTTAACACTCTTAATGCGACATTGTCAGCCCAAATATCTTAGAAATATATCACAATGCTTGTTACTATGGTTTCTAGCACAAGTTTTAATATGTGTCACCTGGGGTCAAAAACTAGGTCATAGAGCCCAAATGTTAACATTGTAGAGGTATCATTTTCAGCTTAAAAAAAACTTAGAAATTGGGCAGAAAGGTTGTTTATATTAATTCTAACGGATCATTTTGTGTCAAAAGCAAGGTCACACTGCCCAAATATGGAAAATCCTTGTTAACGCTGTAGAGGTTACATCTTCAGCAGTTTAGAGATATTTAGTAAGTAGCATTTCCTAGTGGACCTCTACAAAATTTATGACCTTGAAGTTAGAAATGGCAATACCTTGGGAGTCAACTAGTTTATATAGACCTGTTAGTCGAAACTACAATGCAAGCTTAGATATTTGTCCTGAAGTCTTTCGTAGCAGACATCTACAAATATATTAAAAATTATCCCAAATGTGATCTCATAACTGACGTCAATGTATATCTGGAGAGTGATTTAAGGCCATCTTAGCCCTCTTGTTTTGTCCAGCACTGAGAAAAGTAGAACATGCTGCTCCTTGGCCAGCTCTTGGTATGTTTTGGTATGACTACTAACTCTTTATACACGCTCTTCTTATTGCTGGATTGGTAATAGCTAATGAAGCACAAACATTATATGCGCTTTCATTTGTAGAGCTTAAGGAAAAAACTTATCTTACTTATTTTTCTTGTGCTTATTTTAAAGTGATTATACTTGTCAACATGAAAAATAAAATACAATCATGTAGTTACATGTATAATTACATACACAATTATATAGCAACATAAATTATTCAAAAAACATTTATGTCAGAGAGCAAGGAACTGGATTTATTTTTGTACTTAAAATGGGTATTTGTTTACAATATAATTGACAAACCAGGAAAAAGGGAGAGAAGAGTCAATATTTGATATTACAGATTTAACTTGCAACAACTTTTTTGTGTTTGCAGCATTGCTGTGATTGGGATTTATGTGGGTTGTCCCAATATTATATGACAAGTGTGTTTAAAAGCTTAAATGGGTAAAAATTAGATATTTTGATATGTTTTAAACTCATACAATTGAAACACTTTCACAAATTTACATGGAAAAATATCAACAAACAACAAAATGATACGTAAATACCATGGCAACTATTTTAATCTCTGGTCATGTCATACTTCAAAAGTGATGTTAAGCCTACATTATGTGCCTTTCTGCAAGTACTCTTTGTGGCATTGAAAGTATAAACAGCGTCACTTTACCTGTGAATTGTCAATTACAGACTTAAAAACCATTTATTAGTTTATTTAAGACTCTGATTAGTCTCATACCTAATTAAATAAATAAGAACTTTTTTATTATTATTATTATTATTATTATTATTATACGGTAATCATTATACTCGTTTGAAATATACTTCTGGCCTTGTTACATCTGCCCTAGCTGTGGGAAATAGGTGACAGAGATAGTCTTCATGTTCGTTTTTTTTTCTTATTCTCACCTTTGGTTATGCAAAACTCTTCTTTCATTTATGTTATTTGTCATGACAGGAATATGTTGCTAGACTGTTATATTCAGTGTATTTGTTGTAAAGTCTTAAAACAAGTTTCATCCGAAATAAAACTAGGCTGCATCGAGCACATTTCTTTTGGCAACGCCTTTTTTTTATAAAAGCTGTTTCTATTTTCTACTGAAGTGTCCCCAATATTTGTCTGTTTCTTCTATTTCTATTTTGCATTAGTGTAAACTAGTTTTTCAGAGTTTGTACTATTTTTTTAATACAGTTTTTTTTTCTTCTTTTTGGAAAATATTTTCCTTTTCCAAAGGCATTTGAAGTTTTGGAAACTTTTTAAAAAAAAAAAACTGAAATGGGCCGGAGTTTTTTTTCTGGCCGGATGGGCCGATGCAGACCACCAGGGGGGGACCCAACGTCGGGCGGCCCGCAGCCCCATTCAGCAGAGGGAATTTAAGCATGATATATCGCAGTCAGAGATTTTATATCCCAAAATATTAACATAATCTATTCAAGGCCTAAATTCATGGCAGATTATTTTGAATGTGCGCGGGAATTTTTTTCAAAGTTTAAATGAGAATAGATTTTTGTACCTGATTAAATGAAAATAAAATAATAAATTGATAGGTTACGTATGTGAATTAATATGTACTGGTGTTCAAAATGAATCATCTATAAGATTTGTTACAGAATTTTGGGACAACCCTCGCAAGTACCAAATCTGTTCATAGCTTTGAATTTGGTACTTGTACGTTGGAGAATTTATGTTGAGTTTTAGCTCAGCTGAGCATAAAGTGCTATAGATGAGTTTTTGTGATCACAATTTGTGTGGTGTTCATCATCAGTTATCAGTGCATCCGTTGTCAAACAACTTCTTCTCTAAAATCACCAGGTCAAATTTGATAAAATTTCCCTGGGATGCTCCCAAGTTTGAAGCTCTTATCGATCCTTAGATTACTAGTCTGTTGATACAATATACTCAGCCTTTCTTAGCCAGGCTAGAAGATTAAAATTTGTTTGACCTATGCAAGAGAAAAGTGCAAATGTCTAGGTATTCTTTGCTTTTGCATTTATGATATAGACACACAGACATTGTAAAGTTTATCTACTGGACAGTGGGTCCTGTTAACTTTGAAAGTATGCAGGACCTGGCTATAGTTGACATTAACTTGCTGTATTTTAAGGATACCATTGTGATCTCAAGTGAGAACTTTGGGGCCATTGGCCACATCTTTTGTAAAGTTCAATATAGTTACATGTATATTTGTTAATTACTTGCATTTTGGCACAACATGCTCAAGGTTAGCTATTGTCATCACTGACTGTCCAGCATTCTCCATCCACACTTCTATCTGAGCAACATCTCCTCCTAAACTATCAGGTCAATAATATCAAAATACATTCCATGCAGAACTAGGGTTGGCATGGCAACAATAAGAAAAATCTTAAAAAAATCAGCTCCTCTGAAGCCATAAAGGTTAGATCTTAGATAATTGGCATGAAACATCATGTAGTGTACCTTTACCATGCTTGTTCAAGTAATAGCCCTAAAGTCATAATTGGCCTTGCCCAAGGAGTCAAATGGTTTTCCTAATTTGACATGTAACATCATCTAGTGTGGCCCTCTCCAAGGGGATCATGGGTTTTCATTATATGAAGTAAAATGTTTAAAAATCGTCTTTGAAACTATAAAGGCTAGAGCTTAGATAATTAGCATGAAACATCATGTAGTAGACCTCTACAAATCCTTTACAAATATTGGCCCAACCCCTGGGGGTCATGGGTTTACATCATATTTATCAGACAAATCATCTTCTCCAAAACTACAAAGGCTAGAGCTTATAATAATAATAATAATAATAATAATAATAATAATAATAATAATAATAATAATAATAATAAAAGTAAAATCTTTATTTAGAGAAGGTAACATACAAAGTTGACACAATAAGAGAAGATGTATTTATTTTCAGTACGGCCGTCTGATTTAACAATAACAAAGAAAGAAAAATACTCATAGATCTATACAAAATTCGAAATCCTTTTGTACAAAAAAAAGAAACAAAAACAAATATATTCTTTAATGTAATGAAATGAAACATATATAGATAATTAACATAAAACATAGGAATGTCCAGGTAATTAAATCTTGGCTAAGTAGACCATATCCTCTGATAAGTGATATAGGGCCATGATGGCGTTCTTGTTTTCTATAATTTGGTTGATGAGTATATATTATTTGCTGTCAGGGATGTTCAAGCATTTCATGCAACAGTAACAGCTTGGATGGTTGAAATGGAGTGTAATTTACCAAGAGGGAAAACACTAATGGAGGACTTGAACAGTAGATCAGTACTACTAATACAGGTATATATATATTTATTATATATCTAATAAATTTAACCAATCGGCAATCTGCTTTTGTACCTCGTGACCATCCAATATAATCCGGTATTGGATCCAAAATAAAATATTATTTTCATATCGGACGGTTGGGTTTATGTGCACTAAAAGTCGCTTGTCTGGTTCTCGATTTCAATCTCTAACAAATTAAAGACCTGGAACCATGCTTGCATAAAGGCGCTTGTTATTATATCGTTACAACAGCTGGTAAAGTGTCTTGCTGTTTTGTTTTTGACCAAAAGGCAAAGTGTTAACTGACCAAGAAATTTCTTATTTTGTGGTACAGAAAAACTAAAACCCCTGTGGCAATTTAAAATTTAGGACTTTTGGGGAAATTTATGATCGTTATCCACCGCCACTTAATCGCGCCCAAAATTTTGGAAAAAAATTTTTCCCCCCCAAGCTGAACCTTTCTTTTAAAAGTTTTTATTTTTGATGGACATGTTAGAGAGATAGAATGAAAAGGTTATTATTTACATGTTTACTGTACAATATGGAATATATTTGACTCGTACACAGCTTGAAAGTTAATATTGATTTTTTTCCTGTTGCCTCATCCAAAATTTGTCCAAATACATCCCGTATTGTTACAGAAAATGATAATAAAAACCTATTTTAATTATATTTTTCTACATTGAGATTTTTTTCTTTTATAATACCATGATTGTAGTGGGAACGAGGACAGTAAAAATTGACATCTTTGTTTGCTCATTCTTTTTTTTTAAATTGCAGATCTATTACCTGAGAGAATGAAAATTTTTAGAAATTTAAAATTGTATGATGAAGAATTAGAGAGGCAGCTTTCTTGCCCTTCGTTAAATAATAGATTTTTTAAATTTTTGGGACAAGTTACCTATAAGCCTTTCTATCTGTTAGGGGTTGCCCCCTTACTATTAGTTTTAAATTTTCAGGGGTTATTGTATGGACAGCAGATTCAACATTTAGTGAGGACAGTGATGAACCTACATGTTTCTATGCAAAAACCAATGACCAAAACTGCTGTACTCGCCTTGTGTAAACTTACTGAACTTTTAAAGGTATGCTTCCTGTATGATTGAATGACAATAAGAGTAAATTGATTTGTTTTAAGTGATTTTATTAGCTCAACTTTTTTTTTTTGAAAAAAAAAGTAGAGGTATTGTTATAGTCAGGTCGGCGTTCCCGTTGCCGTCCGCAAACTTGTACCTGGATCATAACTTTTTTATTTCTTGGTGTATTTGTCTTCAATACCTTGGCCAGCAACAACCCTTGGGACAAGACCTTTCGTAGACCACCACTAACCTTGACCTTCATCATAAATGACATTGACCTTCAAGGTTAAAAGTCCAATTTTTGCTTGTTCATGCTGTTTATTGGCTGTTAACTTTGTTATTTTTGAATGGATTGTCTTCAAACTTGAACATAACATAATCTTCAAGGATATCCGCTTAAAAATAACTAGTCAGACCTTGACCTTCACTCATAAATGACCTTGGACTTTGAAGGTCAAATTTTTGGGAAATTTTCTTTTTTTTCCCTATTATTGGCTGTAATTTTGGGTTATTTTAAAAGGGATTGTCATGAAACTTAAACCCTAATAATCTTAAAACAACTGTTAAAAAAAAAACCGAAAGACCTTGACCTTAAATTTATTAATAAACATTGTTTTTAAAAGGGGTAAAAATTTTTTGGGGAAATTTTCTTTGGGTTTTGGCGGTAACGGGACTGTAACTTTGTTTATTATTAAAGGGAAAAAATTTCATATTAAAAACAAAAAACCAAAATTTTAACCCCCCGGGAACCTTGTTTTTTATCCAAACCCCAAAATTTTTCCCCTTGGGGCTTTTTAAAATTGATTTTGCCCCTTAAAAGGTTATATTACGGGAATTTTCTAGATTTTCCCATTTATTGGGGGTTTTTTAAAACATATAATATATTATACATGTATATCATTGTTTAAAGTATATTGTATTATATATATATATATAAATGTGTGTATGTATATAACATAATTATATATACATATATATATATATATATATATATATATATATATATATATATATATATCATGGCATAGTTATATATAGTGAGTGAGTGGTGTGTGAGTATATATATTTTTGCCTCAATCATCATCAAAACTTTGGTCAGGATGCTTATCTAGTTGAAAGCCTCGGATGAGTTCGAACATGGCTCATCTCGGATGAAAAACTAGGTCACCGGGAGCTATAAAATAGAAAAAACCTTTGTTAACACTCTAGCGGTCACATTTTTGCATCAAATCATCAATCAAACTTGCGTCAGAATGCTATCTAGTTGATTGCTTGGATGAGTTCGGAACCCATGGGTCATCTCGGATGTAAAAAAGTAGTCACCGGAGCTAAAAATAGAAAAACCCTTGTAAGAGCGAGGCGTGCGTGAGCACCACATTTTTGCATCAAATCATTCATCAAAACGTTCGGTCAAGATGCTTGTCTACAAGGTAAGATAGCTCCCGGATGAGTTTAACATGGGTCATCTCGCCGAAATGAAAAAGTAGGTCAACCGCGGAGCTTAGGAAATAGAAAAACCCTTGTTTAACCACTCCTAGTAGCCGGTTCACATTTTCCTGGGCATCAGTCATCATCAAACATTGTCAAGAAATGCTTGTCTAGGTGATAGCTCGGTATTGAGTTCGAAACATGGGTCATCTCGGATTGACAAAGTAGGTCACCAAGCTAAAAAATAAGTTAAAAACCTTGTTAAACCCACTCTAGTGCGTCACAATTTTTGACTCAATTGTCATTAAAAAACTTCGTCAGGAAACTTGTCTAGGTCATTTGCTGGAAAAACCTCAAAACATGGGACTTTCTGGGATTGAAAAACAGGTAAACAGGAGCAAAAAATTTAAGAAAAATCTTTTTTTAAAAACTCTAGTGGTTTACTGTTGTGCCCCAAATTTTTTTTAATTTGGGTTTTGAAATTTGTTTTAAATGATTTCTAAGTCAAGATCGAACAGGGTTTCCACCCTTGGGAATAAAAAAACTAGGTCAACCGCCCAATAAAAAAAAAACCCCCTTTGTTAAATTTCTGTGTAAACATTTTGACTAAATTTATCATAAAAAATTTGGGTTCGGGAAAATGTTTGGGTCAAAGGAATTGTTTGGATAAAGTTCGAAATCGCAGGGTAAAAACTAGGTCCCCGGGACCCAAAAAATGGGAAAAAATCTTTTTTAACCCAACCCCAAATTTCCCTACTTTTTTTTGGAACCCAAGTATCCGGGAAAATTGGGTTTCTGAAAGTTTTTTTTTGATGATTTCAGGTCAATTTTAAATTATGTTCCCCTTGGGAAAAAAACTAGGTCGCATTTGCTCAAATATGGTAATCCTTGTTAATACTGTAGTGGTCACATTTTTGACTCACCTTTTTCCCCCTTTAAAAGCTTTTCTAGGTAATTGTTTTGGAAAGAAGTTTGATAAGTCAAAGGGGAGCGATCTTAGGGCCATCATGGCCCTTTTTGTTTTAAAAAGGCCCTCAAAGTTTCTATTCAAATATATATACAAAAAAAATAAAAAAAACAAAAACTAAATTTTGACAAGACAGACCAAATAAAAATTTATAAAAAACGGAAAAGTTTTTATATGTTAAAAAATTTTTAAATTTGCGGTTTAGAAAAAATAAAAATCGGGGCGTTGCCCCCCGGGCCCGGGGGTGGCTTTTTGTTTCCCTTGATTTTTTTCCAGCAAAAAAGTAGAATGGATTTTTTTTTAAAGAAATTTTGAAGGTTGATTGAAAAAACATTATTTAAATAACTTTAATGGGGAATTAAATGAAAAAAGAATTTAAAAAACGGGCATTTTTTAATTTTGCCCTCAAAAAAAATTTTCCCCCCCACCCCGACCTGTATTTTTTAAAAACATGAAAGATTTAAATAATATTTCCCTCTTTAAACCTAAAATTTGAAACATCAAAAGGCCATTATTCCCCCAAAAAAGTTTTTAAAATTTCAAAAATACCTTACAATTGTCCCGTAAAAAAGGGATTTAGCTCACCTTAACTGGCCAGGGTTAGCTTCTTAAATACAAATTTTAAAGTCCCACTTGTCCCCAATCCACACTTAAATTCCCTTTAAAACTCCCAAATGGTGACTCTTTTGACCTTGTCACAAAAATTTGGGTCAGGATGGGTTTTCCTAGTAATTGCCCTTTGACAAGTTTGAACCCTGATCATCTTGATGGGAAAACTTTGGTCACAGGACCAAAAAATTTGAAAAAATCTTGTAAAAAACTCTATTGGCTACTTTTTTTTTTCCAAATATTTGGGAAATTTTTGGGTTTCAAAAGGGTTTATAAAGCAATTTTTTAGTTTCTTTTTAAATTTATGACCATCTGAGAAAAAACGGGTTAAACATTTTTAAGGGGAAATTTTTTCAGCTTATAATCCTGAAAAAAGGGTTTTGGAAAAGGGTTTGGTTTTTTGGGGTTTTCCCCCTTAGCTCAAATTAAAGTTGGGTTTCACGTTGTTTTAAAAAAAAAAGGTGACAAAGTGCAAACAGGGAAAAAAAAATTGTTTACACACCCCAAAATATACGGGAAAATTTTCAGCAAGTTTTTTAAAATTTGTTTTTTAGTCTAGTTCAAAATTTGGGTCATGGGGGGGTCAAAAACTAGGGGGACAGCTTTGTTTATTTTGCACTATCTCGGGTGCAGATATGAACCCATTTTTATATCATTTTTAATGACTTTGTTTTTTTTCTTCTTTTCATTTTTTGGCTAACAATATTAATCAAAGCCTTAAAGCATGTATAAGGTAAAGAAATAAAAAGGGGCCCATCATCCTTTGAAAATTAGGACAGATTTTTTGGGCCCATCTAAACCTTTGTTTGGGGCGGACCTGAACAAATTTAAATTTTTAAGTTTTGGGAATTTGGGAGTGAACACATAGAACATTTGATACTTTTTGTCTGGGGAAGAAGGTGACAGCCTGAACAGATTTTAAAAAAACAAAAATTTTCTTTGGATCTTTTCACAAAAAAAACTAAAAACTCCACGATTTGGATGTGTCGCCTTGTGAACAATATATTTTTAAAAAGAAAGGGAAAGACAAAAAAAAAAATTTTGAAAATTAAAAAAGGGGCAAAAAACCTAAAAAAAATAAAAAATTTTGCAGATCGAGTTTCTGTGCCCCTGCACTTCTTTAAATAAGATCTATCCCCCTATGAAGTTTAAGCCCCATAGTTTTTATACTTTTTGGGAAAATGGCCTGGACAAAAAAAAAGTATAAAAATTTAAAAAAAAGGGGCAATAACCCCAAAAAAATAAGAAATGCAGAAAAGTTACCAGTTCTTGTCCCATTTGAAATTTTTTTATAGATTTTATATCCTATGAATTTTCAAGTCCATAGTTTTATACTTAAGGAAAAAAATCCCCCGCCGGCCCAAAAAAAAAGTATAAAAAAAACAAAGGGAAATAACTAAAAAATAAGAATAAGGTCCCCGGTTTTAGGACTGCATTCGGGTCATTTTTGGAAAAAGGGCATGCCTTCCCAATTTTTGAAGTCAACCGCCCTTTATATAATGACTGATTTATGCTCCGGCCCAAACTTTGGGGGAGGGCCGACAACGACGCCGACGACGACACCGACGACGCCGCACCCCCGGGCAAAAGGGAAAACCCCCAATAGTCACCTTTTTCAAGGGGGACACAAGACTGTTAATACAGTTTTAACTTTTACATTTTCTCTGCTTTTTAGTGCTCTTTTTCATCCCTTTTTCTGGGAAAAAAAAAAAACCCCCTGCGTTTTTTTAAAAACAGAGATAAAGTTAAATAATACATTTAATTTACCCCCCATTTGGCGACCTTTTCAAACCAAAAAACACCCTTTTCCCTCCAAAAAATGTTTAAACCATTTTTTACAGAGAATTTGTTTTTCCAAATTCCCCTTTAACCCCCTTTTTGGGCTGCCCAAAGGGAAGTATTTCATAACAATTTGATTAAAATGATTTCAATGAAAGTTTTTTGGTGTATTTTTGGGGGTAAGGCTGGGCCCTTTGTCTGGTCGTCTGCTGGGTTTTGGGTGGTCTAACCCCCGACCTTATTTTGGGCTCCCCGTTTTTGGCATCTAACCCCGACCTAATTCGGTCGTCTGCTGTTTTGGCTGTTTTTTAAAACCCGATCTTAGGTCTGGGCGTCTTTCGTTTTGCTGTCTAACCCCGACCTTTTGGTTTTGGTTCGGTTTATTTGGGTGTCTATACCCTGACCTTTTTGGTCTTGGGCGGGCTGCTTTTTTTGGTGTCTATACACTGGGCCTTAGGGCAGTCGTCCGCTGCTTTGGCTGTCTATACCCTGACCTTAGGGCTTGGGGCGTCTGTGTTTGGCCTGTCTATTTCCCCGGGCCTTTGGTCTGGTCCCTCTTTCTGATTTTGGCCCTCTATTTCACTTACCTTTGGTCTGGGCGTCGCTGTTTTGGGGCCGGGGGCCATACACTTACCTTAGGTCTAATCCCTTTTTCCGTTTTATACCCTCCCAGGGCTTTTTGTTTTCTGGTTTTGGCTTTTATACACTTTACCTTAACGTCCTGCTGTTTGGCTGTTGTTTTAACCCGACCTTAGGTCTGGTTTGTCTGCCCGTTTTTTTTGGGTGTCTATACACGGCCTTAGGTTAAATCGTCGCTGTTTTTGGGTGTCTATTAAACCCCCCCTAAGGTTTGGTCGTCTGCTGTTTGGGCTGTCCTTTACCCTGACCTTAGGTCTGGCTTTCTGTTTTGGCTTTCTATAACTGACCTTAGGGGTGGTCGGGCTCTGTTTTGGGTGCTATACCCCGACCTTAGGTTTTGGTCATCGCTGTTTGGGTTCTTACCCTGACCTTTAAAAGGGCTGGTCCCACTGTTTTGGGTATCTTTTACCTTGACCCTTTGGGTTGGTTTTTCTGTGTTTTGGGTGTCTATACCCTGACCTTAGGGTTTTGGTCGCTGGCCCGTTTTTACTGTTCCCTACCTATGACTTCTCCCATTTTTGCATAACCAATTTTTAAATTAAAAATTTTAAAAGAATAATTATCATGATTTCACTTTCGCATATCCTAAACAAATTTGAAAACCCGACCAATAAAGATATTTAAAATTTAAAAATTTTAAATTGGGTTTCATTTAAAAAATTTTTGGGAAAAATTTTATTTTGATTTATTCCCAAAAAAATTATTATCATTATTAAATTTGTTCATGGGCCCTTTTCCCAATAACTAGCAAATAGACAGGGAAAAAAAAAAATTACCCGCATTTTGCCCAAAAATCTATCAGATTTCCCTGGACAAAATTAAACTAAGGGGAAATCTCCCCAAAAAAAAAACGTTTTCATATATGAAAAAATGGGTTTAAAGAATTTTTGAAAACTATTTCCCGAAAATATGTTATTTTCATATGTAAGAAAAAACATAAAAGGGAAATTTCCCCATTTGTTCAGAAAATTTTTAAACTTATCCCCGCTAATATTTTACTTCAATCATGTACCAATTTTTACCAGTCATTGGTTTGTAGTTTAGTGTTTGGGACTTTTTTTTAGGCGTATTGTTTGTATTTTAAATTTTTAGTAATTTTGTCCCGAATAATAGTGGGCCCCTTTAAAAAGTTTGTCTGGAAATATTTTTCTTATATTTTCTAATGATTTTTTACCTGAAGTACTTTAATTTAAAGATTTTTTTAGTTAAACCAAACACCAAAAATAATTACATATGTTGCTTTTAATTTTAACCCAATTGCCAAAAACATCTTTCCTTTTCGGCACCATATGACCTGAATTGTGTTGTTGTGCTGTAAAACTAAACAAACAAACAAATCATAGTGGATTTTTCTCTGGTTTGTTTTTGTCATACAAAAGTATATAGATGATATTATAATCATGATTGTTTAATGAGTAACAATGAAACAAACATGCAGTGTATTTGTTGGGCAAACTAAATATTATTGACTAAAACACTTTTTAAATAGCATTTTCAGTACTAAAAGGCTCATGAACATATGTTGTTGTTTTTTAGTTCACCTGTCACAAAGTGACATGGTGAGCTTTTGTGATCACTTTTCGTCCGTCCGGCGTCCGGCCGTAAACTTTTACTTTAAACGACATCTCCTCATAAACCTCTAACCCAATTTCATCCAAACTTCACAGGAATGTTCCTTTGGTAGTCACTTTTAAAAATTGTTCAAAGAATTTAATTTAATTCCAAGCAGAACTTAAAATATCTTCTTTTAGAAAACCGAAAGAGCTAGAGCTTAGATATTTGGCATGAAACATCATCTAGTCAGTGTCTACCAAATAAATGCCCTGGGGTCAAAATTGGCCTGCCCTGGGGTCATTGATTTTCCTTATTTGTGTATAGTAAAAACTTAAAAAATCTTCTTTTAAAAAGCCCAAATAGCTAGAGCTTAGATATTAAGCATGAAACATCTTCTAGTGGGTGTCTACCAAGTTTCAATAAAATCCCTGGGGTAAAAATTGGCCTAGCCCCCGGGGGTCATTGTTTTTCCCTTTATGTATATAGTAAAACCTTAAAAAATCTTCTTTTAAAAAACCCTAAGAGCTAGAGCTAAGATATTTAGCATGAAACATCTTCTAATGGGTGTCTACCATTTTTGTTCAAATAAGGGCCCTGAGGTTAAAAATGGCCCGCCCTGGGGGCCTATATACAAGTGAGCGATTTCAGGGCCATCATGGCCCTCTTGTTTTCTTCATTTATTTAGAAACGTATTACATCTGATAAAAAGTACAGTGAGAGAAAGCTAGATGTTTTGTCTTCCTTGGTTCTGGCAGAAACAGCTTTGGCTGGTCCAGGTATGTTTTCTTCTCACTTGTCAGTGCTTAGCTTATTTTGAGCAATTTGAGCACAATGTGCTGAAGGTGATTACAATTTGTGCAGTCGGTCATTAATTCAGTAATTGTAGAGTTATTGCCCTTGACTTATTAAAAAATTTCAATTTTCAATTTGTGAAGGAGTAGCTCAAAAAGTATTTGATTTAGAGCCATGAACTTTACAGGAATGTTGGTCATAACATGTAACATAACATTATTATACCCCCCTTCGAAGAATGTTGGTTGGTCTGTTTGTCTGTCGTAAGACCACATGGTTTCTGCTCATTATCTTAAAAACTATTTATCACAAAGTCTCCATATTTCAAATGTTGATTGGTCATAACTAGAAGATGACCTTTATTGATTTTGGGGTCTCTAGGTAAAGGTCAGGATCACAGTAACCTCAAATGCAAAAGTGGTTTCAGATTTATAACTATTGTATGGCAAGACTTTCAAGTTTCAAAGTTAGTTGAACACTTCCATGTACCCATATATGCCATGTTTATATAACAAAATTACCAATAGTATGAGTCAAGGTGATATGTGTTTGTTAGACATATCTTGTTACCTTTTGTTAAGAAACTTGGTACAAATGAGACATGGAAATAATTCCATTTAACTTTTGCAAAGCCCCAAGAATGCCCACCTATGCATGCAGATTGAGAAAAATAATATTCACCTATTGGTCACTGACCTCCACAAACTTTTATTTGAGCCTCCAAGTCATACTAATCCTTAAATCATCAGCTGGTCTAATAGCAGGCTTGTCATAGATGTCATTTTTGTGTCGCCTCTACGGAGTAGTGGCGACATATAGGGATCACTTCTCTGCCGTCTGTCTGTCCGTCTGTCTGTCCGTACAAACCAGAGCTACATTATGGGGTTTGGTCTATTGTTCTCATAACAATAGATGTCTTTGATGTCTCATATGCAAAGCAAATTTTAAATAGTTTAATCACAAATTATGTCCAAGTTGCACAAAAATTGCCAAAATCATATAGTCTGAAAAATAAAAACATGTCTGACTGTATGCTAAAATAAATAACAGTAAAATCACATTAACCTCTCATCAGTTTACCTGTTTTCACAAGGGCTATTAGTCTATTAACACAAATGTTTTATAAATGTGTACCATATACTCAGGTGAGTGATTAAAGGCCAAAATGGCCGTCTTGTTAACTTAGAGTTTATGTCAAAATTGCCTATATAGTAGAAAAGTATGAAAGATATTGATATGAATCTTTGAATACTTGTTGCACAAGACAAGGGACATTTTCCTGCAAGCAATGTTTTTTAACTTAAGAAAATAGGTAACTGATGGTGATTGGTCTTTACAGAGGAGCATTAACACAGCATACCGTGATTTTGTATTTTGCGAAAACAGATTTAATGGCTCTGCTGATTAAGGCTAAATTTTGTATATGAATTATCATCTAATTTAAGCCATATGATTAGTAAATTTCTCTATGTTTTTCTTTGCAGCAACAAAAGAAAGAAGACTTGTGGCTAGGCTTGCTCTTGCATTGGGAACCTGTTCCAAAGTGGTGAGGAAATCACTCCCTTTGTCATCTTTAAGCTCTTTATTTATTACATTTTAGAACTGTCAACAAACTGCTTCACTTCATTGTCATGATCAACCAACATAGTTTTTCTTCTAGGAATACTTATAAGTGGTCTAATTTATGAGATTTTTTTAGTCCCCTACCAGTTTAAACAGAGGGAACTGTGGGATTACCCTTCATCCCCAGTCATAACTTTAGAAATACAAAAGCTACATTGATGCTACTTGCTATGTGGATAGAAGGACATATGGAGATTAAGAGCATTATTGTCTGTCATATGTCTGTCTGCCTGTCTGAGCTTACATTTAGATACTTTTGTGATTAGAGGAATCTAGAGGAATATTTCTATAATTTAACCTTCAATGTCAAGGTCATTTATGAATGAAGGTCAACGTCTGTTTGGTTAACTTGAAGGTCTATCCTAAAAGTAATGTTACCCATAACTTTTTCATAATAACAAAAGGTCATGACGCTGTCAAGTTATATAACTGTGTTCTTTTGGCGAAATTTAGGTCAATAACTGAGTAAATGGGTAAACATTCTTTTGAAAAATTTTTACTGACAAGAATTTGGGCTTGGGACATTTGTGTTTAACAAGCACTTTCTTGTTCTTCCTTACTTTACTGCTTATTGCTCCCATCAACTTATTGTTTATCTTCCATGCATCTTGTTGATGACCTTAGAAAAAGCCTGGCCAAAAATATCATGATGTATTTTTAGCAAGACTAAACGTTAAGTGAAAATGAATTCCTATAGACAAAGTGGCATGCAGGGATATCTTTGCTAGTCCTGTGGCAGTTCAAGTTCTGTCTGGACTATTTATACCATCCATGAAGCTTTACTATCAAAATGAGATGAGCATACAAGTAAATATGTTCTGGTTCATTGATTTATCTGCAGATTTCATCCTTTTCATGTCCTTCATTAGTCATTCTTTATCTATTACACAATTCATAAGCTAGATGAGGGATTTTGTTGAAAATGTTTTGAATGATAGTATAAATTGAGAGGATATCCTGTAAGAAAATCACAAATGATCAGATAATTTAAAAATTTGGTGTGGGCAGGAACCATGACAGAGTTTGCATTTTAGTAGATCTTTAAAACTGTTCCTTCCCTCTACACCTTTCTTTCATGTTCTTACTAGTCTCATATGAACACCTAAACATTTTAGACAGATATGCAATAAAAGGACAATGTGGAGAACTTGTATCCGGTAACAGACTGAAATGCTGTCATAAACCATGCTTTAGAAAATGATTTTAAAGCAAAACTTTATAATTTCAGAGGGCATTTAAAGAAGATGAACTGGCCAGTTTGTATGATAATTTCAGAAAGCTCGACATTCTAGCTGACCTTAGAGAAAAGTAAGCCATTTTCTTCATTTGAAGTAAGATGACACATAGTTCATACTTCAGTTTTGTGATGAAAATATGTTTCAAGTTGAACTTGATTTTTATACCCCTGGGCAAAAAGCAATTGAACTACCAAATAGGGATAGGAGGCCATAAGGAGTAAACAATGTTTTATTAAGCCATGTTATTACTGTTTAAAGTAATACTGTGTATAAAAATTATGCCAATAGCAACAGATATTTAGTTTAGTTTAGTTTACACAGACTGCCTCCGTGGTCGAGGGGTTAGAGTCGATGACTTCTAATCCAGTTACCTCTCTGGCATGGGTTCGATCCCTGGGAGATGCTTTGGTAGTTTAGCACAGAGGAAGGTAGTCTAGTACTGGTGTAACTCTCCAGGAACGATGGTTAGGAAACTACCCGCCTATATGACTAAAATACTGTTGGGAAAAGGCGTAAAATGAAACAAACAAACAAAGACGTACATGTACAGAATTCTATTGAGAGACCACTTTATTAAGAGACCACAGTTTGGTAGTCCCTTGAGTGGTCTTTTAATACAATGTCAACTGTACATGCATTTTCTTCTGATTTTTTGCTTCATTATATCTGTATGATCTGAAATATCTTTATCTAAAATGTATGAAATGAATTTATGATATAAGGAGTAAATTCTATATTTCAGAGTCCGTAAATCATGTGACTGCAGTTTTCTGTATTTCCATCGTGTGATTATTCCAATTTACTTGACAGAAATGTTTGAAAGTGTCACAGATACACATAGAATACATGTAAGTCTGCTGTAAATGCTAATCTGCTGTAAATGCTCAACATTTTGTAACTTTTTATGGTTCAGGCATGTGAGAAGTTTCGTACAAAAGAAGTATCGGTATTTTTGTTATAAACACTTCTTTACTCTTGCATTCTTTAAACATTGGTATCAAAATACACAGATGTTCAAACAGACAAAATTTAAGTGTCAGTTCAGCAGTAGGTATTTTAAATCACTAAGATCTTTTTTGTCAAAATGTGACCATGTAAACATTGGGGCTTCCATCCTTGTAACTATGCACAGAAATACTGCCATATGAGGTTTGTAAAAGGGTATTTAGCTCACCTTAACTGGCTCAGGGTGAGCATTTGGACCATTGAATGTCTGTCACCTATCCTCAATCCGAACTTAGTTCCTTAACACTCTAGCGGTCACATTTTTGACTCAGTTGTCATCAAACTTAATCAGGATATTTGTCCCAGTAATTACTCAGATGAGTTTTTACATTGGTAATCTCATAAACTAGGTCACAGGGGCTCAAGATACAAAAAATCTTGTTAACACTCTAGTCGCTTCTGCTTGGATCCAAATATCCTGAAATTTGTCAGATAGATTTGTTTTTATGACCCCTAGCTCATGTTAGAATATTGGTATTTCCTGAATGACATCTTGACACAATTGAAGCTAAAATTTTGAAGTTATTTGCACACAATAGGAATAGCTCTAGCATTTTCTTGCAGACATGTAAATACATATAGATTTTTTTTTAATTATGAGGCTTCAGTCAAAACTGACTTGATTACTGATTGTTGCTTTGAAGAATTGTGACCTTTCCTATCAGTGGCTCTTAGGTGAGCAATGTAGGGTCATCATGTCCCTCTTGTTGATGTATGTAAAAATAAATAATTATTTTCTGCCCAGTATATAGTTGGTGCATTACGTGACAGTGTACAACCAATGATGTATGTGAGACATCTGCCATCACCACAATACCTACTGGATTCCTACAATGAAGAAATATACAGCATGATAAAGGAGGTATCATTAAAAATACCCAATTTCACCTTAATTTTTGATGTAAAAAATTAATGTAATATTGTCTTGTTGGATAATTAAAATAATTATAAGTTTTGACTACAACAATAATTTAATATAGAAGGAAAGGTGTTTGTGTTTATATAACTTAATTGCTTTGTTTATAGTTCCAGTTTATGAAGAAATACAAAGAAAAATCAGCGCTTTTGTCATTACTAACTCATCACCATTGGTTAACCTTTTTAGCTTGAGTACCATATAAGTGGTTTTTTTCTGTGGTGAATTTATTTCTGCGTATTCTGTGGTCAGTTTCAGCACCCCAGAAATAAAAAGTCCCAGAATATTTCTCCATGTTTTGATTTTTAACCTATTACAACATGTGTCCTACATTATGACCTGTGTTGTTTAAAGTTACAACAACTAACGGAATATAATTGTTGGCGGGTCATCGAGTACACATTTCCACCATATGTAGACAATGTGTCAAAATAAATTGGATCATCATGACCACCATAAATTTGCAATATGTTGCATTCAACACTTGGTTATATTTTGTCCTGCGCTAGATTAGTTGTACTGTTCATGTATAAATGTGATATGTTAACATTATAAAATGTTATGTTTTATATATTGGCCATTAATTTTATTAGTGAAACATCTTTAATATAAAGAAGTATGTTAAGGTTATATTACATAGAAAATAAGCAGCTTTTGTGATGTTTATTTTAGAACCTGCTAGAGCCTCTATGTCAGGGTATAGAGACCGATCTACGTCTACATATACATCTACACCTTCAGCTAGATGATAGAAACCCATTTAAAGTAGGACTAAAAGATCTCTCCCAACTACTCAAACTTACACCTATAAGACTGTTTGACAGATATATCAATGTAAAAGGTATTTTAATACATTAATAAATATCTCTAAATGATATTATTGTTTTTGTGTCACCTGGTACAGAGAAGCGATGACAGATAGCTATAATTTCTCCTTCATATGTCTGTCCACCTTACAAAATAGGGAGGCGGCCATCTTACTGTAAACAGAACAAAAGATAACAATAGAGCAAGGGACCAATAGCCCTATAATAAACAAAAGGAAATTACAAAAGAAAGGGGCCCTTTATCCCAATTTGGTTGGGCGTCTGTCCATCTGACATGTACATACATTTGGGTACTTAGGTGGCTACAGGAATGTCAGGTAACTGTCTCTTTGTCTCTTTTCTTTGATGTCATTCATTCCCTAGGCTCTTATGTGACTATGTTTTCTTTATGTGGCTAGAAAGATAGAGTATATGTGTTGGACATAAGGACAATGTCTTGCCAGCAGGAATCAGGTCCCTACCTCATAGGTCAAGGTCGCACTTGTAAATCAAAAGTCATGAATGAAAAGTATGAATTTTTGTAAAAGTACACCCATGTTTGTGTTGCGTCAACAATTCTGTCATTCCTGGATAGATTTAGAAATTATTATGCCTAAATGTGTTTGACATAATGACAACTTTTTGCAAGCATAAATCATGCCCATGGTCACACTTGTATTCTAAAGTCATGATATGAATTTTTCAATAAAGTGTATTAATGGTTGTGTCTGGTCAACAATTCTGCCATTACAGGATGGATTTTAAAATGATTTTGCGTAAATGTGTAAGACATGATGATGTGTCGGACATAGGGGTCGAGTATCAAGTTCAAAGGTCAAGGTCACACTTGTATGACAAACTTTACAATAGTGAATAGATTGTCTTCTTTTATGGATGGACTTTGATTTATAATTATGCAATAATTATGCATAAATATTCAGCTTATTAAGATGATATTTTTAGCTAAGAAGCCCAAAGGTCAAGTATATACTTAAGGATTATTAAGGATTTGAATGTAAGAAGTCATGATATGACATTGCATTGATAGTCATGTCTGGTCCATGTCTTTTTGTCATTCAGTGACAGATTTTATAGCTCGGTTTAAAGATATGGTTCTTTAAAACAATTTGTTATGAGTTTGTAGCTTAGGTTTATAGTTTCATTAAAGTACATCAGTGGTTATATCCAGTCATCAGTTCTGTCATCATTGAATGGATTTTCAAATAGCAAGGCCTATTTCTGTGGCACATTAGGAAAACTTGTAACATTGAAAGGCCAGGTGGGCAGTTTTAAAGATGATGGTTATACAATGTCAAAATACGTCATTGATGGTTATGTCAATTCATATTTATGTCATTCATTCACAGATTTTTTTTTAATAATTGGGAATAACTGAGAATATGAGAAAATTTTTGTTAAAGTTTCTATATGATTGAAATACACTTTTTATAGTAACTGTGCCTTTGATGCAAGTCAAGGTCATGGTTCCTCTGCTTAACCCTTCTTGGTGGTAAAGTATGCTTTTATACCTTATTTCAGCATATGTGGAGCATTACTTGAACAAGACATTTTATAATCTGACTACTGTGGCCTTACATGACTGGAAAACTTATGGTGAAATGAAGAACATGGCAGAACAGAAATATGGTCTAACTTTAGTAGACACTCACCTGCCTAGTCAAACACTAGAACAGGTTAGAAGCTTGTATTTAGCTCAACTATTTACAATATACCATTTAAGAGCAATCCTATTCAGGGCTTGGATGTCTGCATCTTACTTTCATTTTTTTAGTTCACCTGAGCTGGATCACGAATATCAGGAAGACCTGTGTTCAAATCCTGCCATACTCTTATGCAAGCTGGAGTACTTTGAAAAACTTACTATATAATTTGATTAACTTTAATATTTGGCTGTTGGAATGCCTTTTCCTAGGTGTTGGACATGTGAGCTTTATCAAACTACATGTTCTGTATTACTTCCAATACTTTAAAAATTGACTAATACTGATGTATATTTATATAACAGGGGTTAGATGTGCTGGAGATCATGAGAAATATCCATGTGTTTGTCTCCAAGTATCTTTACAATCTCAATAACCAGGTATGTATAAATTATATCATTATGTATGATGGGTATTTCATGTAAATGTCATCATGTATGATAGAGGTGTTCTATAAATAACATCATGTATGATAGAGGTGTTCTTTAAATATCATCATGTATGATAGAGGTGTTCTATAAATAACATCATGTATGATAGAGGTGTTCTATAAATTACATCATGTATGATGGATATTTCTTGTAAATAACAATAAGATTACATAAAAATGTAAAATTTCTTGCTGCAAAGTAGATTATTTTAGATTTTTTTTTTTACCAAGACATAAATCATCTCCGGGACACCTCCCTGAAAGACACCTGATTTCCGTGACAATCCTGGATGTCTGGGACGTTATGACATGTATGTCTATGTCACTAAAAAAATATACACAAAAAAAATCCATTTATAACTAAACAACCATGAATATTGAAAATTGATAAATTGATTTGTATGTATCACAATGTAAAATATATATCACTAAACTTAAGTTAAAAAAAAAAGTCAAGAAACTTGTGAAATCCCCATAATAAATTGTAGTTAATTTAGCGAATCTATTTTTTGTGATATTTATTGCATGCCAATATAGCAAAAATTAGATACTCGCAAAAAAACCCCCTGATATAGGGTATACTTTGATGATATTAAATAAATTGTAAATGTGCTACATTACTTTCAAAACTTAGAAAAAGTTAAGCCCATCAGCTTTGCTTGGTAGGTAAGAGTGAAGGTCTAATGATATTAAAGTTATTGATCTTTTGAGTCTTGGGCAAGATACACATTCATAATTACACTTTGAAATAAACATTTTGTATGAAATAATTTACACTACAACTGTGATCCATATAGAAATGTAGGCAGTCACTGTCACCATTATTTTACTGAAATACTATTAAACAGTGACATTAAAACCAATATTAAGAACTATAAATTAAAATATAAATAAACTGTTTCATTACTGGGATCCTACGTATTGCCGGACAAAATATGAAGTCTTTTATTTGTAACCTTTATTTAAAATAATAAAAAAGAATGAAATTTTACCCAAATTAATTTTTGGTTCTTAATGCACGTAAACATTCCTTTATCAAACATGGAATTAAACATTCGACCGTAGAAATGTGTCTTTAAAGTAGGGCATTATAAGAGGAAAAAATCGTGTAAACAACTCAATTTACCGGACGGTGGTTTCAAAAATATTTGAAGTCGTGAATTGAAATTAATTCTAAACAATCAGCAAGGAAACTACGACTATTGAAATTTGAAAAACCCAGTATGTCACTAGAAATAGATTCGGCAGCCATGCCTGTTGTGAAGAGGCCAATATATAGGGTGTATCTGAAATTAACACTATTAACTCAATTAACGTATTGATCCTTTATGATCCTTAAAACGTATGAAACATTTTAATATTAAAATGGAATTCTGTTCTACAGTCCCCTTTTGATCATCATGTAGCATGTTACAAAAGCCATAGAATCTATTTCATTTATATTTCATGTAAAGTTTCCTCCCATGGGCATTACCCGTTTCCTTATATGTTTATTAATTTGCACTTCTTTGTAAAAGACAACAACGAGATACTGTTTAGACTTAATTTAAAATAACTTTTTATCATTGAAATATGTTAAGATTGTCTCTTGAGGTAACGTTGAAAAGAATTGAAAGTAAAACCTATCTAAAAACCCCATTAAGGGTCTCCATATTCGGGCCTGCGCAGAACATATTATTCCCCCGCATGACCAGGTCATGAATTAACTAGTAAACAAAAGGGCATGTTAGTCGATAAAGAACTGAATCAACAATATTTACCTGAGAGTGGTTTTGTTGTTATTTACTTTGAAATAGAAAGTGTGTGTACGATTCAGACTATATGATTTTTGAATCAAAGCAAAAAATAAAGCCTTATCTTACAGAAATAGATTTTGTCCGGTAAACTGATTGTCCGGTAAATATGTAGGATCCCAGTAGATCTATTCTAATATTGTTTTATGGAAATCTAGAAAGTCAAAATTCAGAAACAAAGAGAAGGCACAGTTCAGTCAAGTCAACTTAAATAAAACCCCATGTTAAACTATTATTATATTTCACTGTGTCCTTATTACAATATATATCTATCTAAAAATGTCTGAGCAATAATTATAATATACATGTGTTACAGTGTATTAGTATTTTACTTGTAGCCTGTCTTTTGAAGAATTCCTTGGAGGAGTTAACATTACTAGTTTCTTAAAATGGTATTTGATCTTGTAGATATTTGTGGAGAGATCGAGCAACAATAAACATTTAAACACCATCAACATTAGACATATAGCAAACTCCATCAGAACTCATGGAACTGGTATAATGAATACTACTGTAAGTAATATATATCATTTACAGCTTGTAATTAGTCAAAGGTGAGAAAAAAATGAATGAGAAACCTAAATTCTGGTTGGTTTACTTTGGTACGAATTGTTGAGGTGAAATAGTTATTTCAATTTGAAACTAAAATTAAATTGGTCTGAAGCACAAAGTGATAACTACGGCATGTTTTGTCATATTTACATATTTTTAGCTGACCTGGGCACATAGTGCTCATGGTAAGCTATTGTGATGGCACTTTGTCTGGTATACAACATTCCCTCATGGTAAGCAGGACACTAGCATGTGAAAAGCATGGCACAAGCAATGGTTTCTTTATAACAAAATAAAAAATATTTCTTTCTTTTAAATCGCTAGTTTTAAGCTGTTTTGAAAACTACTTGCTGTTAGGTTTGTCGTTAAACCGCTGTGTCAGAAATTGAATGTCAGCTTTGTATTTACTGATCTTTGATCAGAAAATACAAAAACCCGAAAATATGACCACACTCTGGTGACAAGACTTGGTTCAATTGTATCTAATGTAATCACCTGTACCTGTATTCTTTATTACCTGTAATATCTGTACTCATACATGCAAATAAGGATTAAACTATGCGTTAAAATACATGACAAGCATTGGCTAATACTTGAGTCTTACCCAGAAGCTAGTTTTTGCAGAAGTACACTTTTGCACTTATTTTAAATGCAACCACTGACAACTTTGTTATTTGATTTTAAAAGGCTTCATTTAATTGATTTTATCATTCAGTTTGGGATATCAATTCAACATATATGCTTGTTTTTCAATGTTCAATGTTTGAATAAAGAAATTGTGTAACCAAACTCATATCATGGTTTCCAGGTTAACTTCACATACCAGTATTTGAGGAAGAAGTTCTTCATTTTTTCACAGTTTATGTATGATGAACATATCAAATCCAGGCTTATTAAGGTATGCTTTTTGATTTTTGTTATTTACAAATAAATATTGATTTTAAATTTTCATTCAATTCAATAAAGTAATGATATGACACAGTCAATAAAATAATTCAAGGACTAGCCACACTACACATTTATATTTGGGAGTGGGGTATAGATATAGTTATCATCTTTTGTTAACAGTTACTGGTTGTAATGAAAAACAGAATTCACTTAAATAACCATAGACATCTTGCAAACTGCATCGCAATTTTAATATGGCCACATTTTTAACGTGTAGCTTTCACAGTAGCGATGACATATGGGGATCACTTATCCATTGTCTAAGTCTCACTTCCGAATAGGGGGTCATTTAACTGTAAACAGAACAAAAGCGAACAATAAGAGTTCATTTCGTATCAAAAGAGGAAGGTGCCAATGGCTATTTATTTAACAAAAGAAAATGACAACAGAAATGGCTGTTTATCTCATTTTGGTCACACATCCATCCGTCTGTACGTCCGTCTGTCCATCCGTCTGTCACAAAACTTGTACGCACCTCTCCTCAAAAACTTAACATAATACATATGTAAAGTATTTTAAGCAATAGCTTAAAGCTTCTTTGTGTTACCTTCCAAAAAATAGTTGACTTTGGATTAATCTTTAAAACCATGTGCTTTATATAAAATACTATTTATTCACAGGACTGGAAGTTTTTCAAAGAAAACCATATGCAGACAGATCAAAAGGTAGGATATACACTTACTAGAAACTAAACTTGAGGGATATTATGTTTCTATTGTCTATTACAATGACTACATTTTTTAAGCTTACCTGAGCACAGCGTTCTTATGGTAAGCTATTATGATCCCCTCCGTTTATTACAGTCAAACGTGTAGTAAGCGACCGCGCAAGGGAAACACCCAAAATGGTCGCTTAATGAAACGGTCTCTGAAGACAAAGCATGATATAAAAGTCAAAATTTATAAATGACATCTTTCTTTTGCGGTAGGAATGTTTTTCAACCTTATTTATATAACGCTCTGATAATCTAAACGGATGCTAATGTAAAAAATAACTTTCTGATATTTATTGACAAAACAGTTTTGATCCATTACGTACATGTTTGACATTTTTCAAGAATTTTTCAACTTCTCCGCTGTTTTTAGCTGTCTCCAACACAAAAACACTAATAAGTGAAGATGTTTTATGTTGTGCATTTTTAGCTCACCTGTCACAAAGTGACAGGGTGAGCTCTTGTGATCGCTTTTCGTCCGGCGTCCGTCCGTCCGTAAACTTTTGCTTCAAATGACATCTCCTCATAAACCACTAAGCCAATTTCATCCAAACTTCACAGGAATGTTCCTTTGGCGGTCACCTTTAAAAATTGTTCAAAGAATTTAATTCCATGCAGAACTCTGGTTGCCATGGCAACCGAAAGAAAAAACTTAAAATATCTTCTTTTAAAGAACCCAAAGAGCTAGAGCTTAGATATTTGGCATGAAACATCTTCTAATGAGTGTCTACCAAGTTTGTTCAAATAAAAGCCCTGGGGTCAAAATTGGCCCCGCCCCAGGGGGTCATTGATTTTCCCTATATGCATATAGTAAAAACTTAAAAAATCTTCTTTTAAAGAACCCAAAGAGCTAGAGCTTAGATATTTGGCATGAAACATCTTCTAATGAGTGTCTACCAAGTTTGTTCAAATAAAAGCCCTGGGGTCAAAATTGGCCCCGCCCCAGGGGGTCATTGATTTTCCCTATATGCATATAGTAAAAACTTAAAAAATCTTCTTTTAAAGAACCCAAAGAGCTAGAGCTAAGATATTTAGCATGAAACATCTTCTAGTGAGTGTCTACCAAGTTTGTTCAAATAAAAGCCCTGGGGTCAAAATTGGCCCCGCACCAGGGGGGTCATTGATTTTCCCTATATGCATATAGTAAAAACTTAAAAAATCTTCTTTTAAAGAACTCAAAGAGCTAGAGCTAAGATATTTAGCATGAAACATGCTCTAATGGGTGTCTACTAAGTTTGTTCCAATTAAAGCCCTGGGGTCAAAATTGGACCCGCCCCAGGGGTCATTGATTTCCTTATATGTGTATAGCAAAAACTTAAAAAATCTTCTTTGAAAAAACCCAAATAGCTAAAGTTTAGATATTAAGCATGAAACATCTTCTAATAAGTGTCTACCAAGTTTGTTCAAATAAAAGCCGTTGGGTTAAAATTAACTCTGTCGGGGGGGGGGGGGGAGGTCATTGTTTTTCCTTATATGTGTATAGCAAAAACTTAACATCATGAAACACCTTCTAATGGGTGTCTTAATTCCAAGTTTGTTCAAATAAAGCCCTGGGGTTTAAACTGGCCCTGCTTTGGGGGCCTATATACAGGTGAGCGACCTCGGGCCATCATGGCCCTCTTGTTTAATAAATTGAAATAAACAAACTACATCTAATTGTAACAATTTATTTAATTGCTGATCAAGTTCAAGGTCAATTCAATGTAGTCTAAATATCAACAAGTCAAGCGTATACACCATCTAAGTAGGGGCGGAGCGTTGCATTGTTTAATCGATACTTAAGAAATAATATATCTCAAATGCTCAATAACATCACTGTTTGGAGTTCGGATGCGGGGAATTATATCACGAGGGCGTAGCCCGAGTGATATAATGATGCGCATCCGACCGACAAACAGTGATGTTATCAAGCAATAAAATCATTGATTTCGATATATTATTTCGATTCTAACACGACATCAATAAATAAATCCTGCTGTACATGATAATTAGCTAAATTGCGTCTGATTTGTTTCCGTACTTATTGTCAGCGTGTCACATTTTTAGTGGTCACGTGTATAATGATTACGTCACATGTCTAAATATAGAACGTCAAACAGTGATTTTATAGCATAATAACACACACTTTCAGTTCTTCTATGTTCAATAGGGAAAAATGCGTGTCGTGTTAGAATATTGGATAATACACGTCAGGCGTATACTTAACTTCATTTGCATATGCTAAAACGGTTTGGGAAATAGAGTTTTACACACATTTATATGTTGTGTTTTGATTGTTGACACTTGTGACATTACGAGGTGGCGTTCTCTAAAAACACAATTACTTGACATGTAAATTGGTTGTTTGATAAAAAGATTGATCTCAATGAGCTGACTAATTAGCGGTCGCTGGTTGCGTTGAGCAAAAGTCCCTTAATACACGTGGTCGCATGGGCAAGTTAGACTGTACTTAGTTATGCTTTGTTCGACTTGAACAAATTTTTAAAACAAAATCATCAAAGCCAATGACTAGATATTAACCAAACAACAGAGGAATAATCCTCAGGTGGTCATATTGGTCTGGCCATTTGTATAAGTATGTCACAGGGCCAGAAAAGGGATTTTAAAAAAGCAAATTTCAAAAATCTTCTTGTCTGAAAGTACATGGCCCAGAGTTTTGGTATGTGGTTGAAAATATTATATTATTATATAATATGAATAAGGCACAACCTCAAAGTGAGCTCTTTGAAAGAATTTATAGATCTAATACATTTTATTATTATGACCATATTTAAACCCATCGGTGGCTGCACATTTTTTACTACACATTTTATGACTACAATACATTTAGAACTGCACACTTTAGGCCTTACAATTCCCTCAACACTACCATACACTATATTTTCTTTCAAAAAATACGGTCATATCATGTTAAATATGCTATCTAAATTGAATCTGCCTGTCAGAGAACATATATTCACTTTAAATCCAATTTCGGGATAAATAATTTCATTTCGGGAAAAGGATATCATGAAACAGGACATTGATGTCTATTTCTATTTTCTTTATTTTATTAATAAGTTGCATGTAATGGTAATTTTTTTGTCAGTAATTTATCAAAAAATGTACTATATACTTGAATCAGTCAAAATTTTATGTACTTTACGATTAATTAATCAAACGATCATGAACACGCTAAGATTTAAGTTTTGGGAAAACTTAAGTTTGCCTATTTATGGTTATTAGCATGGGGATCCAAATATCAAGTTGAATGGGAACCATAATGAGACAGGAGACAAGAAAAACTGTTTCCCAGTCTGCTTTGGTAAACAACAGTGCAGGTTACCTGCCAGTACTGATTCCTGGCGTGCTCCAAATATAAGAGGACGGGGAACCAAAATAACCTCTAATGAACAGCAGGCAAACTTATTACCCATAATTTTGCTGTATTTAAGGCAAAATATTACAAAACCATCACTTGGAGGTACTCGCGTTACTCGAGTTATTGCCCTTGACTAAGTAATAATTTTCATCTTGTGTTGCAAATGGCCCAAAATTTTTTTTACCTAGTCATGAAACTTTACAGAAAGGTTTGTCAGCATATCCAGTTGTGCACCTGGGGGTTGCTTGTTCAAACCTGTATATTTATTCAGAATTTGTAGAGTAATTGCCCTTGACTTGGTAAAAAGAGTAAAAAGTGCTTGAGCTACAATCACAAACTTTACTACAGGAATTTTGATCAGCATGTGAAGCTGTGCACCTGGGGTTTTTCGTGTGGATTTATTCAGTTTTGTTAAGAGTTATTGCCCTTGACTCAGCATCAATTTTCAATTTGTGTCGGGCACAGCGGTCAGCCCAAAAAGTATTTGACTTTGAGTCATGAAACTTAACAAGAATGTTGGCCAGCATGTGTAGATATTCACTTGTTGGTGGGGGGGTGGGGTGGGGGGGTTGCTTGTGGATTTTCATTTACCCTTGGCTTAATAACAGATTTGAAATTTTCAACTTGTGTTTTGCATAACTCAAAAAAAGTATTTGACTTAGAGTCATGACACTTTACAGGTCTGTTGGTCAGCATGGGTAGTTGTGCATCTGGTGTTTTGCTTGTTTTTATTTTCTTTTAAGCATACATTAGGATATGAAATTGAGATTTGACTTTCCTTGGAAAAAATCAAGATAATTATTGGATGTTGTTTTTATGCCCCAACCACTTTGGGTAGGGGGAGTCATGTAAAATTTTCTTTATCTCTATCTCTCGTACTGTTCTGCTGTACGTCAGTAAACTGACAAAATAGAGGAGTGTGGGGGGGGCATCCGTGCCCTATGGACATATTTCTGGTTATTGTTTTGTTGTTTAGAGCTTTGGTTTGCAACGTGTTTATTATTGTTTCATATAAAAAAATCTTATACATGGAAAGATATGATGAAGCTTCATGCAATTATTTGCTCTGACATGAGCATTTATGTTTCACACCACTAAATCATTTTTTTTTTTTGTGGTTGAAAGACCCATTTGGAGTGAGAGACAATACTTGGAGGTTATTGATGAAAATGCTTGAAACATTGTTGGATGCTCTAAAGATATGAAATTTATAATACATCATTGTTTACTTTGTAAAAGTAATGTATGAATTATCAGAAATTGTGCACATCATCAAATCTACATTACAATCTATGTTATGTGCAGTCTTATACAAATATTTATTAGCATGGTAAATTTGTTGAATGTAACAAAATTGAGAACATATGCAGAGTTATTTGCAATACATTTTCTTTGAATTTTATTTGTTTCAGTACCCATATGAAAGAGCAGAAAAGTTTAACAAAGGTATAAGGAAGTTGGGTCTAACCCCTGATGGGGAGAGCTACCTGGATCAGTTTAGAACACTTATAACACAAATAGGTAAATGATGTAATGCTTCTTTAATTATCAGGGGAGAGGCGGCTTAATGGTTACAGTATCTACCTCTAAACTAAGTTATTCTGGATTTAAACTCTACAAGCTCTACATCAGGTGATGAGTAGACTATTAGTATAGTTTCTTCAACAAAAGTGGATCAAAGGCATGCATTTTGGGTCAAAGAATTGACCTCCCTTGGGTCACTTAAGTTACATAGACTTCTTGTAACATATATTTTACACCTGCTGTTATATCCTTTCATTTGGACTGATGATTGGTGGCAGTTACAGGCTTGGTAACAATAAATAAATCTACCGGTAATGCTGTTTTGACTAGTATTGCTAATGTTTAAATGCTTAAATATTATTAACTTTAGTTATGGCCTTGAATAAAAAAGGTGTTTTGGCCTGATTTTTATTCACCCAAAAAATTGTTGACACATAATGTTATAATAATGTTTTGCACCTGGTTGTCTGTCCATCCATGTTAGCAGGTTTTGTGTCCCGTTTGACCTTCCTCTGGTCAAGATCACACTTAGTCATTTTATATAAATTTCAAAATTTTGTGTCCACTCTGTATCTTTTGAACTGATAGAAATAAAGTAAAATTTTTTGGCAGAAATTTACTTACAATGAGAGGTTTGGGCTTCCTGAGATCAAAACATTTTTCATACAAGTTTCTTGATTGGGTCTCTACCCTAATTGAAAGATTATTTTTGATTACTCAAACAAACTTACTTTCGGCATATATTGCCCTGCCTTCGCAGTGTTTTTGTTTTTAGCTCACCTGTCACAAAGTGACAGGGTGAGCTTTTGTGATCACTTTTCGTCCGTCCGTCCATCGTCCGTCCGTCCGTCGTCCGTCCGTAAACTTTTACTTTAAATGACATCTCCTCATAAACCACTAAGCCAATTTCATGTTCCTTTGGTGGTCACCTTTAAAAATTGTTCAAAGAATTTAATTCCATGCAGAACTCTGGTTGCCATGGCAACCGAAAGAAAAAACTTTAAATATCTTCTTTTAAAAAAACATAAGAGCTAGAGCTTAGATATTTGGCATGAAACATCTTCTAGTGAGTGTCTACCAAGTTTGTTCAAATAAAAGCCCTGGGGTCAAAATTGGCCCCGCCCCGGGGGGTCATTGATTTTCCCTATATGCATATAGTAAAAACTTAAAAAATCTTCTTTTAAAGAACCCAAGGAGCTAGAGCTAAGATATTTATCATGAAACATGATCTAATGGGTGTCTACCAAGTTTGTTCAAATAAAAGCCCTGGGGTCAAAATTGGCCCTGCCCCCGGGGGTCATTGATTTTCCCCTATATGCATATAGTAAAAACTTAAAAAATCTTCTTTTAAAGAACTCAAAGAGCTATGGCTAAGATATTGAGCATCAAACATGTTCTAATAGGTGTCTACCAAGTTTGTTCAAATAAAAGCCCTTGGGTCAAAATTGGCCCCGCCCTGGGGGTCATTGATTTTCCCTATATGCATATAGTAAAAACTTAAAAAATCTTCTTTTAAAGAACCAAAAGTGTTAGAGCTAAGATATTTAGCATGAAACATGTTCTAATGGGTGTCTACCAAGTTTGTTCAAATAAAAGCCCTTGGGTCAAAATTGTCCCTGCCCCGGGGGGTCATTGATTTTCCCTATATGCATATAGTAAAAACTTAAAAAATCTTCTTTTAAAGAACCAAAAGAGCTAGAGCTAAGATATTTAGCATGAAACATGTTCTAATGGGTGTCTACCAAGTTTGTTCAAATAAAAGCCCTGGGGTCAAAATTGGCCCCGCCCCGGGGGGTCATTGATTTTCCCTAAATGCATATAGTAAAAACTTAAAAAATCTTCTTTTAAAGAACTCAAAGAGCTATGGCTAAGATATTTAGCATCAAACATGTTCTAATAGGTGTCTACCAAGTTTGTTCAAATAAAAGCCCTCGGGTCAAGATTGGCCGCGCCCCAGGGGGTCATTTATTTTCCCTATATGCATATAGTAAAAACTTAAAAAATCTTCTCTTAAAGAACCAAAAGAGTTAGAGCTAAGATATTTAGCATGAAACATGTTCTAATAAGTGTTTACCAAGTTTGTTCAAATAAAAGCCCTGGGGTCAAAATTGGCCCCGCCCTGGGGGGTCATTGATTTTCCCTATATGCATATAGTAAAAACTTAAAAAATCTTCTTTTAAAAAACTCAAAGAGCTATGGCTAAGATATTTAGCAACAAACATGTTCTAATAGGTGTCTACCAAGTTTGTTCAAATAAAAGCCCTGGGGTCAAAATTGGCACAGCCCCGGGGGTCATTGATTTTCCTTATATGTGTATAGCAAAAACTTAAAAAATCTTCTTTGAAAAAACCCAAATAGCTAGAGTTAAGATATTAAGCATGAAACATCTTTTAGTGAGTGTCTACAAAGTTTGTTCAAATAAAAGACCTGGGGTCAAAATTGGCCACGCCCCGGGGGTCATTGATTTTCTTTATATGTGTATAGCAAAAACTTAAAATCTTCTTTGAAAAAACCCAAATAGCTAGAGTTTAGATATTAAGCATGAAACATCTTCTAGTAAGTGTCTACAAGGTTTGTTCAAATAAAAGCCCTGGGGTCAAAACTGGCCCGGCCCCAGGGGTGTCATTGTTTTTAACTATATGTGTATAGTAAAAACTTAAAAAAAATCTTCTTTTAAAAAGCCCAATGAGCTAGAGCTTAGATGTTTAGCATGAAACATCTTCTTATGGGTGTCTACCAAGTTTGTGCAAATAAAAGCCCTTGGGTTAAATTGGCCCTGCAACGTTGGGGGGGGGTGGGGGTTGGAGGGGCCTATGTACAGGTGAGGGACCTCAGGGCCATCATGGCCCTCTTGTTTTGTGTTGCCAGCTAAACAGAAGCTGATACATGCTGCAAAGTAGCCACAACTTATATGGATTGCTTCTTTTAGGTCTCTCAGTCTGTCTGCACCTTTGAATAGGGATAGGGGGCCATCTAACTGTGAGCAGAACAAAAGAGAACAATTGAGTTCATTCCATAGCAATAGATGGCCCTCTATTAGACAAAAGAAAGTAACAATAGAAATCGCCCTTTATTCCAATTTGGTTGCACATCCGTCTGTCTGAATGTCAGTCTCAAAACTTGTCCGGACTACTCCTTAAAAACTACTGTTTTAATTCATCCAAACTTTACAGGAATTATTAGTACTAAGTTAAAATGTGCATTGTCAGCATTTGCCAGTTCAATGAGTTATTTCCCAGGGTTAATTTGTGTTTACAAAACACATTCTTGTTTAATTTCATTTTAAGATTTTTTGGCAAAAATAACTTGTTTAGTGTTGAAGTTCGCTTCAATCCTGTTATTCATAAAGCAGTATTTTAACCTTTTGAGTTTTATTTAACCTATGGATAAATATCTTTAAGTAAATGTTTTTGTCTCTCACAACAGAATTCTAAAGCAGACTGACTTTACTGTTTCTAGTTGTATTAATTTTGTGAATTCAGAGTTTGTCTATATGATTTTCCTTGTTCCTTCCACAGGTAATGCCATGGGATATATTCGAATGATACGTTCTGGTGGACTACACTGTTGTAGTAATGCTATCAGATTTATACCTGACCTTGAAGATATAGAAAACTTTGAGAAACTGTGTCAAGAAGAGGGACTGTCACAGGAATGCCAAACTGCTGCTAAGTAAGAGATATTTGAAAATTGACTATTGTGGCCAAGTGGTTACAGTGATAGTATTAGCTATCACTGACTCACTGTCATCTACAACACATTCATATAACATCTACCACATGCTAGAAAACAACACAGCCAAATTTGATGTAGCTCTTCATAGTACATTATATTCCAATGGTTCCAGTCCATAGCTTATCTTTGGCACAGAAGATTAAAAATAAAATTGAAAAGAGCAATTTTCTTAAACTTCACCTACAGCTTTGATATTTGATGTGTAGCATCTTCTAAATGAACTCTATCCTTGTATGTTCAAATATTAATCTTTTAGTCAAATTTGGCCTCACCAAAGGGTTAATTTGGTTCTACAATGCCCAGCAGTTAGATTGTAGGATTGTCTATTAGCATTTACTAACTTTGTTCAATCATGACCCTGGGGTAAAAATTGGCCATGCCTGGGGTCACATGATTTTACATAGATTCATATAGGTAAAACCTTAAATATCTGCTCCATAACACAGAGCTTAGAGATTTGGTAAGAAGCAGCTTATTGTAGACCACTACTAAAGCATATATACACATATATTTGGCATATCACCTTGTGGTTCCCTGCAAAAGTTATGCATGTTATCACATTGTTGATACAGACTTTTATAGGGATACTCATTTAAATATTCTGAACATTATTGAAGAAAATTACAATGTATACTCAACATCACTAATTCCGCGTCATCATTTATCTCACGGTATTGGCATATTTTCATGTGACCATTGTTATAATTGGTCAGAATTGACATATTTTATTCAAACACATTAACAACAAAGTTTTTGTGCAAAATAATTTAAATCTATAGATTTTTACGTAAAACTGAACAACATTTTACAAACTTCTGCAAAAACAACAATAGTCCATTAAATTTGTGCATACGTCTGAAACAATCATTATTTTCTAAATGTTCATGTTTGTTGAAAAAATAAATTTTGAGTTACAATGTAAAAATACTTTTAATATTTAAAATTATGCAAAATAACTTAAAGAAATTTTAACTGAAACATGAAAAAACTGAAATAAAACACCATTACCGCGAGGTAAATGATGACATACTGTTTTCAAAATGGCCGACACACGGTTTACATCTGACAAATTAAAACTAATTTTGATTGAATATATTGTTGTTTCCTTGTGTCATATAGCAGAAAAATGACTAAATGATACAGTTTATGACAGTTTTTATAGTGTAAGTTTATTGTTTGTGTTCTTTACTGTCTTAAAGTGTTAAGTACCGTGAACTAAGAGGAGCACAGTATAGCATTCCTTAGCAGACAAATATTTTATAAAACCATGCAGTTGCAAACAAAATTGACACACCAAATGTAATCTGTTTTGAGTGAGCAAGCTGTCAATTTAGCTTATTAAAGGTCATCTATTTCGCTATTATGCCATCAGTGCTTGTATTAATGTATAGGATTGCACTTAGCGTATTTCTCAATACTGAAATTGTAAATTCATCAAATAACCTCTAAAAAAACTATTTGTAGGAGTGCTAGTGATTGTGATAGTCTTAAATTTAACATAATAATGCTCATAAGAAATTTGTATTCATATAAAAGTTATTTATAATTTTCAGGAATCTGGATAATGTCATCACTAACTTAGCTAAGAACTTTGCTGAAGGAACTGAATATTTCAAGGTAGTCCTAAATTTCCTATGTTAATGATAACTGTGACAAACAAAGTTTGAAGGGGATATACTGGAGTCAGTTTGTCCCTTGGTCAGTCTGTCTACTGTTGGTTAAATCTCATGAATGTAACTCATTACAAAATGGATTTCATTAAAACTTACTATATGCCTGTAAACAAATTTTAAAGGGTTATCATGGAGTCAGTGCTTGTCCCCGGTCAATATGATTGCACTGACTTTACAAAACAATTTTAATACCAATTTGTTAATGCTTCTCTTACAACAATACAAAATGGATTTCTTTAAAACTTAGTTATGTAAACTGTGTATACTAGCATGTAGCTATGTATCCTGAGAATCATGTTTTTATTCATACCCTTCATACACACGTTAGGGCTTTTTATGTAGCAGATGTGTAACTAAATATACACTTCAATTATAAGAACAGTGGTAGGAGAAAAATGTGTCCCTAACCAAATATGTTCACCCAAACAAAAAACAAAAACAGAAATGCAAAATAGAATTACCATGTTTTCATTTTGTTTCAAAACTTTATATCTTTACCAGCTGCAGAATTACAGCATGCCTCAATGGTATATATGTTTCTAGAATGGTCACCCACACTTGATGAATTACACACTAGAAGTCCCTTCATATTCTGGAATGGTCACCCACACTTGATGAATTACACACCAGAAGTCCCTTAATATTCTGGAATGGTCACCCACACTTGATGAATTACACACCAGCAGTTCCTTAATATTCTGGAATGGTCACCCACACTTGATGAATTACACACCAGCAGTCCCTTAATATTCTGGAATGGTCACCCACACTTGATGAATTACACACCCAGAAGCCCCTTAATATTCTGGAATGGTCACCCACACTTGATGAGTTACACACCAGAAGTCCCTTAATATTCTGAAATGGTCACCCACACTTGATGAATTACACACCAGAAGTCCCTTAATATTCTGGAATGGTCACCCACACTTGATGAATTACACACCAGCAGTTCCTTAATATTCTGGAATGGTCACCCACACTTGATGAATAACACACCAGAAATCCCTTAATATTCTGGAATGGTCACCCACACTTGATGAATTACACACCAGCAGTCCCTTAATATTCTGGAATGGTCACCCAAACTTGATGAATTACACACCAGAAGTCCCTTAATATTCTGGAAGGGTACCCACACTTGATGAATTACACACCAGAAGTCCCTTAAATTTAGAGTTATGGCCCTTGTTTAAAAAATGTGTTTTGCCCTGTTAATGTAAATACAATGAGCCAGCAAATTTAAGTCAGGCAAACAGTGATTGTACAACTCTTGTTTTACATTTCAGATGTTGGTAGACGTATTTTCTCCAGAGTTCAGAAATCCCAAAAATATGCATCTTAGAAATTTCTTTGTTATCCTGCCACCACTTGTAAGTGTATAGTTATGTACCATTATAAATTGAAAAGAAAACCATGATGAAGTATGTACATGTATTTGAAAAGCAGGTTCTTCTCATATGAAGTAGAGAGATCTGGTGTGTCTTTGTAATTTAACAGAGGGTGTCTTTTTAAAATAGTATTTTTACTCCTAGTACAGCAAGTTGCAATAGGGGTATACTGGTTTGATGCTGTGTTGTCAGTCAGTCCATCTTTGTTTGCTTCTTCTCTAAACCACTCTACAACCAATTTTAACAAAACTCTGACAGGAATAATTGCAATGTGACGCCGCCCCAATGAATGATTCATGGCCATCATTGCCCTCTTGTTTATGTTTGGAGTTATAGCTTTTAAATGCTCAGAGGTTAGCTTATGTGAAAGCATGACATTTTTGCAAAATTTGTTGTGCACTTTTAACAACCTTTTTCTTTACCACATGCTTTAATTTCACAGGAATAACCGTTCGGTGACTAGCCTGTCACCATTGTGGGTTTGAGCTTCACGAGAGACATTGAATATTTTCATGTAAAGAAGCTATTCAGCTAGCTTATGGAAGGTGTGTTGTTCTACTACTGCCCAATTTTGCCTGTGAACAAAGTGGTATCAGAGGTTTTCTTGGACTAGTTATGCTGTAAAGTCAGCTCTACGGCATATGTCTTTCATAAAAACTGCATAGATTAGGAGGATATTTTGATTGTGAGAATATAAAACAATTTTTTCCCTCAGAGATACACAACCAATGTTCTCATGAAAGAAACAGGAACTGTCTATGTACATCTTGATTTATTATTTTTTTATTCAGACTGTGAATTTCGTAGAACACTCAATAAGTTGTAAGGAGAAGATGAGTAGAAAGAACAAAGTAGGAGCTGCCTTTACTGATGATGGTTTTGCTATGGGTATGAAACCTCCAGATTTATTAATAAAGTTTTCAATTTTAAAGTGTTATTGTTTATTAGATTGGTGAATGACGGACAAATAAGCTGGCTTCAAACAGGTGGTTTCCAGTCAATAACACCCTAGGGTTAAGGAAACTGTTGATTAACATAGAAAAATGGTTTCCAGTCAATGATAAGGTAAAGAGTGACATATTGTAGTCGATATCACTGTTACTTAAAATTGTGTTAGGAATGAATTATCACAAGTTTGGGATTATTTTGGGCTCCTTATGGTCAAGGTCAGGGCCACTCTCACTAAAAATAGAAAAATGGTTTTTGCCCGATAACTAGAGTTAAGAGTGTGGCATATTATAATTTAGATATTAATAATATGGGGCTTATATTTGGACCTTGTGTGGGAATGCTTTAAGGTCCACTAGGGCTTCCTGTTTCTGAAAATAGAAAAATGGTTTTTGGTTGATTATTAGAGCTAGAAATTAGATGTTTTAATCAAACTTCATATAAAACAAGTGTGTATGGAGACTTCACTTAGGATTCATTTGATTTTGGGCTATCTTTGTGTGGAAAAATTTCAGATTATTTGCTCACTCCTGTTTTCCAGAATAGTCATTTATGTGGTGCAAAATGAGCTAAAATGTTTTGAAAAGTATTTAAACCCTTTTGAATCAAATCTGGCTAAAATCACACCTAGATACCAATTTCAGTTTAGTTCTCAGCATATTTCTTTATTATCTGCTGCATATTATTCAGTATTAAGTGCTCCAATGAACTATGTAAGATTTTCTGTTTTTAGTCTTTTTGACTTATGTGGAGCTCATTTAAAATATAAGTTAGTAACTTGAATTATTAGAAGATCTAAAAATAGCTGCATTCTCATTGGTTCAAACAATAGTCAACAACACAAATCATAAAATCTTATTCACTGGGTGCAGTATCATATTCACTGGCTGAAATGGATTTTCCCAATCTAAAAATGAAATCAGCCTTATATTCATTGACCAAACAGCAAAGAAAATTAACTGCGCGAATTATATTCACTGAGTCAATAAGATTTATGCATGCACAGTTATGACTAGGTGTAGTATCATATTCACTGGCTGAAATTTCTTTGTCTAAAATAAAATCAGACTCACATTCAATGACCCTACAGCATAGACTATTTAAAATTGTTACATGCATTTTCTTCTTTATGGCATATATCTAGATTCAAAAATCTATTTACTGTATAAGTGAATATTTATGCGTCACAAAAATATTGCGAATGTCAAAAAGTGGACTTTTTGCATGCAGAAATGTTTGTGAAAATAGGATTTCTTGAACTGAATACTGTTTTTGGTGATATCAATTATTAAGCAGGTACATGTTAAAAATATGCCGCTATTGTATTCTATTCAGTTGTTTAATACCTTTATTATTTATATAATTGTTTGAAAACTCCATTGTTAGTTTGATAAAGGACATGAAAAATGAATCTCATTACATGAAGGGTAAAACTTATTCATGTAAGTTGCTGTATGAAAACGTGTGTTCAAATGATAAAAGAAAGTTTGCCTAAACAGAAATAATTTTTACGCAATCAAATATTCGTGAATAATTTCGCAAAAATCACAAATTTTTCCATGTCGCAAAATTAACCACTTGTATCACAGTTTGGGGACCTTTCTGTTGAAAAAGTGTCAGAGTTAAATCGTATACATATACATGCACAGTGCGGTAACTGGAGTGCAGGTATCAGTTACCCGCACTCCAGATCATGCCCGTTGATTGGCTCATTTTTGCTGGGGTTTACATATTGTGACGGCAGAGAAAGGAAAAGCAACAGAAATATCATATTCAGATGCTCGTTCATTGGTAACTTTTTCCCGGGGTTTAAAATCGTGACAACAGGGAACGTGTTTTTATGTTTGACTATGATACAAAAGAGAAAGAACACCAAAACACTCGGCAATCTGATTTATACTTGGGGGCTACACCCCCTCGTACAAATCAGATAGCCTCGTGTTTCGGTGCTCTTTCTATTACTTATACAGTACTCTGCAATGATAGGTAAAAGTTACACTGAAATACGTACCTTGATGACTTGATTTTAATATAAGACTTTACATTTTTTGCTCATATTCAGGCTATTGCCCTTTGCTGTTACTGTGTGCAATTGGACTGTCTTCTTTTTTCAACTTTTCTCCTGATTGGAGGGAGATTTGGCAGTCTGTGACTGTTCCTTGTTTACTACCAGAAAGGTTTTTTTGTATAAAGGCTTGATTGTATGTAACTGATTTTGGTACTTTATGTAAATTTTAGGTCTTGCATATATATTGAAGTTATTGGACCAGTACCATGAGTTTGACTCTCTACATTGGTTCCAGTCTGTGAGAGATAGATATGCCAAGGAAAAGGTATACATGTTCTTATTGCATTAATATTTCTGTACCTTTTAAACTGTAATAGTAGCTAGGTACTCTATTTTAAATGTATTAAAGTCATTTCCTTTGGATATTAGCTTACCAGAGAATAACATGCAAAAGTTGAGCTATTGTCATCCACTCATCACCCAGGATCCATCCACACTCGAGTTTCAATGCATTTTTAAGTTACCTTTAGATAGTTAACTTTGCTTGTTTCTTTTATATCACTTTATATTCCAGATTATATTCATATTACAGCATCTCCTAATGACACAAGGTCAGTAATATCAACACTTTTACTAGGAATGATCCTTGGGTGTTAAGTTGTTAAAAAAAAAACCAACTCATTCATGCAGGCAAAAGAAAAGTCTTTAAACATCATCTTGTTTAAAACTATAATCGTTAAAGCTTAGATATTTGGCATGAAACATCATGAAATGGACCTCTACCAAGCTTGTTCAAGTAAAAGCCCTCGGATCAAAATCGGCCACGCCCAAGGGTTCATGAACTTCCTTATTTGTTTACAGTAAAATTCTTTAAAAAAAACATCTCCTCTGAAGCCATATAGGTTAGAGCTTAGATAATTGGCATGAAACATCATGAAGCATTTTCAAACAACAGCCTTGGGATTAAAATTGGCCATACCAAATGGCATTGTTTGTTTTCTTTATTTGTTTGTGGTAAATTCTTAAAAAATCTTTAAAAATTATCCCTATGTGCACAGTTGAACTTTGATATCAACTTACCTAGATAATTTGACGCAGTGACCTACTTTCTTGTCCTTTGATGTACAGCTATGAAATTTGGACCATGTGCACATTTTCAGAAGTCAAATTGAACTTCATACTTGGACAAAACAACAAGTGTGAATAGCCTCCCTTTTGAAGTTAAAAAGGAAGGGAAAACTTTAAACTTTATTTTTACTCTTCTTCCGCATAGCGGGGAGGGGATTATAGGAAGGGCCTCTGTCGCCAGTCCGTCTGTCTGTTGTCAGTACAAACATAAAGATACTTGGGACACTATTGGAACAGTAGGTAACTGTAAGCTACCCCCAAGGTCAAGGTCACACTTAAAGGTCAGGTGTTCAAATGTCTACATTTTGTGTCCGCTCCATAAATTTGAAAACTGAAATTTTTTTTTAGATAATTTGGGACAAGTGATGACCATTATAAGACGAAATGCAGAGCGCCATAATACGTTTGCTACCCCTAGAGTCAAGGTCACACTTAAAGGTCAAGTGTAAAAAGTGTACATTTCATGTCCACTCTATAATTTTTAAACCACTGAAAAAAAAAATTGAATGATATTCTGACAAGTAATCACCATTGAGATGAGATGATGTGTGGAGCGCAATTATTTGGTTGCTACCCCCAAGGTCAAGGTCACACTTAAAGGTGGTAAAAAAGCCTACATTTTGTTTTCGCTCCATAAATTTTAAACTGCTGAAAATTTTTTTAAATAACTTGGCACAAGTGGTCACCATTGTGAGACAATGTGCAGAGCTCAATAATTAGGTTGCTACCCCCAAGGTCACACCTAGAGGTCAAGTGTTAAATGGTTTCTGGAAGATAACTCGGAGTGACGAATGATGTCTTGTAATTTAATTTGGCATAAAGCAAGTTTTTGAAGAGACCTAGCGTGAGATTGCTGTTGGAGTCCTATGTTAAAGGTCAAGGTCACTATTACTAAAAATAGAAAAATTATTTTCATACATTTTTTTACAAAGATAATGTTTAAAAGATAATCATACTCTTTAAATAAGGCAATTAAATGTAATAAATTTTGTTACACAGATGAAACATCATAAAATATAGGTTGTGTTAAACCTTTTACCCCATGAGCATATTGCGAAAAATGGCCGTTTTCATTGAAAAGTGTCCTGTAACAAGTTCAAACTGCTATGAAACTATGAAAAATGCTTCAATACTGATTAAACTTGGCACAAATGTTGACTAGATGATAACCTCTGTTACAGCATGCTCAATCCTAAATTTCTCGTACCATGGCAACGGGTGGACGTCTCAAAATTGCCAAAAATCACTATTTTGCACGAAAATTTTCTTGGCAATGAGGGGGACTACCGCCCCCCTTCAAACCCCCCAAACAGAAGGGGTCACATCCCCCTTCTGGCAACCCCCTGATGTAACATTTTAACAGGGGCGGCGCCGAAAAAGTGGTCACTTTTTTTAACAGCATTTCTCAAACGAAAAACAGTGTTTGGGGCCTAAATAGGCCATTTTTTCACTGTTTGAGGCCTCAAAAAAGGGGGGGGGGACAAAAAGCTGTTAAAACACATTTATATGAGGGAAAAGGTTAAGACCACTTATTTTTCAGAAAGTTCAGGTGGTGGGTGGGGGTATGAATCATCTTAAGTGATAGCTCTAGTTATAATAATCTTACTTACTTCTATATTATTTCAAAATAGAATCCGACTGCCAGGGATATGTTTTTCAATCAACAGTGCATTAACATGATACTGCATCTTACTTAATTGTGCATGTTCAATTAACGCCCCTGTTACTTGATATGTAAAATACTCCCTATCTTCATTGTCTCCAATTTAATAAAAAATAGTTTTTTGAATGAGATTTTGAAAGAACTTTAACTAACCATAAGTATTTTATATACAGGAAACTCTTCAGAAGCAACAGCAAGGTGCATCAAGCAGATCTGATGAGAAGCTACAACAAACCATGTCATTGACACAGAAACGTCTGGATGTGTTCCTCATGGTCAGTTTATGAATAATTATCTACAGAAGATGGGCCTTTTGATAGAAGGTCTACTTTTTCGAAGAATTAATTTTACCCCCACAAACAAAGTTTAGCGTATATATAGAAGTCAGCTTGTCGGCCGGTCAGTTGGTCTGTCAGTCATTCTTCCACTTCATGGGTTATGGACGATAACTAATTTTAGTTTGGAATAAGTTTAATAATATCTGTCATATGTTGCAGTTCGGACCGGAATTATCCTTCCCGAGGGGACCAGCCCATGGGCGGCTTCTCAAGGGACAGATATTCCAATCCGAACCGCAAACATATGTCAGATATTTTTTCTTGCATATTCTGCTATATTATTTTATATTTAAAATGGTTTACCTCAATATGATATATGTTCATGGAAATTAAAGTCATTTCATCCATAACTATTTTCTTACAATAGCGTATGAATTTACAACTTAAATAACAACGGCGAAATGACGTTATCCTAAGCACATATTTCCCTTCTAAAATGATGTCATTTTAACGCTGTTCATTCATAAAGTGTGCTAAAATGACGTTGTATGGCATGCGACTCAACTGGCGCCACCCATGCCAGATGAAATTTCCGGCATGGGTAAAGCTCATGGAAAAGCCAGTCTGCTATGCAAGAAATAATAATCAAACTTGGTATATAGCAACATTATGTAAAAACCCCTGTTGGTATTGCTTTTGGACCCCTAGGGGTAAAGGTCACTGAAAATAGAAAAATGGTTCAGGACAATAACTAGAGTTAAAAATGAGATATTGTAATCAAACTTGGTATATAGCAAGCTGCAATGAAGAACCAGGTTGATGGAATGATGTGGTCAATGTCAAGGTCACCATTACTAAAAATAGAAAAATGGTTTCCGGACAATAGTTAGAGTTAGGAATGAGATATTGTAATCAAACTCGGTTTACAGAAAGCTTATTTGAAGACCCGGGTTGGGATTGCTTTTGGACCCCCTGGAATCAAGGTCAAGGTCACTGTTACTAAAAATAGATAAATGGCTTCCAGACAATAGAAATAAGATACATTGTATTGTAATCAAACTGGATATATAGCAATGTTTTATGAAGACCCTGGTTGTGATTGCTTGATGGGATTTCAAAATAAATTGGTAAACAAGAATCTATTGAGTAGCCTTTCAAAATAAGAATATGGTCAATATGGCAAGTTTCTGTTCTTGATATAAATCTTTTTTATATATATGTATGAGATTTGATAAGTTTGATAATGTATGTGTTATTGATATGATTTTAGGAGTTTGACTTGTTATTCTACTCACTGAGCAGTGCAAGGATATTTTTCCGAGCTGATATGACAGCAGCAGAGGAGGAAAAAGAAGAAAAAGACAAAGGTATTTGGAGCAGTATTTCATGCGTAATTTACATCATTTAATTTGTTGACTCATACACTATTTTTTAAAAATGATTTTGCTGCGTGCAAAAAAAAGACATACACATTTCACTGAAAGTATATTCTGCTTGTCTGTAAGATTTGCATACCTGATTTATTGGCAGTACACTCTGTTTGCTTTTATGACCTAAAGAATGCTTTGGCCTACAGATGTAAGATTTGATGTTGAAGATGGTCATGTGTTAAATTGAGTCTTGATTTTAAACTAAATGTGTCTGTATTTCTTACCATCCTTAATAGGTTTTCGATAATCATTATTGTTTAATAGGTTTACTTAATTAATATTGTACCTTAATATGTCATATATTTGATTATGTTTTATCAGATTTATGAAAAGCACTCTTGAACATTTACTATTTATGAAAAGAGTGCTATAGAAATGTGGTATATAATAATAATGTGTTTGGTACAGGGATAGCGTATCTCTGTATGTCCGGGTAAACATTCAATAGTTTATGTCCTTCATTTTGTACGGGTCAACATTCAATAGTTTATGTCCTTCATTTTGTCCGGGTCAACATTCAATAGTTTATGTCCTTCATTTTGTCCGGGTCAACATTCAATAGTTTATGTCCTTCATTTTGTCCGGGTCAACATTCAATAGTTTATGTCCTTCATTTTCTCCATTATCTTTTTTTTCTTTTTTTTTAAAGGAAACCACATAAACTATCAGTCAAAGTGGAAACTCCTTTCAGGCGAGTTTGAATATTGGCCATCTTTGGACATCTGGGATTAAAAAAAACTGTATTGAATGGCACAAAAATAGGGTATAAAAATAAGTCTCAGAACCTTGTTAACAGGAGGTAACATTTTTAGCCCAAATATCCTAGAATTTTATCAAAAAGGTTGTTTTCATAAATTATAGCTCAAGTTTGAAATTTGGTCAACTAGAAACAAGGTCACAGAGCCAAACTATGGAAAAACCTTGTTAGCACTCTAGAGGTAACAATTTCAGCCAAAATATCCTGGGAATTTGTCCAAAATAAAGTTGTTATGATAATTGATAATTTGTAGGTGCTTGATTTTCAAGAAAATTTCTATTGGGAAGAAACCTTCCTCTGATAGGCCTCTGTTATATAAGGTGAAACCCCCCCCCCCCCCCCCTGTGTAATAAGTATTACTTTGAATCAGTCTTATTAAAATCAAATGATATAATACTTCACATTTAGTTGCATGAAAATGCATCAGAAGATCTAACTGATTGTTTAAGATCAACTATGAATTTGAATTTGTATTCCAGATACGCTAATACATCTTTTCCAAGTATATGTCACAAGATAAAATGTACCACCCAGTGCACTTAAAATGGAGTGAAATTTTTGTAAAACTTTGCTCAAATGGTCACCTTAACAAGACAATGTGCAGAACTGTGCTGGTTCAGAGTTAAGGTCAACTTGAAGGTCAAATATACAATTATGTGTTCACTACAAAATGCTGTACCTTTTGAAGGATTTTTGTTCTAACTTGACTCAAATGTTCACCTTAACAAGGCAATATGCAGAACCCATGCCTTAGTCTTGCCTGCTGACGGTCAAGGATGACATTCAAGGTCAAATATTTGAAAATTTATACCTTGCTAATCCGAACCCTTCTAATCCGGAAGCCTTTCTTTCCGAACGAAGTGTCCGGTCCTGACTTTATTTGTTCTATTTCAATAGTAAAAAACCTTTCGGATCCGGAACCTGTCTACTTCGAATTCTGGACGATTTTTTTTTGTTATTATTTCACTCTCGGATCTAAACTGATTTTGCTAAATATCACACCTACATTCAAGATAACAAATAATCGGACATCTTGCAGGTGTAAAAATACTACAAACTGATAAGAGTAATTTCACTTGATTAATGGGTGAAACGTATGATCTGCGAAGGTGTGAAAATCACACTTAGCTTGCCTCGATATCTACTATAATTGCTCACCTTCAATAAATATTTTGATATAATGCAATTGAAATATCTTTTTGGCTTGCAGCCACGGCTGCAAGCCATTTCATTTGGAAAACTTGTTCCGGTTAGGTGGTTTTCTGCTTACATTTGTAAGTGCATGATTGAACGGGAAACCAGCTGCAATCGTGCCAATCGCAACTTTTCGGCCTTTTCCGTCACTCTTCGGATTAATGATAATAGCCGATGTAGTTCCGATTGCAATTGTGACAATTCGGGCGATTCCGTCATACTGCGGAATCAGACGAAGTAATATTACGGAAATCTAAGCTATTTTAGTTACTTTGGTAATCCCAGTTTGTTTATATAAATAGGATTCGTATTTTTACTTGATTTATTGATTTAAACCGTAATAAATTATAAACGAAATTGTTCCGTTTCAATTCTTTTTCAAGACGCAAAAGTTAGTTTCTTTTATAATTGTTTTTTGTCTGTATTAGTTTTATACAATTGAGGATGTTGACTGTAGTAGTATTCCGTCTTCAAAGGGTGGTCCAAATCACACAGAATATTAGTGCATGATCGAGTTATATTTAGATCTACTGAACTTGGTGAGGTAATCTAAAAATAGCCCATGCATATCATTAACCTTACCACGTGATGATCTATAGATAGCGCATCGTATCTGTGAACATGCTAGCTTATTAATTGGTACCACGTAACGAAGTGGAAATGAAATGTGCACACTTGTTTCCTTTCAGTATGATAGATAGATCTCCACGTTAGTATTTTTACGATTGATTATTTTCTTTATTAGTTTTATACAATAGAGAATAGATTTCAAATCGTTTTGACAAAAATATTCGTTTTTACAAAAATGAAAACAACTAAATATGTTGGGATGAAGGCACAACTGTGCAAGCCTTTCCTTTTAAAAGGAAACTTTATTAATCTTTTGTAATGAATTTAATGACACTAGATTAAGTATTGGAAATTAATGGAAACTGTCAGTGAATTCCGATAATAGCTGAATCGGATAAGCGTTAACGATTGACGAATGCTGGTATGAATATATTATCATATCTCAGCCTCCTGTTTAACATTGTAGGTTAACTTACCCTTGAGGACATAAACCCTTGAGGACATAACATTTTTGCTTATTTATTTATTTTTCTTTATTTATTTTTGTATTCACATTAATTAAAATGAACGATAAGAGATTGCAAAAATGAAATATTTATATTGCAATTTCAAATGCATTCCCATTTTCCTTCTTTAGACTATTCTGCCAATAACATGAACAAACATGTAAAAAAATGTCTAATTCGGAAACCTTTCTAATCCGAACTTTTCTTCTGGTCTGGACGAGTTCGGATTAGACAGGTTCCACTGTAATTTGTTTACAGTTTCTTTATATTAATTCTCTTTAAATAAACCAATAAGGAGACTTTGTAGTTGATTACTTAATCATTATTTTCTTTTTTTTTTACAGATGGTTCAAGCCCAAGTGCTCAAGCTACTGATGGGTCAGCACCTGTTGCTCCTGAACCACAACCAACACAAGATGGCGCCCCTCCACCACCCCCACCACCCCCTCCCCCTCCACCATTTTAGGGATGAGAATTCAACCTTCAACTTTATAGGACAAACATAGACTTTCTTTGTGTCTCGTTATGATTTTACAGCCAAGTTTTTACTTTCATTGCTTTATGATGAACTGTTGAAAACATTATTTTGAATATTTAAAAGCAAAATTTATTGCAACATTGAGGAGGACTTCTTTCATGTTCATGTGCAATATTGCTAGAAATTTGGTCTCTAGCATGATAAATAGTTAAGTTACTTTTTCGCTCGATTGTAAATGTTTTGCAAATGACAGTTGGAAGAATAGTTCATTTTCACTAGATAACTGGAGAATCATTTGATTCATAGCCTTGATGATCATCCTGATAGAGTACAAGACTCATATTTTTTTTAAACTGATGTGTAATGGTCTGTTGAATGTCACTCAATACTAACAGTATGGTAAACAGTATTCAGCAATGTTTTTAGATTGTAGATAGAACACATGTATAATGTAATATTTATTGTAACATTTTGTGTATAGTAAGTGTAATGAAAATTGATATATAAACAATAATAAAAGTTTTTAACATGCACTAGAACATCATTCTCAGTGGTCCTCTGAAAATATTACTTAAACAGTTCCAGTCAGCTGAACAAGATGGCCACTAAAGCTATAAAACCTTTAACAACATCATTGTTCTTCTGAAACAAATTGAAACTGTACAGGTACAGAATTGAACTTTAATATCAGTCATCCTAGATTTTAACCATGTATCTGCCAATCATTCATATTAATCAATATTAATTGATCCCCATCATGTAGGGCCTTTATAGTCAGGGGCTAGCATGGAAAACTGCCAATTTGAGCCATATATAAAAAAATCATTACATTGGAATGAAACACAGCAAGGAGGTATATAATAGAAAGAAAATAATGCTTTAATATTTAAAAGATCTAAACAGGCATTTTTGAGTTATGACCCATAATTATTTTTTAAAAAAAGACCAAATTTTACAAAAGTCATTTATTTTATTGTAATAAAACTCAGCATGTATGTATCTGATGGGAAGTAAATGATCATCAAATGCCATACATGCCATAACCTCCCGGACGTCCGGGAAAGTCCCGGAAATAAGGTGTCTGTCCCGGAGAGGATTTATGTCCCGGTAAGAATTAAAAATTCTTTGCAGCCAGAAATTTTACATTTTTATGTAATCTTATTGTCCAGCTATAAAAACATTCTTTTTGAAAAGAAGTTAGAAAAAATTGAAACATATAACCTTTTAAAAAATTTAAAATAGAAATTTTGTAAAAGATAAGTTTTTTTACACTGATGTGCTAGATTTTAATATGTCTTATCATGTGTATAAGGAAATGATCAACATATTTAGTACAATCGAGGTACATTTATATTATTAAATTATGGTCCTAAGTTATGCTTACAAGAAAAAAGTCCATTTAATGTCCGGGATTGAACATCATGGTTTTATTGTAATCAAAATTGGCTTTAATGTATATAGATGAAGGCATAGTAAATCTTAAAGATCATAATAATTTACAAGTTTTTTTTTAAGATGCAAAAATTTCTGTCCAGAAAGTAGAATGCACCTGTTACTTCCCTTTTATAATATTTTGTATTACACAATTTTTAAAAAAAGAACATAAATGTAACTATACTGTAGGACTGCAATGTTTTAAATTTTTAGTATCTTTAAAGAGATTCTATTTAATTTTCTTGTATGAGCTTTAATTTATCCTGCTCCCTGAAGGGTGAGCATATAGTTGCCGCTTTGTCCGGACATAACTTTGTAACAACAAGAGGTATCAACATGAAACTTTGTATGTGAATCGATATCATTGGGTCGATGAGCAGTGCAAAGAACAGTAACTCTGTTTTGCCTAGGTTTGGAATTATTTCACTTTGAACTTTGTCTAGGACATAACTCTGAAACTACAAGAGGTTTACTTTTCTGTGTCCAAATCCTATTCGGGGAGCATCATCCAGTTCTTGTTTATACAGGTATATTTCTCAGTATCTATACAAATAAAAGTTAAGTAAAAAGTTAATTATTAAATTATGTTAAAGATAAATTCCTGGTCTAATTGAATTCAGTGTATAAATTTGCTTGCTTCACTACACTTTCATCCTATAATTGTAATTTTTAGTAAATGACATTACACAATTTCATAATGATACATTTTTGGTGGTAATTCTTGTAATACATGTACTATCTCAAAAGGATGTCATTTACTTATGTCTTATATGTTATTTTGATTTGACGCTTTTTAATATCATGGGGATTGTGTCATTATAAGTAAAGCTACCAAATTATTTTTCACTTCTATTATATACTTCCAATTACTTACAGCTTTTTGTGTAGTGGTTTTTTGGTATGGCTTGGAATATCAATTCAATGAACTTTCTTGTTATTTTTATTTGCATAGTTAAAGATAATTTAATTATACAAAGGCTATTCCTTTAATTTCATTTGGTATATGCACAACATAATGAGCTTCATAAATCTGTTATTACTGACATAAAATAATGATTAAGTTTGTTGTCAATTCTATATATCATAAAGTAAAGAAGATAATATAATTATATATGTTAAACACATGTACTGCACTAAAATATATGTAAACAAATGCTATTATTGAATAAATCATTGTAAAAAAATGAAACTGAACAAAAAGGCTTGTTTATGAATTGTAAAGGCTCAGGTTTACTAGACACCAATTTCAGAAATCATCTATGGCTATAGTCATGTTGATGTTGCCGTCTGAAAACTATAATGTTGGTTATATTTTTTATATTTTTGATTGCCTTCATACTGGGACACAACAACCCTTTAAGGTTTTAGATGTATATTTGACAATATTTTAAAAGTGCTCTTAAATCTACCATATTTTCACTCATTTTACACTAAAAAGTATATACAAAATTGAAATCTTTCTTAATTACTGGTTTCCTAGCAGTTTCCGTCCCCTAGCAGTTTTCCTGCCGTTTATCATTTTTGTCTAGTACAGTCTATTTTTACTAGTAAGGCATCCACATTACTTTATCAATCAGAGAAACATTTGTTTTCTATTCTAAACAGCATTTAAAATAGTGTTTTGAAGTTTTGCCTGTTATTAAAAGTTACATAAGAGAACTTGCAACATTCAAAAATAAGCAACACCTGGGGAATTCTAGTTTGAATATCCATGCGCAATAACTAAGACCCCATTTTAGGTAAATCAATACTTCGGAAAATATTTTTGCAGACGACACGGAAAAGGTTGGGAAGTTCTGTTTGTCTGATAAAATCATCTTAATATTGCTTTATGGTACTGAATTATATTCAAAATAAAAAAGGTCCGGAAAACTGCTATGAATTTTTTAATAAAGGTGAAAAAGGCAGTACATTTCAGGCCTATATTCAAATTAAAAAAAAAATGAAAGTGTAACATTAAACACATGGCAATGCTGGACAGGTACCTAACTTTGTCCTGTCAAAGTTTTGTACCCCTCTGTTTTTATTTGTTAAAAAGTGCGATTTGTGGCCGGAAACTGCTAGGAAACCAATTAAGATTTAATTTTAATGCAAAACCAGTCTGACCAGATAAAAAGAACAAAGTACAAAAATTGAAGAAGAAAAAAGATTGTCCCCAATAAGGTTTGAACCTATGCCCACTGTAAATCTGTTTCATGACCTCTACTCATCAATGGTTTAAACTTTTTTATTTTAGCTTGATTGCAAAACAAGTTCTTGCAACTTATATTATTCACTTTACAGACACCTTAACCACTAGGCCACTGCTCCAACCATCAATGACTTTGAAGGTCAATTTATTGAATTTTGCTTGATTACCTATAAACATTGTTGTTTGTGAATTGATTGTCTTCATTAATGAGCACAAATATTGTTCAGTTACTTACCTTGGAATAGTATTTTGACCATTCTTTGTTTTTAACAGTGATGACTCTCGTCCTTATGGTTTCTGAAAACTAGATTTTTTTCAGACTTTTGTAATGTATGCCATGAAAAGTTATGTGGCTGAACAGAAGGCACTCTGTTAGTTACTCATACATGAAAACTTGGCAGTTATGAAAGAAGAATTAAATTTGCATTGTAACCAGTGTTTTGTTTAAAGTGACTTTCCTCTTTCCTAGACTGCAAAAAACATCCTGCAGGTCATGGCTACAAGAGTATAAATGGACTTGGATCACCCCTTTTTCAGTTAATGAAAGGTATAATTCGATTACATTGGACCCTCCTAGTTTTCTATGTAAAATGTTACGCTTATATATTTCAGTAGCGCTTAATTTGTGTCTGCTTTTAATTTGGAACAGTCCATTCCTTCAAAGATGAAGGGAATTCAATAATGAGCAAAATAGAAAAATTGAGCAGCCAACAGTTTGGATCCTGGTCAGATTGTATGGATGTTTCGGCTGGCCTCCTGACTATAATGATGGCTAACCACATTCAGTTCCAGGCATGGATATTCAGGCATGCCTTCTGACTCTATAATGATGGCTAACCACAATCAGTTCCAGGCATGGATACTCCAGCTGGCCTTCTGACTCTATAATGATGGCTAACCACAATCAGTTCCAGGCATGGATACTCCGGCTGGCCTTCTGACTCTATAATGATGGCTAACCACAATCAGTTCCAGGCATGGATACTCCGGCTGGCCTTCTGACTCTATAATGATGGCTAACCACATTCAGTACCAGGCATGGATATTCCGGCTGGCCTTCTGACTCTATAATGATGGCTAACCACATTCAGTACCAGGCATGGATATTCCGGCTGGCCTTCTGACTATAATGATGGCTAACCATATTCAGTTCCAGGCATGGATATTCCGGCTAGCCTTCTGACTCTATAATGATGGCTTAAACCACATTCAGTTCCAGGCATGGATATTCCGGCTGGCCTTCTGACTCTATAATGATGGCTAACCACATTCAGTTCCAGGCATGGATATTCCGGCTGGCCTTCTGACTCTATAATGATGGCTAACCACAATCAGTTCCAGGCATGGATACTCCAGCTGGCCTTCTGACTCTATAATGATGGCTAACCACAATCAGTTCCAGGCATGGATACTCCGGCTGGCCTTCTGACTCTATAATGATGGCTAACCACATTCAGTACCAGGCATGGATATTCCCGCTGGCCTTCTGACTCTATAATGATGGCTAACCACATTCAGTACCAGGCATGGATATTCCGGCTGGCCTTCTGGCTATAAATGATGGCTAACCATATTCAGTACCAGGCATGGATATTCCGGCTGGCCTTCTGACTATAATGATGTCTAACCATATTCAGTTCCAGGCATGGATATTCCGGCTTGCCTTCTGACTCTATAATGATGGCTAACCACATTCAGTTCCAGGCATGGATATTCCTGCTGGCCTTCTGACTCTATAATGATGGCTAACCACATTCAGTACCAGGCATGGATATTCCGGCTGGCCTTCTGACTCTATAATGATGGCTAACCACATTCAGTTCGAGGCATGGATATTCCGGCTGGCCTTCTGACTCTATAATGATGGCTAACCACAATCAGTTCCAGGCATGGATATTCCGACTGGCTTTCTGACTCTATAATGATGGCTAACCACATTCAGTTCCAGGCATGGATATTCCAACTGGCCTTCTGACTCTATAATGATGGCTAACCACATTCAGTTCCAGGCATGGATATTCCGGCTGGCCTTCTGACTCTATAATGATGGCTAACCACATTCAGTTCCAGGCATGGATATTCCGGCTGGCCTTCTGACTCTATAATGATGGCTAACCACATTCAGTTTCAGGCATGGATATTCTGGCTGGTCTTCTGACTCTATAATGATGGCTTACCACATTCAGTTCCAGGCATGGATATTCTGGCTGGCCTTCTGACTCTATAATGATGGCTAACCACATTCAGTTCCAGGCATGGACATTCTGGCTGGCCTCCTGATTGACTATAATGATGGCTAACCACATTCAGTTCCAGGCATGGATATTCTGGCTGGCTTTCTGACTCTATAATGATGGCTAACCACATTCATTTCCAGGCATGAATATTCTGGCTGGCCTTCTGACTCTATAATGATGGCTAACCACATTCAGTTCTAGGCATGGATATTCTGGTTGGCCGTCTGAATCTATAAAAATGATGGCTAACCACTTTTGAGTTCCAGCAGGAAAAGGGCTAAAACCTCCAAAATTTTCTGGAATGCAACCAAGGTGAAATTATTGACTTGGTTTCTTAATGACCATCATTATACAATGAACAGCAAACAATAAACTTTGACCTTAAGGGTGCCAACTACTCGGGCCTTTTATTGAAAAAATCATTTTATATATGATATAATAATTCAACAATCTTATTTCAAACCAAACACTCTTGTATCAGAAATAATTTGTGTTATAAAATTTTTTCAATTCAAATGATGAGATTCGTGTATCTGTTAAATAACATTTAAACAATCTTATTTCAAGTTAAACCATTTTGTATCCGGAGTTAATGACTACATTTAAATGAAAGGGGGGTAGAGTTATCGCCGTCCGGGAAGTAGCAGGTTGTTTTCCTCTTGAAAATTAAGAAATTGAACAGTTTTGCAAGAGTTCTCTCCCGTACAGCACTCTTGCATCATTACAATTTAACAATCTCATTTCAAAATAAAAGATTTTGTTTTCTAGATAGTTACCCGTTATTAAAAATATTGTCAAACCTAATCATTCTGATATATGATAAAAAGATGAAGTATGTGAACCTTGTATGAAAAATTTAACTAAAACATTTTTTGGTATTTTGAATATGAAATCCCTTAAACTTTTCATGGACTGCTCCAAATTCAAAGCTCAGGCAAATTCGGCCTGTCACATTAACATTTTAACTAATTAGAACTTTTTTGGAAAATTTCTATCAAAATATAAAGAATGTGAAGGCATGTTGCTTGAGGAAGTTTATATATTTCTTTCCTCTATATCTTAATGACTACATTTTTTATCAATTGCAATCATCAATGACACTATTAAAACTATTAACAACAAAGTAATGTCAATTCCATGTGGGTTATTTGAAAACTTGGGCTGATTAGGGCTACTAGGCTTTATTTGTATCTGTATTAGTACTAACATAAAGAGTATGTTCAGATCAATCTATGAGATAATAAATTTCTTAAATGAACTTTTCCAGCTTTCATTTTTTGTAACAATCCATTATCAATACAGGGCCTGGTCAAACTACACATTATATACTTTATATACTGAAGTCTGGCCTGGCTCTATACTGGTGAAAGCTTTAATATGACTTTCAACAGACTAAATATATATTATAGATCTTTATCTGAATTATCACAAGATGGCCACTTCCAAGACTTCATTGGGCCTTTATTAGTCTTATCTTTGAGGCAACTCCCAAATCTATAAAATACATGTCTTATGTACACCACATGCCATAATTTGTATTCTTTTCTAGTGGAAGAAGATACTTTTGTGTACTAGTATTTCATTAATTTGTGGGTACATGATTAGAACCACCAACCTGTATGTTAAATACCTTTAAATAACTAAAACATCCTGTAATCTAAGTCATTTCCGAAACAAAATTTATCCAAAACTCGTAACTCTAAGGTGGGTTTTACTGAATTATTTTCTTTTGTAAATGTATTGAAGGTATTTACTTTAATCTTAATGCATAA